TTAACTCTACACTATCACAAGCAAAATTCAACCTTAGTCTTCAATAGTTAAGGTAGATTGAGACTGCATGTAGTATGGTTTGCTGGTCCCTTCCCTCATTTTGGTGGCAATTTGCAATATGAAAATGTTACTGGAATGACTTGTGTAGTAGTTTACATAGTTTTGTAGAAGGCGGTTTCAATTTGATGTCTGGCATGACAAACTGGCTGAGCAGATGAGCAAAGAAAAATATCCGAAGTCTTTATCTGTTAAAATTTAGAATTTGCAAAATTGTAGATATGTATTGTGTAATGTATTCGTTTATTCAGTTACCTTGCTCCGTCGACATCTTACTCTAAGACCCTTACCTTACTTTGTTCCCATGAAACTCATGACTTATGACACTGGTTTAAAGGGAACATTTAATTTAAAAGTAACAATAGGGTTTCTTGCTCGTTCGTCCATGCTCCAGCACCAATCTTATACTTATTAAATAAAGCGGAAGAGTTTGTTTTTTGTTTGTTTGTTTGAACGCGCTAATCTCCGTAACTACATGTCTGATTTGAATAATTATTTTTGTGTTGGATAGCGCATTTATCTAGGATGGCTATAGGCTATAAAACATCACGCTACGACCAATAGGAGCTGAGCAGAGCATGTGAAACCGCGCGGAAGTAGCTAGTCTTCACATAAGAACGTTAATGACGAACAATTCTTTTGACTAAGGGCCGGTTTTTCCAACTCCAGATATATAACTGAGAAATAACTTTGAATATTTGACAATCGAAGTCGCCCATGGACACCTGGAACACCAGAGGCGTTACAGGAGCGTTATCGGTCTTTTAGGGATTAGGAATTTGAGGATTGTTGGGGATTTGGGAGAGATTAGGGAAGGGGGGCGGATAATTGGGCCTCCGGTAACCTCACTCACACGACGAAACACAACGCAAACGTTGTTTCAAGACAGTTTTGTGTGAGACGGTAGTATCACTCCGGCCGAGCCGGCCCATTCGTGCCGAAGCATGGCTCTCCCACACTTAAACTGCTTGCCTACCTCTTCGTGGAATAAACATTGTCATCTTGCTAATAAGTTGTCACAAATGGGTGTTATATTTTAATACATATTCTGTCTACCTCTTCTTGGAATTACGAAAGCAAACAGATGTTATGTAAGGTTTCAATGGTACCTAGATCTAGATAGATACGATTTCTAGGAAAGTGACAATGCAGAAATGTGATACAAATATGTATAATGTAAATTATGTAGTAGGTACTATAATTACTTTGTATACGTGGCTGCGTTCAAATGTTCCTTATACCCTTTACTCAGGAATTACACTCATTCTGTGAATATTGTACAAAACCTTTAGATGATATGCAGGAACAACAACTGCTTAAAGTGCTTTAGTAACTGGCAGTGGTTTGCTGCGAAGAACTGAAGATCCAGCTCTGAAGAGAGCCCTCTAGTCAGCAGTTGATAGAAACGGGTAGGTCATGGATGATGAATGAACAACATCAACAGTCTGTTATGCCTATAAATCACTGCCAGGGATAAGTAAGCCCTAGCCATTCAACTATAGAAGTCAAATTACTTTACATAAGAACCATAATAGGTACTCCGAATCTACAAGTCCTAATAACCAACACCAAAACAAAGAACATACACCTAATAACCTAGGCTACCTACAATAAAAAATCAACTCTATTTTTTTGTCCGTACACTTCAAATTCCTTTAACATTAAGATAGTATCCCGAATGTACATTTCGTAGCTTAAGGCTTAACAGGGTCCTCATTATCCATTAATTAGCTTAATGACAATAATTCCGGGAACATCATTGTTTCGTTGGCAATTATGACAATATTTTGCTTGACAGAAAATACTATAATTGAGCCTTTAATTATTAAGTAAGCATGTGTTAATTAGGTTGAAACTCGCGTGGTTATATGAGACACTGTTATTTTGTAGTGTCTTGTATTCGGATTATTTTTGGGGACTATTCTGCATTATAGTATTTGATAACTAGTTAAATTCAATACTTTTTTCCGAACTGTCAAAACCGATAGTTTTCTAACTATGAATTTTGTCCGAGATTGTGTAAGTATTGTGTTGTCACGTTTTTAAGCATCAAACAGCGTACTTATTACTTAAAAAAATTAAGCAAAATCGCGGGTTACTCACGTGAATATACCGAGAAAAGCTCTACTAGTTTCCAACCACAGAGGGGTTCTTGCTCATGAAACTAGTAGACTCGCGAAGCTCACTGAAACTAGTAGAGCTTTTCTCAGTATATTCACGTGAGTAACCCGCGATTTTGCTTAATTTAGTATGTCTCACGATAGTTATTAAAAAAACTTAAAAAATTGCTGGAAAAATACTAAAATAAACTTGGTCATAAAATCAATTAATGAAAGTGTGATTATTTTTAATAATTTATTGTATTGAACAGTCGTAATAAATTAATTTTGGTTAAGGAAAGTACCCAATTTATACATCATGTAATAATCTCACTCAAAAAGATGAACAGAGAAGCGCCTATAGAATGTACAACACACTTCTTAGACTCACAAATTGTTACTCTCATGTAGTAGGAGGTGATCCCAGTGGCCCTTGGCACAATGTCAGATGCCTTGCTACTCATGACTCTTACAAGCTGACGGATACCGCCCATGGACAGTAAACACCAGAGGAGAAGAAGAAGAGCATTTGCCAGCCTTTTGAAGGATTAAGAATTTGAAGATTGTTAAGGATTCAGAGATTGGAGAGATTGGGTATAGGGTAATCTCACTCACGCGACGAAAAATAACGTAAGCGATGTTTCAAGTCGGTTTTCTGTGAAGCCGTGGTCGAGCCGGCCCATTTTTACCGAAACATGGGTCTCCCTTCCACGCCTAAAAATGTTGGTCTGTCTGTCTGTCTTAATTGCACTATTGCCATTGTGACCACTCAACCAAAACGAGGTAGTCAGATTGTTTTTATCTTCTGAAAAATTCCAATAATACCTTGCCCAATTTAAAAACTAAGTAACTCATTCTTCTATACTTAATCAAATGTCGCGGAGAACCTAATGGGTTACCAGAGCTCTGGCTCGACGTGCAGGAGAAGGAACGGGGTGGTTTTTAGTCAGTAAGAGTCCGACACTCCCTCCCACCTCACCCAGGCGGGAGCAGCCATTCGATAATTCTCCCCCCTTAAAAAAAAAAAATACTTAATCAAATACATTATCTTGCAACAAAAAATAGAACGTTACTTTATCGTCTCAATGTAACCATATTTTTATCACAAGGAAGACAACATACGTCATAGGTACTTGAACTCTAACAAATAATCATTTAAAAATGTAATACGTAAATATATGACAAATAATCATAAGTAAAATATTGTATTCTGCTCTTCATATTGCGACACAATTAATTTATGAATCATCCATCATGTCATGATACGATATTACGCTGATTTCATTTCACTAACATCAATTAAATTATGTAAAATTATAATATTTAATTTCTTCTTAGTTGTAAAATTACATAAATATTATATACTGAAAAAATTATGGCTCATTTTTTTTCAAAAATAGGCAAACAAGTCAATACACGTGACGGATTACCTGACGGTCAGTGATCGACATATAGTTATAACTGTGCCACTTTGATTGAAAAATACAAACATAACATAACATCACGCCTTTTAACCCCGAAGGCACTTTAAGCCACTGTACAATGTAACACCCACTTTCATTATTTATGTTATGAGTTCCATGTAATAGGGGTGAGCCTACTGCCATATACCGGGCTGATTTTAACGATTATTAAAAAACCCAGTAATACTTTGCCCCGACCTGAGAATAAAACCCCAGACCTGTTGCCCGGCAGTCGCACTTGCGACCACTCGCTTAGTGAGGCATAACATCATTATATACATAACATCACGCCTTTTATCCCCGAAGGAGTAGGCAGAGGTGTACATTATGCCACTGTACAATGTAACACCCACTTTTCACTATTTACGTTATGAGTCCCATGTAATAGGGCGTGAGCCTATTGCCATATACCGGGCACATTTCCAGTGAGGCAGTCAGTTGAAAAATAATTCTCGCCAAGAATTATTACACACAATACAGATAACAATTTACTAACAGATTTCTCGGTAACTTCATACAAAACTATGTTCGTAGTATTTCTTGGTAGTGATCCGCCCAAATACATGTTCCTAATATGTAACATGCCTTCCTAATTATACACTGGGTCTTTCCAATACTTAGAATCTACTCTAGAACCTATAATATTGAAGATAAAGAGCTTCTGTTCGTTTACTGTTTTTAATCTCTATATCGACCAAAATACATCTAAATCTATTAAGCGATGGAGTGTGGGAGACCCATGCTTCGCCACGAATGGGCCAGCTCGACAAGAGTGATACTACGACCTCACAGAAAACCAACGTGAAACAGCGCTTACGTTGTGTTTTGTCGTGTCAGTAAGGTTACCGAAGACCCAAATACCTCCGTCCCATATCTTCCCAATCCCTGAATCCCCAACAATCCTCAAATTCCTAATCCCCAAAAGGCCGATAACGCATTTGTATAACTTCTGGTGTTTTGAGTGTCCATGGGCGATGCCGATTACTTTACATCAGGTGATACGTCTGCTCAATTACCGGCTTATCCAATAAAAAAAACATCAATGAATTATATTCCCAAATTATTTCTTTATCATTTCTATATCTTCTGTATAGGAATAAATGCTAACCTCCTCCTTTTTACGCACTATACTCTTAACTATAAATTAATTTAATTATCCTATTTAACAAATCGCATAACTCAATCACCTCACGCCCAATTCACAAACCAAACATCATCAAAATGCATTCAGCAGTTTCTGCGAAAAGACAACACAAACACATCAACCTAACTAACAAACTACTACAAATAATAATAGTAAAACAAACACTATAACATTATGAACGGGACAAAAAATCGACATCATAAACATACGGGTCCCAAACTCACACACACTGACGCAGTGTAATATGAACCCGTATATCCGCTGTCAGTTCCCTCTCAATACAGTCAGTACGATTTGCATCGTCCAATATTCTCAACAAATTGTAATTAATACATCGTTAGGTTGATAATAGTTGATAATTATTGTTTGTACCGACCCCATACTTTGACCCTACCGATAAGACTCTTCAGTTGCCTCCATTTGGTGGTTGAAGTGCGAACGGGAAGGTCTAACATGATCTGAGATACAATATGATTTTGTGCGTGATTTTTCTGTGTCTGTGCGCCACGGGAACGGTTTTTGGATCGCCTAGTAAGTGAATTTTACTCTTAAATGTATACTTTTAAGGTTCAAAAAGTGTTATTCGTGTAGAATTGGGAATTATCTAAGTTTTGTTCTAGCAAACCATGTGTTAATCTTGAGAGAAGATCATTAATTTTGTCAATGATAACCGATGTAATTTAAATTATTTTCATCATATTTTTTTACTTTAAAAATTCTTTTTTTAAGACACGGTACAACATTAATGATTGTGGTAAATATGTATAACATATAAAGGAGCACAATTATATAATAACTTGCCAAACAATATTAAAGAGTGTCAGTCGATTGCCATATTTTAAAGTTGAGAAAATATGTATGAGAAATGTTTTTTAACACTGGTTGGACATAAAAAAATGTTTTAATTTTAGTCATTCCAGCTTAATAATCGAACGAGATTTTTATTCATTCGTCGTGTATCTTTACATTGTTCATTCATTTATGAACTTTTTAAACGTTGATAGTAAGTTGAGTTGCTCAATGATAAGTTTTTATTACATAACTTTAGTTAGGTTATTAGATCCTATAAATGTATAAATAGTTACATACTTAGAAGGTACATACTCTAAAGTCTTATCTATGAAGCACTTGATTAAGTTCAGAATTGAAACTTCCTTGTTTATCCTGCTTCTAATGTTTATCGGTCTGCCTCGTGTCGTCATCCAGTGGTCATAAGCGCGATGGTCGAGCAAGGGTCCCATGTTCGATTCATGGTCAGGCTAAAGGATTTCTGTGGGTTAAAAATTTCACTTTCTGAATATTTCCACATGGAAGTAATGGTGAAAAGTGGCGATGGCAGTAATGACTTGGAAAAGTAAATATATGTATTAGTTCATGCAGTGACACGTAGGTAATCCAAAAACATAGTTACCTAATTATTTTAATAATTACAAAGTAATAAGATAACTGATAGATACTTGGCACTAAGTAATCTTTCTATAAATGAGACTCTTAATTGTAGTATTCGTTAATAACTTATTTGTTGATATTGATTTACGTTTAATGGTCGAAATTAGGAAATAACAGACCTCAATCTCCTCAAACCAAAATCCCTGGATAGTGCAGAATTTTGAAAGTTAGAAAGAGATTCTGGATTGTGATTATTTTTTAATATTGATCGTAAAACTATACTTATAAGCGACTAGGTGACCCAGCAAACTTCATACCACTTAAAAAAATTCTCACCTTTTAAACCGGACTTCCACGAACATTTCAAGACCAAAATTAACCAAATAGGTTCAGCCGTTCTCGAGTTTTAGTGAGACTAATGAACAGAAATTAATTTTTATTCATAAATCTGCTTCTTCACAGTTAATTAGTTAACTGTCACTATATTAGCTGATAAATACTACTTACTCCTTATCTAATAAAACAGTCTACAAATGTATCATTACTTAGATAAAAGCCTAACTGCCTAGTATGTAAATAATAAAGAGTATAACGAGTGTAAAGTTATCTCAAATCTTGTCTAAATCAAGGCTCACGTGCCTCACTTTTAATTCAAAAACTACCATTTTTATGGCATAAGCCGGTAACGAGCTGACGGATCACCTTATGGTAAGCAATCGGCGTCGCCCATGGACACCTAGAACACCAGAGGAGTCACAAGTGCGTTACCGGCCTTTTGGGGATTAGGAGTTTGGGGATCGTTGGGGATTCAGGAATTGGGGATATTGGGGAAGGGAGGGTAATTGGGCCTCCGGTAACCTCACTCACACGACGTTCCACGCAAGCGTTGCTTCACGTCGGTTTTCTGCTCGACTGTGGTCACTCCGGTCGAGCCGGCTCATTCGTGCCGAAGCATGGTTCTCCCACACTTAAAATTACTCCATTCTCATACAAAATGTATAAAGCAATGGAATCTTAATGTTTAATACTAGCCTCAAAGTGACAGTCTAAGCAAGGACGCCTATGTACTCAGCCTTAGCGGTTGTGGTTGAAATCTAAGTAGATATGCCTACATAAATACATAGCAAACACTATAACCACACGCTAAATTAGAGCTGAAGGTATGAATTAAGGGTCAAATTGAATGAGAAATGAGTTCAGGTTCACCATAGGTCTCACTTTTTGAACAATGTATATACTTTGACTTCATAAAAACATGACATCACGCCTTTTATTCCCGAAGGGATAGGCAGAGGTGCACATTATGCCACTGTACAATGTAACACCCACTTTTTACTATTTATGATATGAGTCCCATGTAATAGAGGGTGAGCCTATTGCCATATACCGGGCACAATTCCAGACTCCGTGCTACTACTGACAATTTTTTAAAAACCCATTTACTTTGCCCGACCCGGGAATCGAACCTTCCTAATATATTGTGGAATGACTTCACAATATATTTTAAAATAGAATAAGTATTTTGGCATTCCATTCAAATCCCTAGGACACAGTCTATTATTAATTCCCAAAGATATCAACTTTTATAGGTTATGTAGGTATCTGTATATCTCTATTATTAGGTATAGTTCAACCAGAAAAGAAAAGATCAGGGTCATATGAACAAACTGTATCTATATCGGTGAACTAAAATTGTTATCCGGCATTTCGATAACGGAATTCTCAGATAATAAAGCAAGAAGTTTGTCATTGCGGACATTGCCGCCCTCTATGCAAATAATAAATTACATGGAACTAATAAACTAACCTAAAAGTACCTTGTGTAATAATATTGTGATAATTGCTTTTTTTTTGAGAAGGGGTAATCTTCCAATGAGTCCTCTCGCCTGGGTGAGAACGAGGGTCAGACTCATACTGACTAAAAACCACTCCGTTCCTACTCCTACACTTCGAGCCGGAGCCCCGGTAATCCGTTAAGTCCTCCGCGGCTCCGTATCGGCATCAGCCCTACTAGGCCCCATCTATGGTGGTCTGATGGCTCTTTGAGGCGCGCGCGGAACGGTGTGCTAACTACTAGTGTCCTTTGGAGAATCGTTACCTGATTTATAAAATTACTAGCTTTTACCCGCGGCTTCGCTCGCGTTACAAAAGGATAAAAAGTAGCCTATGTGACATATACAAATACATACAGCGCCATCTATACCGATACTTTTGTTTTCCCTCGTTTTTCCGGGATAAAAAGTACCCTATTATTTAATCCGGACTTCTAACTTTACGTCTACAAAAATTCGAAGCAATCGTTTAGTAGTTACGGCGTGAAAGTGGAACAAACAAACAAACTCACTTTCCGATTTATAATATTAGTAAGGATTGTAGATGCGAAAGTTTGTTTATTTGTCTTTCTTTTACGTACAGAGCAATTTTCTGGTATGAACTCTGTGTCGAGATATACGAGCTAGAGTAATACCTAATTATGCAGTTAATTTTATTTTCACTATGCGAGTGAAGCCGCGATTAGCAGTGAGTATGTTTGACAATAGATAACCCCTGTCTATTAATACACCATAACCTCAAATATTTGTCTTATCCCAAAACTCATTTGTAAACTTTAAAATGAATTCGTAACGAAACCACAGATACGCAAATAAATGGAATCTATTCTAAAATATTATTTAATTAAATAACTATTAGATATGTCTGAGATTTGTTTAATGAAAAAAACTTTTAGTTTAATTTCGACGTAAGTCAATATTGAGAATAGAAAAATAATTGCTTAAGTGATTCAAGTTTTTTAATGATTCTTTTCTCTTTTCAATTTATTCTTTAATTTAATAGATCTTAAAAAAAATATTCAAATTGATTCGACTAGCTGCTACATAAATATTATTATTATATGTATGTAGACGAGTACCTGGGTAGGTTACCGTAGGGTGGATATGACCTCATCTACCTATCTAGATAAAACCTTAATAAAAAATTCAAAGCCTGCCTCGATGGCCGAGTGGTCGCAAGTGCGACGACCGAGCAAGGGGTCTCGGGTTCGATTCCCGAGTAGGGTAAAAATCTTAGTAATAGCTAGTAGCACGGAGTCTGGAAATGTTTCCGGTATATAGCAATAGGCTCACCCCCTAGTACATGGGACTCCTAACATAAATAGTGAAAAGTGGGTGTTACTTCTGTGTGCTCTGCTTACCCCTTCGGGAATAAATGGCGTGATGTTATGTTATGTTAAAAATTCAAAGTTCAGCGAAGCTTTTAGTTTTCTTTCTTCCTAACCTAACCTATACCTAAAATATCTAAGCGATCTCTTTCAAATCATAATATTGTCCTATAATACGAGTGTGTAAAAAATAAATCCACAAGCCAATCAAGACAAACAAAACGAAACTTAGCCTATGTTAAAAATAATCATTCTATTCAGCTCTCTATATCTGAGCTACAAATTATTTTGTAACTCAAACCAATACCGAAATGAAACAATCTCCTGAACGTAAAATCCTTCGTTACGCCCACAGTACATCTACGAAACAATTCATTCATTTTTTTTTAAGGGGGAAAATCATCGAATGACTGCTCCCGCCTGGGTGAGGCGGAAGCGAGTGTCAGACTCTTACTGACTAAAAACCACCCCGTTCCTTCTCCTGCACGTCGAGCCGGAGCCCCGGTTACCCGTTAGCTTCTCCGCGACAACAATTCATTCATTGGAGATATTATTAAGTAACTACACCTAGCTCGCCACCTGCGGTTTTGAGTGGTATTTAGAAGGTCGCCCTCGAATAGATTGTGCTCTTGCTGTAATATTAGGATGAACAGTAACAAAAGTCCCTCTTTAAAAATTTCTTGCTTCTTGCTTTCGCATTGTGAAAGAATTTTGCAAATCGATTTACTAGTTTCGGAGACTTTATCACCTGGTACTCTTGGGAGGTGGTGGTGACCCTGGGAGAGTCATGCCTCGGTGAGTAGGAGCTGGCACAACAGAGGTTATCATTCCAAAGTTATCATCACGTCGTGACCAGCTACCATCACGTTTTGTAAACCTGTCCCCAATCCTTTAGCGCGATCGAAGCCGTGGGTAGAAACTATTCTATGAAAAGAATATATTCAGTTCATTAAATTCACATTTTTTGACGTGACAACGTCTTATAAATTGGTTTGCCGGGTGACACTTCAAGAAACTGCGTTACGCTCCGCTCACGTTATGCGCTCACAATGAGAGCGAGTGAGAGGCACGCGTCCCTTCCACTCGGGCATGATTAGCCCGAATAAGAGCGAGAGAGACAGACATAATATTATAAGACAATAAAAAGTGAAAGAGGCGCGTCATTTTACCACTCAGTCGTTGTCACGTAAAACTTTCGCCCGTATACCGACTTTACAGGCAACCAATTTTTTTTCTTAAAAATCCCTGATCCTGATGCACATAAATACGAATACCTATTAGTCGTGACACCTACTTATCTGAACACCAGATACATGATACCCATTTTAAGGCCCTGCAATCCTCTTGCGAATCCTTTGGTGTTGCAAGTCTCCTTGGATTGAATTGATCAGCGCTGACAATTTATTATCATGGCGATATAAGAGCCTCGGAGAACTTAACGGGTTACCGGGGCTCTGGTTCGACGTGCAGGAGTAGGAACGGGGTGGTTTTTAGTCAGTACGAGTCTGACACTAAGGCGAGAGCAGTCATTCGAAGACTTTCTCCTTTAAAAAAAAATTCAAGGCAAATAAATCTTAGTGAATTGATTTAGCTTACTTAAGAGTTAAAACTCAATGCCAGTCTGAACGTGGTCGGCGTTCATTAGGCACTGTATTGTTTACGAGCTCACAAAGAAGGCTTGTTTAATTAGACGGTCTTAGGTCTTAGTTAGTGCTAACGTCTTTATTGCCTAATACCTAGACGATTATTGGTCGAGTTTCGGTCGTAATTTGTTAATTACGTGAATTATATTTATTATTTAGTTATCGTAAGCTGGTGTTAGAAGCTGCAATACTATTTTTCTTACGTTATTAGGCCAAATAAAAATTCTAGTTACTAACTAAGGTCATTGCAAACTGCAGAATTTCTAAGTTTCTTCATTTTTCATTTTTCTTTAGCTTTGAACCTTAGTATTTTTAATTTATATGTACCTATATCTCTAATATTTCTATGATACCTACCTTGGTTTACCCTCGCTTTATATTATATTTTTATTTTTTGTAGTTTAGTTATGTTATGTTTGTTCTGCGCAAGAATAAATGGTTTTTCTTTCTTTCTTCTAGTAATCGATTCGAAGTGAAATCACTTCTGTTTATTTTAGACTGCAGTGGCTAGGGAACAACTTTTTATCTGATCCACAAATTGTTATCTCGGGTCAGAGTGTGATGAGGTTGTGAATGGGAACAGAGGACAAAATCCTAATGCTATCGACCTCACCATAAATAATATCCCCGCGTTTCAACCACCAACACCAAAACTAAAAAGCTGCGACTAAAACTCATTTCAAAAATACACTATTTTGCTTTCATCTCGTTTGTATGTCCGTGTGTCGATGCCTCGATGGGCATGGGGTTAATAACTAAATTGATCCGTCTGACTGTCCCGACGTAGCTTGTCACACATATCAATGTTTTAAATTACACTCTGATTCATTGGCCCGAAATATTACTTGTATTAGTTCCGTGTGGTGACGAATTGACGATAAAGTAGAATACCCACAGAACATCGTCGTGTGAGTGAAGTTACCGGAGGCCCAATTACCCTCCACTTCTCAAATCTCCCCAATTCCCGAATCCCCAACGATCCTCAAACTCCTAATCCCCAAAAAGCCGGTAACGCAGTTGTAACGCCTCTGGTGTTCCAGGTGTCCATGGAAGACGCCGATTGCTTACCATCAGGTGAACTGTCAGCAGACAGTTAAACCGTTAGACCGGCAGAAAGTTAGTCGATAAACGAGCACGTTTACCAAAAGTTTAAAAAAAGAACATATAAAAAAGAAATTGTGTACAGTTATAAAAGATTAAGGGCTTGTTTCACAATATCTGGATAACCGCTATCCTGGTAGATAAATTCGAATTAAGAACAACACATAAGTTTATCAGGTACTTATATAGAGGTGGTCAAACCGGCGCTTAGTGTGACAGTAGCTACTGTCTCAATCTTTTCTTTCGATGTCACTATCCCCCTGCTGCCTGCCAACTACAGGACTGCTCATTTAACATTGTGTGCATCAGAACAATAATGTGTGGATTACATAAGCGATTACCTGCAGTAGTCGGTACGGTACTCACCTGTCGGTTGCCCTACCGCGCTCATGCGTCAACTATGCAATCAATGTCTGAGTTGTAGCACTTTTTAGCTACTAAACCCAACCAGCTTATCGGTTAGAAGTAAGCCAGTAAAATTTTAATAACTTACATATTCATTACCCATAGTTCACAAAACACAAACAAAACTTATGGTCCGATATTTTAATTAAAACTTAGACAAACAAAACAGCCTCTATTCCGAGAATAATGTTATCTTTATCAAGTAAAACGTATGTTTTGTTATATTTCCTCCATCATACCATTCAATTTATTTACGCATCTAAAACTATTACTCATTAAAATTCATTATTGTTTACTTGTTAATGAGTTAATAATAAGTACCTAGTTATTAGAGTTAGTTTAGACTCTACAAGCCAAAAGTGTGTCAAGTTAGTATGAAAGTAAAGCTAGTCACAAATTATACTTGTTTTTATGGAATAAGCCAGTAGCCGAGCAAACGGATAACCTGATACGCATGTAATCGACGTCGCCCATGGACACCCGGAACACCAGAAGCGTATTATAAGTGCGTTACTGGCACTGGCTGTTTGGGGATTAGGAATTTGATGATTTTTGGGGAGAGTGGGCCTCCGGTAACTTCACTACCACGACGAAACAAAATGCAAGCGTTGTTTCACAGTCGAGGTCGAGCCAGAGCATGGCAAAGCATGGCTCTCCCACACTTATTTATACGTATAGCTTTTTCAATTAAGGCGACATCCTTTTGACTTACCTACACTGAAATGCTTTTGCTAAGACAAATTTTGGTGAGAATAGTCAAATTACTGGTTTGTCTATCCCTGCTGGAAAAAGACGAGTAACAACTGTCGCCTTCGGAACACCTGCTAGGCTATTCTGCAACTTTCAATTCGAAAGATTCGAAGTAAACTCATGTCATTGGTTGAAAAAGTAATCTCGACCCATGACGGCTGAGAATGCGTGAAATGTGCGAAAGCCTACCTGAACCACCTGAGCCGTAGCCTGAGACGTATAAACCTTCAAAACTACTTCAAGATTTTTTTTAATGGGGGAAAATCATCGATTGGCTGCTCCCCGCTTGGGTGAGGCGGGAGGGAGTGTCAAACTCTTACTGACTAAATACCACCCCGTTCCTACTCCTGCGCTTCGAGCCGGAGCCCCGGTAACCCATTAGGTTCTCCGCGACTACTTCAAGTACTTGTGACTCCTTTATTAGGCGGCTATTCACAGATTCATGAACACTTACTATCTCTTATAAAGTGAATCACCTAACCGTTGAAGCACCTGTCCCATAAAAAGATTTAAGTCCATTACCCACTTATTAATTTAAAACTGCACTAATAAAGCGAAATGTCTAAAAAGGTCACAGTAAGGTTCACTAAAATTCACTATTTATCTCGTCTTCTAGTAGGTACCAGTAAATCTGTCGTATCATCCCTTGATTTATGTCACAACATAAATTACGACCAGAGACATAGGCCTCTCCCCATACATTTTGCGTCAACTTTTGCTGTGAAAGTGACTATTTATTAAAGTACCTAATCTTCTTTAGCCTAGTGTTTTCTTAGGCTTTTAGTTACTTAGAAGAATGATGTGTGAAATAGGTATGTACATATGAAGTTGCTGATAGATTTATCATATTCTAGACTGTTTTTTAAATAATTTGTAGGACTTGCATAATATGTCCTTGACTTTTTAATTTTTTAAAGAAGTTGTAAAAAGAACCAGCACATTCTTCTTACGAAAGTACCTGGTTGCAAAAAAGAAGACATAGCAAAATTCTAAATCGGACCTCATGACGTCACTTTGATTGTTTTAGGCCAAACTGGTGGGCTTATCAAATAAGAAGTTGACCTTTGTTAAAATTAAATATTCCATACTTAACACTATAATAAAGGACATAATCAGCTCTGCAAATATAAAACTAGTTCTAATTGAACACGTGTATTACACGTTCATTAATTCTCAATGAGGATGATTAAATCAAGTAAATACTCAATGGACCAGGTTCTAGAGATAACAGTGTGACTTGTGACACATTATTATGTCTTTAATGTTTATTATTCTATACTTTAATGAAGGATGTGCCTATCATTTGATATCGCATTGATCTGGCCCTGGCATGTACATACTTTGTTAATAGTTTATTTACTCTTACTAGATATAAACTAAATGATGTGTTCTAAATTACATAACCTGAAGTCTGATTAAGATTATTTCTATTTTAACGCCTGCTTTCAACTGGATAATGTACAACGGCTAACAGTTGTAATATGAAAGCGCTCATATCCTCAAAAAATAGAATATTAAGATTATTTTCGATGTAAATTTTCTTTAACATATGTTTAAATGTTGTTTGAGAATAAGTAAATAATAGCAGTGGTATCATCAGTGGTTACATCATGAATTAAAACCTTTTTAAAAGAAATCTTTCTGTCTTTTTCACTAACACAAAAACCAAATACAAATGCGTAATAAGAAACGTTGCCATCTGTGTCAAATTGACAGATAGATTCTAATTTGACAACCGTTCGGCTTGTTTTGTAAACAAACGGCGTTTATTTTGGAATTTTATTGGATTAGTACAGGAAATTAACTAAATACTTGATATAGTGAATTAAATAAAAATATTTTCTTGTTTCTTTCCACAGATTCCCTAAAAGATCCGTACATATGTGGATCACCGACATGTAACGGTAAGTTTATAATCAACTTTTAGTTTTAACACGTAACTCGCCTCGAATTTTACTGCACTTTTTAACCGACTTCCAAAAAGGAGACATTCTAGTATATTTAGATGTTATGTAGCTGAAACAAATTACCTTACCTTAAGAAATTAGTCTTTGTACTGTCTTTTCTTATTTTCAAATGAGGCCACCAACTTAAATGAAGATCATTTTATTAAATTTTCAACAACATAGCTTAACTAGCTAAGCTTCTTAATTTCAATGAAAGATTCCAGACTATATTAACCATGAAATAATTAAAAAAAAATCTAATGAATACAAGAAATAGACTACTGTCTTTGGATTCTCTCAAGAAGTTAATGATAAGAAAATAAGTATGGTTTCTTTGCTGCAATAATTTATTTAATTCTTTTATATTTCAGAACCGGAGAAGTTTAAGTATTTACTAGATGTAATCTACCACTATGAATACAAAGTCAATGTTGAGACCTACTTCGCTGGCTCCAGTAATAACCGGTCCACACTGGATGTTAGGGCTGTGGTAAGTTCTTTTATTACTACATATTTATAGTTGCAACAAACCTTATAAGTTATGCAGTTTCTTGCTCGTTCTTTTCCATTCTACACTATACTTTTAAACGAGCCCTTAGCTTCATTGACAGACAGACGGATGGACAATTAATAATTGATTTAAATAAAAGCTTTGACTTTGATTACTTTTGCTTATTTCTTACTAATATTATGAAAGTAACAGTTTGTACATACGGTGTTTATGTGTTTGTGTGTATGTTTGTTACTCAATTACGGCTGAACGGCTGTACGGATTGGTATGAAATTTGGAGCAGGGGTAAATTATGGACTGGAATAACACATAGGCTACTTTTTTAGCTCATGTGACCGTAGATGAAGCCGCCGGCAGAAGCTAATATTATAAACTATCTAAGCCCGCGACTATTGTCCCCTAAATTTCTTCATACAAAAGTAGTCTCTAAACATCGGAAATAAGGTCTATAATGTAGTTAGTGGAGAGAGGTCACCGGTTAATAAGTTAAAATATTAATTGTTTATCTTATAAGCAAAATCTAATAATAATAACAGTCTTATAAATACACAATATCAATTAGAAATGGAAGTTCCCCATAATCCAGTCACCATACCATACAAAGGTTATCATATGCTAACATACGACTCATTGAAATATAAATTTTATCTGTTACAGCCTAAAATTCAATTTATAACACCATGTGAGGGTCTGCTGCAGCTGACTGATGTTACCCTTATAGATCAAGATGAAAACTACCCGGTGGAGAGAGCTGAGAAGTTCATTCATGCTGTCTCACTCTTTGATCTTCGGTAAGTTATTAAGGCATTTTTCTTAAGATTTTTTTGACTATAAATAAATGTTTTAACAATGCGATGAAAGTGTGTCATCTTCCTACCTATCGCTTGAGGGTCGTCTATTAATCACGTGAGGATCGAAAGGGGGAGAGGTGTTCGAAAAAAATCACGAAATATCACAACGCGGGACGGGTTAAATTGGGATATCACGTGTATTTATTTTTCATTGACAACTCGATTGTTAAACAAAACGGTGGCGAATATGATTTTTATGCTAGTCAAAAACAACCTGCAACCTCAATGTCTGTCTAGACATTTCTATCACAAAGCTAAATTTCCCAAAATTTAATCACATGATACCTGTATTTAAAGATGATATTCTGAAAATATCAATATACTTTATGCTGAAAAAATACACGTGATTTTGGCTAGAGGGGGGGGGATAGTCTAAAACCTCACTACATATTACCAGAAGGGGGAAGGGGGTTAAAAAGTTGCTAAAAAAAATCACGTGATTAATGGACAGCCCCTTGCTTCGTTGGTCGAGCGCGGTTGTCGAGTGAATCTCTGGTTAAATCGAGACAAGCAAAGTATGACTATCGTTTAATTTTCAAAATTCTCAGTAAGAGGGGCCTATTGATGAGGGGCCTATTATATACAATAGGCCCACTACTCCCCTATTGCCTAGGTATATACTCGTGAAAATTGGGTGTTACATTGTTTAAATGCAATCTCCTGGTTTTGTTGGAGTTTCAAAGGCAAGATGTTAATATTTTGCTATAAGTTTATATTCTAAGCCTCAACCAGATACGGGTTGCCGGGCTCCAAGTGCAGGAGTGGTTTTTAGTCAGTAAGAGTCTGACAATCCCTCTCGTCTCACCCGGGTGGCAAAGCTATTGGACGATATGCACCCTTAAAAAAAATTGAAAATAAATGTTTGTTTCATTTAAATTTAAGCAATATTACTTTCTTTCAGATTCGCATTCCACGATGGTATCGTCTCAGAGATATGTCCGGAGCCGGAGGAGGAGGATTGGGTACTTAACTTCAAGAGAGCCATCCTGACACTCTTCCAGAATACCATGAAGAGGTTCGATATCAACTTCAATGGAGTTGAGGTATGTACATTATTGGTTTTATTTGAAACATAACATAACATAACATCACGCCTTTTATCCCCGAAGGGGTAGGCAGAGGTGCACATTATGCCACTGTACAATGTAACACCCTTTTTGAATTTAATTTGAAACATTCTTTACTATAATTATATTGTACTAGGTGACTAAAGAGTGCTCGTCAATGCAACTGCCAAACAAGGGGTCCGATTCCTCGGTTGGCAAGTTAATGTTGGATTCATCAGTGCCTAATAGTTCTGATGTTTCACATAGTGGTGTGATGTTTCGTATATCGAGAGGCTGATGTAAAATCAGAGTACTGAACAAACAGTCTCGGATTCGATTCCCAGGTCGAACAAAGTATTAAATATTGGATTTTTTTATTTTTAAATAGGATGTTTGTTATACTAAAACCTACTTAAAAGTACCCTTAACTGACGAGCATGCATGATGCACGAGATTGATGACTGTTGATGAACCGAAAGAGGTATGTAGGAATCGTAGTAATTGGGGGTTCCCTAGTCTCTGCCTACCCCGAGGGCGATAGGCGTGAAGTTATGTATGTATGTATGTAAAACCTACTTCTAAGTGTAACAAACACTTTTCTGAAAACCGAATAAAAATCGGTTTAGCTAATCACGAGATATACGAGCGCAAACAAACAAACATATATATAGACAGACTGGTCAAACAAAGACCCTTTTTTAACTCTGATTTAAAAATATTTTTTCTATTTTTCTCCACAGCAAGACATCCACGGTACATGTAACGTGGACTACACGGTCCGCGGCCAAGAGAATACGAGCCTTATCCTAGTGAAAACAAGAGATCTTTCACAATGCACCAACCGATACAAGTACATGTCTATTCTGCAAACTGTGAGATACGACTTTCAGAGTGTGAGTATTGTTTACTACTTTTGTTTAATAGTAAGATTTCAATCATCAATAGCCAGAGGCCTTAGTACGAGTTTCTGTTTCGTTTAAAGTAATCGTAACGAGTACACGTTCGGTGCTGTGATTGGCTGGCTCTACTGAACTAACCAATCAGAGCACAGAACGCCGTCTCGTTTCGATTACTTTAAACTAAAAATAAACTCGTATTAAGGCCTCAGTAATAAGTTATTAGAGAACTAAGAAGGTTCGCTATAATCTCCATATTTGGCTAGATTAGTAAAAAGTTTTAAGTGCCCCTTCACATTAAGACGTTAGCAGCGCGACAGTAGCGCGGCAGAAGCGCATTCTTTCACATTATAAAAACGGCCGCGCGTTAGCAGCGCCTGTCATTCAGTGTGACTTCACTTTAACCGGGGCGGAAGGAGTAATTTGATGGTTTTCTCCCCTACAAAGTCTTGAACATAAAAATATTTTATAGGTGGCGTAATAGACAGTTTCTCTATATTAACTATAAATAGCAGGTTACACTCATGAATATACTAGTTTCGAGTCAGAGAGGGGTTGCGCGACCACGCAGCGACCGCGCACGCTGCTCATGAGGAAGAGCCCCTCTGTGACTCGAAACTAGTAGAGCTTTTCTCAGTATATTCACGTGAGTAACAGGCGATTTATAGTTAATTTAGTATGTCTCACGATAGATAATTTAGTCCTTGGAAAAACAATAATTAATTTATGATGTTTAAACATGTTTACAGAGATTCCAAACATGGCCCGTATTGAAATCGGAGAGCAAGTGTCGTATAACGGTAGACCACCATATCTATAAGGCGGTCAGTTGCCGCGAGCGACATCTGTTCGAACCGTTCTCCGGCAAGAACTCCGGAGCCATGACCACTGTAGTACAGGATCTGATGTTGATTAGAGAACTTAATAAGACTGATTCTGAAGTTATTGAGTCGCAACCTAAAGGTAAGAATTGATATTGTTTCTTTTCAATATATTTTTTTAATTTATCGGTTAGTGCAAGTGTCAATTACGGTGGAGGGTCCGGGATCAGACAAAAATGGTTAATGTTAATGATTTTCAAAAATAATTACTAATGCCTCCGTTACGTCATTGTACGAGTACTCATACCTTGCTCGGTAATTACACACTTCCGAGCAAGGGATTTAAGGATCGACTCCCAGTTCAAACCATAAAAATATTTTATAGTTTCTGTAAACATATTTTTTTAGCATATAATCTAGAATTGTGCGCGATTTATGGCAATAGAGCTTATTTGATTTTATATATTACTGATGAAAAGTGGGTGTGAAACCAGCGATTACCTAGAAACATGGCGTTATTATTACCCACAAGTTACATAGATTAATAAGTTATATTCATAATACTACATAGATACCAATTATTGATTCGTTGACTTATAAAACAGCAAATAAATAAGTCGAAAAGTGCACCGAATAAGTTTAGGTAGCGCTATAGATCAAAGCGTGAGATTTCCAATTAGTGGGTAATTCGTTGACTTGTTTTAAATGATATACAGCGCCATCTATACCAGAACACACAGCGCCATCTATACCAACATTTTTGTTTTCTCTCGGGAAGTTCAAATTTTTTCGGAATAAAAAATACCCTATTATTTAATCTGAACTTCTAACTTTACGTCTGCAAAATTTTAAAGCAAACCAACTCACTTTCCGATTTATAACATTATACATACATAAACATAAATATAATAATTATATGGGACCAATAAGTTATAGGTACTAAATAAATATATTTTATTTCGCAGCATGGGTAGAAATACCTCGTCGCTCGAACTTGTTACACCACCACATCGTGTACGTGGGGGATGACACCGGGGGACTCAAGTCTGCTAGGGACGTGCTCAAACTGTTGTGCATGTAAGTATTATTACTTTATAATGTAATTTTTGAAATATTATGAGAAAGATAGTGGTTGTGTATTTTGACATACAAGTTGAGCTATTTATAATAGGGTAGTTGCTTACATTTTATTTTAATGTCCGTCTGGTACATTAATTTAAAATTTTAGACACGTATTTTTGTTTTCTCACAAAATTAAATACTTTCGACGATATATTAATTTGAAACATCCAGTAACGTCACAGCGTGCCACATTTTGTAGCACATTATGACGTAACGACTAAATTTAACGCTATTTTATCTAAGTATTGCAACTTAATACGAGAAAATGAAAAATACGTGTCTAATATATTTTCATTATCCAACTGTTGGTTATTACAGACTAATTCGATTTTTAATTTTGACTCTCTGGAAATTACCCAATTGCGTTATTCGATTACAAAATATTCATTCAATTCAAGTCTAAAATTGTGACCAATGTTTGAAGCCATTAAAAGTTCCATAAACCCTTTGTCTCGAAACATGTTTTTATGTTAAACTGTTTTGCTTACTAAACAACTAAAAAATCTTATATTTTTAGGTTCACGTAATGCTACAGACTGTAATTGCGCCGTATGGTATAGGCTCACCACCTATCACATAGTACCCAGTCATAACATAATTGGGTACTTTCCGAATTCAAACTGTTCAATAAAATAAAATATTAAAAAATAATCACACTTTCATTAATTCATTTTATGACCAACTTTATTTTAGTATTTATCCAGCATTTTTTTAAGATATAAGTATGCTGTTTGACGCTAAAAATCGTGACGTACACTATACACAATCTAGTAAAAAATTAATGTAAAATTGTCGTTTTTTGACAGTTCTGAAAAGCATTGAATTTTTGACTAGTTGGCAATTACCCAATTGGTAACATACATAATAGTAAATTGGGTGAACATTTAATGAATTCCCCTTGACTTTAACCCCTCGAGCGGCCTTATGAGCACCCGGTGGATCATAAGAAAAAATGCTCCAAATGTCGCGTGTGCACCCGTTGGATCATAAGGAATCCGTTGTTATTGGATGTAATTTTTCGACGTTTATTTATTTGTAGCAACACAATTTGGCTATATTTAAGGGAAATAAAATGCATGAAATTATATTTTCTCAATTCCAGGGTAAAGGACACGACAGCAGAGAACCACCAGTCCCTGAACGTGGACGAGAACATGGACAGTGGCTCCACTGTCGGACTCTGGGGACGACTAGTCCGAGCGGCCAGGCCACTACACTACCCCGCACTGTCGCAACTACTGGCGCGAGCTCCTACTATTTGTAAATCTGCTAAGTGAGTATAATTGTTAAATGTCTATTATCTTATTTATTTATTTATGTACACACATTCAACACAGAGGACAATACATAATAAAAAAACAGAGTACATAGGCCCCACATATTCCAACTGGAATTTCTTCCTGTAGGCCTGTTTCAGGAAAAGAAATAACAACACTGAGACACATAGTGTGTTATACAAACAAGATAAAAATCAATTAATAAAAAAAAGTAATAAGACCGAAGAAACCAATAGAAATAACAATAATAAACAATAAAACAAATTAATATAATACATATATATAAAAATATAGACAAACAAATCTATATTTCAAGAGGAAAGATAATGTTCTCTTCTTATCTTATACTATTATATAAAGCGGAAGAGTTTGTTTTTTTGTTTGTTTGTTTGAACGCGCTAATCTCCGTAACTACTAGTCTGATTTGAATAATTCTTTTTTGTGTTGGATAGCACATTTATCGAGGATGGCTATAGACTATAAAACATCACGCTACGAACAATAGGAGCTGAGCAGAGCGTGTGAAATCGCGCGGAAGTAGATAGTGTGATATAATGTGTATAAGAGAGACGTTTCAAAGTGCAATTTATAAGATTTCACGTTAGAGCCGTGCGACGTCGTTGCTGGGCCGCCTGCACCGATGTGATACTACAGCTGAACTAAAAGCCGACGTGAAACAACATTTGAGTTGTGTTTCATCGTTTGAGTTCAATTACTAGAGAGCCAACCCCCTGCCCTCAACCCAATCCCCAATCCCCCAAATCCTGGTAAAGCACTTGTAACGCCTCTGGTTTTCCGAGTATAATTGCTTCGTTTGAATTCAATTACTAGAGAGCCAACTCCCTGCCCTCAACCCAGTCCCCTATCCCCCAAAACCCGATAAAGCACTTGTAACGCCTCTGATTTTCCGAGTATGATTACTTACCATCGGTTATCCTTTTGCTCGGTTTGCCGTATCGTACGTACATAGTATAAAACAAAGTCGCTATCCGCCGTCTGTCTGTCCCTATGTATGCTTAGATCTTTAAAACTACGCAACGGAATTTGATACTGTTTTTTTAATAGATGGAGTGGTTCTTAAGGGAGGTTTATATGTATAACTAGCTTTTACCCGCGGCTTTGCTCGCGTCACAAAAGGATAAAAAGTAGCCTATGTGACATATACCAATACATACAGCGCCATCTATACCAATATTTTTGTTTTCCCTCGGGAATATCAATTTTTTCCGGGATAGAAAGTACCCTATTATTTAATCCGGACCACTAACTTTACGTGTGCAAAAATTTAAAACAATCGGTTGAGTAGTTACGGCGTGAAGGTGGAACAAACAAACAAACTCACTTTCAGATGTATAATATTAGTAAGGAAGTAAGGATAAGGATATACAAAAATGAATCCCTTTTTCCTCGTTGGCCTAGTGGTCGCAAGTGCGACTGCCGGGCAAGGGGTCTCGGGTTCGATTCCCGGGTCGGGCAAAGTATTACTGGGTTTTTAATAAAAATCTCAGTAGTAGCACGGAGTCTGGAATTGTGCCCGGTACATGGCAATAGGCTCACCCCCTATTACATGGGACTCATAACATAAATAGTGAAAAGTGGGTGTTACATTGTACAGTGGCATAATGTGCACCTCTGCCTACCCCTTCGGGGATAAAAGGCGTGATGTTATGTTATGTTATGTTATGAATCCCTTTTTCCCTTAGTCACAGCATCGCGCGTGAGTGTCTGGACCGATTTCACTAATGCTTTTTTTGTTGTATTTATTATTATTACTTCTAACTTTACGTCTGCAAAAAATCAAAGCAATCGATTTAGTCGTTACGACGTAAAAGCGGAACAAACAAACAAACAAACTCACTTTCCGATTTATAATATTAGTAAGGATACATGCATATTGCAACCGTGCCGAGACGGGTCGCTAGTCTGAGTATAAAACCGTTAGCCATCATTTCACTACTTTTGAGAAACCCTAATAGTCTTTAAATGTACCCTTTAAATCTCATCTTACCTTTTTATTTCTTTCTTTCCCACAGCAAACACATTCTAGATGCCCTTCCCTACATCGCAAGCCCTGGCTCAGTGGAACTCATCAAAGAAATGATCATAAAGAACGCAGTTGAGGACGAAACCAGACACGAGTGGCTCATGTCCATGGCTATGATACCACGGTGAGTTGCTAATATAGACTTTATATCAAGGACCATAGAGTAGGTTTTTAAAGTTGTATTTGAAGCTTATTTTGTGGGTATGTCAGTTTTGAATGGCATATGATGTAGCGCATTTCGGAGGGTTTATGAGACTAAGAGAGAAAATTGAACTGTATTGTTAGGGTGATAAGATTGATTTTTAAATGTTAGTATTTGTTGATGATCGATTGATGGTAGTGATCTAATCAGAAGCCTTAAATGAAAGTAATTTAAATCCGAAAGCAAGGAAATAAGAACTCTATAAATAATGTCAAGTAGCTCTTTATTCTATAACTGAATACATCAATGTATGACGTCTTAGCGCTAGAGTCATTGTATCCTGAACAATGCAAAAACGACTATATTGCTTATAACATAAAGTTCTTTTTCCAATTTCAGTCCAAAGAAGCAGATGTTAGACAGTATGCTGGAACTGCTCCAAAAACAGAAGAATGACAAAGTGATCAGTTTCACCGTGTCTTCCATGGTACACTCATACTGCAAACATAGTGGGAAGGAATGTGAGTATTTATTATTTTTTATGGGATAAGCCAGTAAACGAGCAGACGAATCACCTGATGGTAAGCAATCGGCGCCACCCATGGACACCCGCTACTCGCTACACCAGAGGCGTTACAAGTGCTTTACCGGCCTGAATTTGAGAATTGAGAATTTGAAGATTTTGGGGGAAATTGGGGATTAGGGGGGGAGAAGGGGAAGAGGTGTAATTTCTGCTCGGCCGTGGTATCACTCCGGGCGAGTCGGCCCATTCGTGACGAAGCGTGGCTCTCCCACACATATAAGCTTTATAATGCTTGTTTATATCAATACTGCCTCGTTGGCTAAGTGGTTGCAAGTGCGACTGCCGAGCAAGCGGTCTCGGGTTCGATTCCCGGGTCGGGTAAAGTATTCCTGAGTTTTTTTTAATTCTCAGTATTAGCCCGGAGTCTGGAATTGTGCCCGATATATGGCAATAGGCTCACCCTATTATATAAGACTCATATGTAGCGTTTATGGCAGTTGTCTAGTCAACTGGTCAACATTATAACTGAATAAATACTGACGTAATTTGTAATTTATTGTAGAAATTCTAGGAATGATAGAGATTTAAAAGTGAAAATGTTAAAAACACTACTATTATCTCTGTGTTAATTTCCAGTACGCGAATGCTGCGAAGAGGATACTCCAAGAGCCATCGCACTAGAATTCGAAAACATAGTCCAGGAGATATCTGCTAAAGGTGTCATCAAAACTAGAGAAGACAGAAACAATGTAAGTATATTTTAATTATTCCTTTATTAAATCAAAGTATGTTATTATTTATAAGCATAGTGGTAAACTTTATGTAATTTAATTTGATATACTCAAACGGCAATCAATTTTAAATCGCGCTTTAGTTAGTTCGACAGTTAGTTAGTTGGTTAGTTAGTCAGTGAGTTAGTTAATTAGTTAGTCAGTTAGTTAGTCAGTTAGTTAGTCAGTTATTCAGTTAGGTAGTCAGTTAGTTAGTCAGTTAGTTAGTCAGTTAGGTAGTCAGTTAGGTAGTCAGTTAGTTAGTCAGTTAGTTAGTCAGTTAGGTAGTCAGTTAGTTAGTCAGTTAGTTAGTCAGTTAGTTAGTCAGTTAGGTAGTCAGTTAGTTAGTCAGTTAGTTAGTCAGTTAGTTAGTCAGTTAGGTAGTCAGTTAGTTAGTCAGTTAGTTAGTCAGTTAGTTAGTCAGTTAGGTAGTCAGTTAGTTAGTCAGTTAGATAGTCAGTTAGGTAGTCAGTTAGTCAGTCAGTCAGTTAGGTAGACAGTTAGTTAGTTAATTAGTTAGTCAGTTAGTTAGTCAGTTAGGTAGTCAGTTAGTTAGTTAATTAGTTATTCAATTAGTTAGTCAGTTAGTTAGTCAGTTAGGTAGTCAGTTAGTTAGTCAGTTAGTTAGTCAGTTAGTTAGTCAGTTAGGTAGTCAGTTAGTTAGTTAGTTAGGTAGTCAGTTAGTTAGTTAGTTAATTAGTCAGTTAGGTAGTCAGTTAGTTAGTCAGTTAGTTATTCTTGAGAGTTTTATAGCTACAATAGATTGTTTGATTCCGTGGGCAAATTATTATTGAAGTTTTTTAACTTCAAGATTCTTAGTATTAGCACGCTGAAATATGGCCTAATGTATAGTATGATAATAGACTAGCCCCCTTAAATAACCAACGAAAACTGAAATCTAAAAACAAATAAAAGATTACATGCAACGCACGCACAATTCCAGCCTTTTATACCGCCACCAGATGGCTTCGTTTTATGTAACATTCTTCGCTATAAACCTCACGGAGCCCGAGACCTTTCCAACGAATGCAAAACTATGGAAATCGGTTCGTGCGTTCTGGAGTTATAGCGTCAGGAAGGAAAACCTTATTTTTATATCTATATATATAAAAGAAAGTCGTGTTAGTTACACTACACCACTTATAACTCAAGAACGGCAGAATAAATTTGGCTGAAAATTGGTAGGGAGGTAGCTTAGAGCCAGGAGACCGACATAGGATACTTTTTAACCAACATTTTTTTTTTACTTTTTACCGAAAATCACAAACGGGGACGGAAAAAAATGGGATTACGTACGCTAGTAGTAGATAATTATAGATTTTGAGAATGAAACGCCTACCTAGAAATTGAAACTTTAATGTTACTAACAAAAATTAATATGATTTGTTTCAGATCATAATAGCAATCAAAGCTCTCGGCAACATCGGTGGCTTTAGAAAGGAGTTTGCAGACAAATTGCTGAACATTATCGGCGATAGTCTCGTACCTGTACCCGTTCGATTGACGGCCGTAGACGCCTTCAGACGGACAACTTGCGATGAAACTCGGTAATGTATTACTGAGTGGTGTTTTGTATCGACTTTATACCCCAGAATTAAGAGTGTTTATAGTAAAGTATACTAAAAGTATTACCTCGTTGGCCGAGTGGTCGCAAGTGCGACTGCTAGGTAAGAGGTCTCGGGTTCGATTCCCGGGTCGGGCAAAGTATAATTTGGTTTTAAAAAAAATCTCAGTACTAGTACGGAGTCTAGAAATGTGCCGGGTATATGGCAATAGGCTCACCCCCTATTACATGGGACTCATAACATAAATAGTGAAAAGTGGGTGTTACATTGTACAGTGGCATTAAGTGCACAATCTCCATTCTCAGAAAACGGTTTAGAGATCACAGATCGCCAAAAAATCCTTACTAATATTATAAATCGGAAAGTGAGTTTGTTTGTTTGTTTTGAATTTTTGCAGACGTAAAGTTAGAAGTCCTTATTAAATAATAGGGTACTTTTATCACGGAAAAATTTGATATTCCCGAGGGAAAACAAAAGTATTGGTATAGATGGCGCTGTGTATATCTTTATATGTCACATAAGCGCGTAAAAGCTAGTCTAATATAAAATATCTTTCCACAGTGAATACTTCCTAGAAACATTCAGAGCGGACTACATGAATTTGGAAGTACGTTTAGCGTCATACGTACAAGTTATGAAGTGTCCCGACCTGGGCACGCTCCGGAAGATCTTCCACACACTGCAAGATGAACCTGTAAATCAAGGTAATATGGTAGCTTTTTCTTTGAACTTTATTAATATTATAATGTGTAAAAAAAAGAATAACTGAGATTGATTCGAAAATGGAATTCTATATAACGATGTTAAGGTGGCTTTTTGGTTAAATTTCTTATTAATTTTATTCCATTATGTGTACACAATTCTAATAGATGAGATCTATATACCATTCAAATTGAAACTCTAAAGCTAAGTTAATAAGATTGTTTCTTGTTTGAACTTCATTGCGATTGAGTTTTGTGAGAATTTAAAAATCAACTGCCTCGTTGGCCGAGTGGTCGCAGTTGCGACTGCCGGGTAAGGGGTCTCGGGCTCGATTCCCGGGTCGAGCAAAATATTACTGGGTTTTTAAAAAAATCTCAGTAGTAGCACGGAGTCTGGAACTGTGCCCGGTATATGGCAATAGGCTCACCCCCTATTACATGGGACTCATAACATAAATAGTGAAAAGTGGGGGTTACATTGTACAGTGGTATAATGTGCGCCTCTGCCTACCCCTTCGAGGATAAAAGGCGTGATGTTATGTATGTATGTGTTAAAAATCAACATAATATTTATGGTAATCTACCCAATAGGCCGTCAGTTAGATAACGAAAAAATATTTGACACGTATTTTTTTTTTCTCGTATAAAGTTACAATACTTAAATAAAATGTCGTTAAGTTTAGGAGTGGGAGGTAGTTACGTCACAACGTGCTACATTTTGTAGCAAGCTGTGACGTCACGCGACATTTCAAATCAATATATCGTCAAAAGCATTTAATTATGTGAGAAAAGAAAAAATACGTGTCTAATGTTTTAAAATAATCTACCAAACGGACATTTAAATAAAAATTAGGAAACTACCCTATTCTTCGTACTAATCTAAACTAATCGTACTTATAATTTACACGTAGTCAATTTTTTTCTAAAACTTCTCCACTCTCTCTTTTTCAATCTCTCTTACTCCCTCTTGCTCAACTAAACTCTAACGCTTTTCAACAGTAACAACATTCGTATGGAGCCACCTGAGGAACCTCGCAGAATCCTCGCTTCCATCTCGAGTGGAGATCCAGGGACTTCTGTCTGGAAACCAGATCCCGCACCTGGAAGACAGTCCAGACTTCAGAATGTATTCCAGGAACTATGAACAGGGCGTGTTCTTTGATCAGTATAATGCTGGTAGGTGGAATATTCAGCTATTACGTGACTTAAATTTTAGACCTAATATTAATTATTGTCTGCCTCGTAGGCCGAGTGGTCGTACTGCCGGGCAAGGGGTCTCGGGTTCGATTCCCGGGTCGGGCAAAGTATTACTGGGTTTTTAAATATTCTCAGTAGTAGCACGGAGTCTGGAATTGTGCCCGGTATATGGCAATAGGCTCACCCCCTATTACATGGGACTCATAACATAAATAGTGAAAAGTGGGTGTTACATTGTACAGTGGTATAATGTGCACCTCGAAGGGGTAGGCCCTTCGGGGATAAAAAGGCGTGATGTTATGTTATGTATTAATTATTGTCTATTTGACGTATACCTCAGTTGGCACTGCTACATTGGATTCAGGTTAGAAAGACTTGTGACTAAAAGTTCAGCTATTTCGTTTGTAAAATTAAGAATTCATTGTTATGTTTTCGGCTTAACCACGTAACTGTTTGACGTGGAACTCGACTAGCCAAGGAATGCTGCTCATGAATATGAACCTCTAGCATGGCTTGAAACTAGTCGAGTTCCACGTCAAACAGTTACGTGAGTAAGCCGAAAATATAATAAATAATTTAGTATATCTCTCGGAAGTTATATCATAAAAATTATGAATTGTTACTTACAGCTAAAATAAAACAGAAGTGTGGCGTACTTGTATTGCACCTTCTTTGGCTTGTTGTGTTCCAGCCAAATACTCATGTTCTCAGTAACCAGTAAGACCATCTTAACAATTGAGTCCTTTTTGATCAAAAATAAATTATTTTTACTGTTCAATACAATTAAATATTAAAAAATAGTCACATTAATTGATTTAATGAGCAACTTAATTTCAGTATGTTTCCAGCATTATTTTAAGAAATAATAACGTGACGTCACAATACACAATCTCGTACAAAATTTATAAAAATAGTGTTATTTTTGACAGTTCGAAAAAAGTATTGAATTTTACTAGAGGTAGTTGGCTAGTACCCAATTAGATTAGACGAGCATATACGAATCATATGAGTTTGATGATAAACCCGAACAGAGGGCTGACGAATCCTCCGCAAATAAAGTTAAAGGAATTTGAGGATTGTTGGGGATTCAGGGAAGGATGGTAATTGGGCCTCCGGTAACCACAATCCCACGATGTTTTCTGTGAAGCCGTGTAGTATCGCTCCGGTCGAGCCGGCCCATCCGTGCCGACACATGGCTCTCCCACACTAACACTTAATACTAATAAATTACAGACATATCATCGAGGCTGGTTGGTTCTTCCTTTTTTTTAAATTAGAGGAAATTTTGACTTAATTTTTCATTCTATCTCCAGGTGGTAACTACGAAGCGAACGTGATATTCACTCCGGATTCGTACATACCTCGGTCATTCTCTCTCAACCTCACTGTCGACATGTTCGGAGAATCCATCAATTTGTTTGAGGTAAGTTTTAGATGTAAGATTATCACACATACACATCAACAGCCTGTAAGTGTCCACTGCTGACCAAATCTTGACTACACGTATTTCGCGGTGGCTGGGCAACTGGCTGCGGCGCAACATTTCGCGGGTTGATTCCCGCACGGAACAACTCTTTGTGTGAGCCACAGATTGTTGTTCCGGGTCTGGGTGTCATGTGTATGTGAACTTGTGTGTTTGTAAACGCACTCACGACACAGGAGAAAACCCTAGTGTCGGGGGCTACGTTTCAAAAAAAGACATCCATAACATTTAAATAATTTTTGTATTTAAAAAATCCTCTTTCCCAGATGAAAGCCCGTGGCGAAGGTTTCGAGCGGTACTTCGAGAGTTACTTCGGTAACAACGGACCGCTAAACAAGAACAAACTGACGGAAAAGATCAGCAACCTTCGCTTCTTCAGGTCTACCAACGAAGCTGATGAGGTCAGGGAGAAGATTGACAATCTGGAGTATAAGAATGAGGCGCTTAAACATAGGTATTTATTAATATTAACATTGCCAGTTTTTGCTAAACTATAGGCCTCCTATCCTTAGGAGGGGTTTTTTTAATCTCCATACTTGGCTAGCGGGTTGGAGATCACGATCACAAAGGTTGGGTTGAAATGGACTATTAATATCCCTTCGAGCGTCCGCGTTCCTTATGATCCAACGGGTGCACACGTGACATTTGGAGAAAGAAAAAAAGAAATAAAATGCATTTTTGGCCATTGGCACACGAAAACAAGTTTCATTACAATAGAAATAAAAAATACAGTCAAAATAAAAACAAAACATTAATAATAGATTTTATAAAATAGAAAGCAGCATGGAGCATTTTTTCTTATGATCCACCGGGTGCTCATAAGGACGCTCGAGGGGATATAGAAAGAAAAAAAAAACGATTTATTACGCAACGACACATAACTAGAATACAGGTACACACAAAAAGCCCATGGTGCGTCGCAGCGGAAAAGACGAGATCAGCTTAATACTATGGCCCGGGCATGAAGGCCTTATAGAATAAATTCAGACGTTACTTTTACGAAAATCCATGCTTCACTAACAACTGGGAATATATTCAGTTTTTCGATTTAAAAACTTAAATTAATCCTTAATACTATAAATGGGAAAGTGAGTTGTTTGTTCTGCTTTCACGCCGTAACTTCTAAACCGATTGCTTTGAATTTTTGCAGACGTAAAATTAGAAGTCCGGATTAAATAATAGGATACTTTTATCCTTTTGTGACGCGAGCGAAGCCGCGGGTGAAAGCTAGTAATTAATAATGTAACTAGAGAATTGTATTGTGAACCTGATTGAAAAAGAGTAACCTATGGAGTTTCTTGATCGTTCTTCTCCATAGGAATCTACACCTTGGAATGAGCAAATAGCTTCATTTTTAATTTTATTGTTGACGTTCAAAAGTGCCTTTCTGGTCTAATTGAAATAAATGATTTTGACTTTGACTTTGACTAAAACTATAATCGGTTATTAGCTGCGACTTTTGTGGCATCACAGGACGAAAATGGGTGGTGATAAATGCGTTCTAGTTTAAATTCACATGGCTTAAAAAAGCTGGTTGCCTGTAAAGTCGGTATACGGGCGAAAGTTTTACGTAACAACGACTTTGAGTGGTAAAATAATTTTAATGTGAATATTCATTCGTATAGTAGGAAGAAGGATGTATCTCTCCACTCTGTCTCTCTCGCTCTGTCTCTCTCGCTCTTAGGCGGGCTAACCATGCCCGAGTGGAAGGGACGCGTGCCTCTCACTCGCTCTCATTGTGAGCGCATAACGTGAGCGGAGCGTAACGCAGTTTCTTGAAGTGTCACCCGGCAAACCAATTTATAAGACGTTGTCACGTCAAAATGTACAGTAAATGATTATTTTTTAATTCTTTTACTTTAGGTTCCCAATGGCCGAGCTGGGTATCAAAGTGTTTGGTAACGAGATCTCCTACTGGAACGCTGAAGGCGACGAAGAGATCATGAAGTCACTAGCTAGACTCAACCCACAACTCAGAGTATTGGAGATATTGTCTGGAAAGGTAAGTCAAATTCGACCTTATAATAAAGGGGATGTAAGGTTAAGAACCTTAATATAAAGATATATGATGATTAAAAGTGGTAACTGATAATACCACTTAATGGTAGTTATGTCATATGTCTCCATTTAATTATGGTGTGTTTAGAAACCTAGTCGAATTAAATTCTTTAACTCGTCGAGTACCGGTTTTATAGACACAATTAAAGAACAATAGGTCGCGGTCACCGGTGACCGCTTGGTGTTTGACAGTTTAATTCATACGGAACTATCAAACCCGGCGAACTCCGTTTCGCCACCAGATGGCTTCGGGCTATGTAACATTTCGTTTGGTGATTAAAATTTGAAGAAAACTCTTTTTCCTGAATTTGCTATAAACCTCACGGAGCCCGAGACCTTTCCAACGAATGCAAAACCGTGGAAATCGGTTCGTGTGTTCTGGAGTTATAGCGTCAGGAGGGAAAACCCGACTTATTTTTATATAGTAGATTATCTAACCTTTCTAGAATTTCACCCCAAGGGTTGTTTCATTTAAACTAATGACTTCTTTTTTCTAATTTGACTAAACTGCGCTAACGCAAGGACTTCTCAGTATAAAGAAAATGTTTATATTGTTTTTATTTTTTTTATTTCGTATTTATGAAACGTTACTCCATACTAAGATTTTCTCCTGTGCCGTGGGTGCGTTTACAAACATACAAGTTCACATACACATGACACTCGGACTCTTAAATTCGAAATCCAAGACAAAGACAAAGACTGCACGGTTGGCGCGGTGGTTGGGCAACTGTCTGCCGCGCAACGTGTCGCGGATTCGATTCCCGCATGGAACTTTTTGTGTGATCCACAAATTGTTGATCCGGGTCCGCGTGTCATGTGTATGTGAACTTGTATGTTTGTAAACGCATTCACGACACAGGAGAAAATCCTAGTGAGGGGCAAAGTTTAAAAAAAATTGTATTGGAAATGAAAAGTAGACTGTAATTGGATAACCTTTGTTAAGTAAAAATAGAAATAAAAGACATAATATCCTGACCCCAAAAAACTATATCAACACCAATCGTTTTTCACCACACACGAACTCAACTAAAACCTTCTTTACCCCACAGGAAATATCCTACAACAAAGCTTCACTATTCCTCGACACAACGTTCTCGGTGCCTACTGGCGCCGGACTACCGATGAACATGAACCTCATGGGCACCAGCTACGTCAACACCAAGATGTCTGGCACTGTGCTAGATAATTATAGGGAGTCTGGTAACTTGGACTTTGAAGGGAAATTGAGACCCAGGTGAGTTAGAATAGTTTCTGGTCGTCGATTTGTTCAGTACCAACCATTTTTTTTTGTTTTATTTATTTATTTATCTATTTATGCACAACACAGAGACAATACAAAGGAGAATACATATATAAATAAATTGGAGGTACCTACATAGGTACTACATATTCCCGTACGAATCTCTTCCTGCAGTCCTTCGACAGGAAAAACGGTAAAAAATTAGACACTGTGCGTAACATAGCGTGAACAAAGAAAAAGAACAAAATTTAAGCCAATAGAAACTTAAAACTACATACACAAAATGAAACCGATAAATAATGTATTAAATAAATAGATCTCAATTTTGTTAAAATGCATTCAAATCAAATCGAATCATTTATTTGCAAAAACATGTGTATATATTGCAAAAAGTGTATGAGAGCCATGCTTCGGCATGAATGGGCCGACTCGACCGGAGTAATACCACGGCCGAGCAGAAAAATGACGTGAAACAACACTTGCGTTGTGTTTCGTCGTGTGAGTGAGGTTACCAGAGGCCCAGTCTCCCGAATCCCTGAATCCTCCACAATTCTCAAATTCCGAATTCCCAAAAGGCCAGTAACGCACTTGTTACGCCTCTGGTGTTCTAGGTGTCCATGGGCGGTGCCGATTGCTTACCAACAGGTGATCCGTCTGTCCGTTTTTAAAACTCAGTCATCGAACCTCTTGCCCAAGTCGCACTTGCGACAAAATCATTTACACATTTCTAGTAATCTCTGTAAATAATAATAATTACAAAATGTTAATTTTCCATCCCCTTACAGCGTAGCAGTGAACATAGCAGCGACGATGAGCGTAGACGCGGGCGGACTCAGCTCCAGCGGGATCCGCGTCAACTGGCGCCTGTACACCGCCACCGCCGTCGAGGCACGGCTCACTGTCCGGGGGATCTCCTTGCTGAAGCTTGATCTATCACTGCCTATCGATAAACAGGAGATTTTTGCTGCCAAGTAAGTATTTACTGAAGCTTTAGGATACCGTTATTATCGAAATGCAGGAGTAGAAACGGGGTGGTTTTAGTCAGTAAGAGTCTGACTCTCCCTCCCGACTCACCTAGGCGGGAGAAGTCATTCGATGAATTTCTGCCCTTAAAAAAAAGTATACAATTATCTAGCTGATAGACGTTATAGTAAAAATAATAAAAGAACTATCTAGCTAACTTATTCTTATTTGCTAACTAACAAAGATGTGGAATTATCGATGAAGAGAACAAACTCTTCTAATACTTGTGGAAATCTAAATAGTATTTTTGTGTCTACGCTTTTTGATGGGTTTCTTTATCATTAAGTCGCATCCCATGGGTTTATTTTAGTATAAAAAACATTAGTTTGTTTTAATATTATACAAAATTGTGAAGTCATACAGCTATCATAATTATGAGAAAAATGCCCGTAGTATTATATCAACATTATCACTTTAGACTTCGGTGATGGATTCTAAAATGTACAGTAAGAATTAAAACAACATAACATAAATTCACGCTTTTTATCCCCGAAGGGGTAGACAGAAGTGCACATTGCGGCACAATGCCACTGTACAATGTAACAATGCCACTGTACAATGTAACACCCACTTTACAATATTTATGTAATAAGGGTTGAGCCTATTGCTATATACTGGGCACAATTCCAGACTCCGTGCTACTACTGAGATTTTTTTAAACCCAGTAATACCTACTTGCCCGACCCGCGAATCAAACCCAAGACCCCTTACTCGGCCAGTCGCACTTGCGGCCACTCGACCAATGAAGCAATATATAAACAAATGATCACCCATTCTAGATCTGAGCTGATAATCCTCCATGGCGACAAGGAGCACCAGCAACAAGGGCTGAACAAGAACAGAATAGAACAGAACACGTGCTCGTGGTCCACCTTCGACAAGAGTATCGGGATTAAGATGTGCGCTTCTTATCAGGTAAACTATCACTCTATGTCAAGTTGGGGTCATAAAATGCGAAGGAAAATGGCATTTGTGTTGTTTTGCTTAAGGACCATTATTCCAATGTATATCATACTTGTAGTGGGTAAGGCCAATAAATGCAAAGGAAAATAGCGTTAGTTCTATGTAGCACCAATGGTCTTTAAAAGATTTTTTTTTGTTGTTGTCCTGGCGAAATAGTGTAATTATCCATCCATGAACAGCCTATAAATGCCCACTACAGACTCCGTGCTACTACTGAGGTTTTAAAAAACCCAGTAATACTTTGCCCGACCCGGGAATCGAACCCGACACCCCTTGTCGCACTTGCGACCACTCAGCTAATGAGGCAGTCATCACACATCTTTATATATATAATTCTACTGTACGTGTGTATGTCCTAAACGGCTTGACCGATTTAATTGATTTTTTCTGTATGCGTTTAAGTAGCGCCCTGGATGGTTTAGATTCACAAATTAGCCCGGCAGATAGCGCTGCAGTCAGTATATCGGTTATTTATCTATACCTATTATCCTTATCCTTACTAATATTATAAATATGAAAGTGAGTTTGTTTGTTTGTTCCGCTTTCACGCCGTAACTACTAAACCGATTGCTTTGAAATTTTGCAGACGTATAGTTAGAAGTCTGAATTAAATAATAGGGTACTTTTAATCCCGGAAAAATTTGATATTTCCGAGGAAAAACAAAAATATTGGTATAGATGGCGCTGTGTGTATTGGTATATGTCACATAGGCTACTTTTTATCCTTTTGTGACGCGAGCGAAGCTGCGGGTAAAAGCTAGTTATATTATATGCAGGACAACGTTTGTCGGGTCCGCTAGTAACCCTATAAAATCTAATTTACATAACTAAAATCATGCTTTTTCTTCCAGTTCCCCAACATGACGAATCTCCGCAACGCTCCATACTTCCTTATGAGTGGTCCTGCGAAGTACATACTCTCCCTGGAGAAGGCGGACCCCACGGCCAAGACATACGCCATACAGTATCGATGGGACAAGAACGCAACTGGCAATGTTGTTAGCTTCTCTTTTGATACGCCTGATAGTAAGGTGAGTTGTGGGATTTTGTGTTTTATTTTCAGTGGAGTAAAGATTGTTTTTGTTTGATACTTGCTCAAAGCTAGATAAAATAATTTATAGATTTTAATCGAATAAATTTTATTATTGTTATTTATTAAACCGACACATGCGTACTGCTAACCGACACATGCGTACTGCTTTCAGAACGGGTCCGCTCAAGCTGTTGTGGTTCTTTCCTCAAAAGGCCACTACAGAAAGAACTTGCACGGTTCTCACTTAATCTTTTTATACATATTGTCTGGACTTTAAAAGAGACAGACCTCTGAGTTTGTTTTGGCATTTCTTCTCAGAGTAGTCAGTTAGGAAATGTCGACCTCATCGTTCGCTTGATAAAATTGACGTGTAAAAGTGCTGCCTTGTAGCCTATTTGCAGAAATAAATTCACTTGTTTCACTTGTTTATTTAAAATTCTTTATTATGCCATTGAGAATTACGATTTATTTTCGCTATAATTTTACTTTTTAATTTCTTTATACTATTTCTTTACTCACTTAAACCCAACATGTTATCCATTATTAGCAAATAATTGGAATACTATAAGTTGAGTGAGTGAAATAACAAACAACACTTAGGGGAAACTCAACTTATATTGAAATAATTACATAAAGGAGCACAAAATAAACGATAGAAGACAGAACTGTCATGAATATAACAAAGATAAAACCGTTACATATGAAATATGAATTAGTTGGCGCGCGTGCGCGTGCGCTCGGTTTAATAGATTTCGCGTCACTGAATAGACCTGCGGCGCGAGCGCGGTGCAATGCTACGTCAGTCTTTCTAACGCGTGCTGTAACACAATCTATTTTAATATTTATATATAATATTTAAGACTACACGGTTGGTGCGGTGGCTGGGCAACCGGCTGCCGAACAACGTGTCGCAGGCTCGATTCCCGCACGGAACAACACTTTGTGTGATCTATAAATTGTTGTTCCGGGTCTGGGAGTCTGTGTATGTGAACTTGTATGTTTGTAAACGCACCCAAGACACAGGAGATAACCCTAGTGTAGGGCAACTTTGAAAAAAAAATAATTTATTAACACTATACTCCATCTTCAGCCAATCATATAATCAAACATGTATTTTCTATTTCAACAGGAAAAACGAATGATAAACGCGGTCCTATCGATCTCAAACACGTCTAGCACTGCGTTACTGACCCTCCAATCAGAGAAGAGCACGTTAAAAGCTAAAGCAATGTATAGAAACAAGCCTTATGATAAATCTCTATCGGCCAGCTTAGACGTGGATGGAAGAAAACAGTTCGACACTGTAATGTCGGTGAAACGTCACGATATTAAATATGGCTTCGTTTGGATACCTCACGCCTATTGGGTCGTCGATAATGAACGGGTTGCCGAGTTATCTGGTGAGTTTTGAACCTTATCTTCTATAGTTTAGGGTCATATTTTGCATGACGACGTCTTTAGTACAAAATGTTGTCTGGTGGTATTTGATTTTGAATCTTATTTCTTGGGGTGTAGGTTTATATTCAATCTTAAAGATTATTTTAATATATTTAACTTAATATACTTTTTAATGGCTTCTTTAGCTTAGTCGAGCCCAAAAGACACTTAACGCTAAACTATTGTTATGTTACAAAAATATTTATAGTTTTTGTACATCATGCAATCTCTATCGTTTTAAAAATTATTCCTTATAACAACATTTCTGAAAGTATTAAAAATTAAATGACTGCCTCGTTGCCCGAGAGATCGCAAGTGCGACTGCCGGGCAAGGGGTCTCGGGTTCGATTCCCAGGTCGGGCAAAGTATTACTGGATTTTAAAAGAAAAAATCTCAGTGGTAGCACGGAGTCTGGAATTGTGCCCGGTATATGGCAATAGGCTCACCCCCTATTACGCCGGACTCATAACATAAATAGTGAAAAGTGGGTGTTACTTCTGTGTGCACCTCTGCCTACCCCTTCGGGGATAATAGGCGTGATATTATGTTATGTTGTTAAAAATTAAATGATTTATTTATTTATCATTTCATGTACTCACACCATACAGACAATATTACAAGAGACAACACATTATAAGCATGAGGTACATAGGTACTGCATATCCCTTAAGGGATTTCTTCGATGATATTTGAATGTCGAACATAATCCTTTACTTTTTTACTTATAGGTGTAATAAAAGTAAAAACAAAAGGCAGTGTGACACAGAGCGATATAGAAGCAGAGTTTCAAACGAAACAATTGGCCAGTCACCTCCTAGGGTACTACACTATCAACGGACCGACCCACGGCACCAAACTACAGTTCGATTACCAATTCTTTAAGAACCCAAAACAGACTATAAAGATTGAAGGTATTTACAGTGAGAAATCTGGAGGCTTTAGACATGACCTCTATGGTGACTTGTCCATGGCATTCACAGCTTATCCGGAATATAACTTCTATACGGTTCTGAGGAATATTGTGAGTATTTTGTACCCTATTTTGTTTGTTTTAAGAGTAATAATAGAAAATCAAATATATAGAATTCATAAATATGATGTATTATTAGCTACTTCCTCGCGGTTTCACTCGCTATGCTCGGCGTCTATTAATCATAGCGTTTTATAGCTTATAGCCTTCCTCGATAAATGGCCTATTCAACACAAAAAGAATTTTTCATATTGGACCAGTAGTTGTTCAAACAAACGGACAAACAAACAAACTGTTCAGCTTTATATATTATAAGTAATAAGTAAGATAAGCCACCATAAGCTAATTTTTGTTACATTCAAATTATGTTTGCAATGTCGCTAGTCAAACGTGGAGATATGACAAACCCCCTCTCCTAAAGAAAGACCTTTGTGATCAACAACGAACGTCTTTCGATGATGATGATAATAAGGAATACCTTTCTAAGAACCTCCTTAGCATGGTAGCATTTGCTATACTCCAATAATCAGCAGTAATCACCTTCTAACTAGTAATAATGACGATGATAAAAACCTTTCAAACACCCGCTAACCTCATTCTCCTTTACAGAAAACCCAATCCCACGTGGATATAGGCTTCAACGTAAGTGCGTCCAGAGAAAAGAAGCTTGATCCAGCGTTTACGTTTAGTTTCCAACGCGCTGAGCACTTGACTGGCATGAAACTCGATACAAGACTGACGTTACATCGACCGAGGTTGATTGATACAAGGTTCCAGTTTGAAGGGGTAAGTACTAATAATAATAATACGCCCTGATACAGAAGGCAGTTCTCCTAGAAAGGGCACGTATCGTGAGGAGGTTTCTGTCTCTGGAGCCCTAACCACCGGTAGCTTGGACCATGCTCCCGCTACTGGTCGGCTCCTATTTTTTATATTTTTAAATATTGTTTTTATTATGTAAGTAGTATTTAAAAATGTAATTTTTAGAGATTTTTTTATAAATCACATTGTACAGTGGTATAATGTGCACCTCTGCCTACCCCTTCGGGGATAAAAAGGCGTGATGTGATGTTATGTTATGTTTTTATAAATCTAAGGAAATAATAATAATAAGTAAATTTCTTCTCCTCTATTAATCTTCTGATTCCTTTCGTTGCGTTGTTATATTGTATTGGTAGAAGACAGTGTACCAAAATAAAAAATATAATTAGTCCGTCAGTTAGATATAAAAAAAAATATTAAACATATTTTTTTATTTTGTCGTATAATAAATGATACTTAGATAAAACGGAGTTAAATTAGTTTAGGAGTGGGAGGTCGTTACGTCACGCTACCCTATAAAATGTACTAAGTCGTGACGTCACACGATATTTCAAATCAATATATAATATATTGATTTGAAATATCGAATATCGTCAAAAGTATTTAATTTTTGAAAGAAACGAAATAATACGTGTCTAATGTTTTAAAATCATCTACCAGGCGGACATTAAAATAAAATTTAGGATACTACTCTATTCACGTCCTTGGGACGCTCCGGACTTCAGTGTTCCGGTGTTTTCATGGTTGTATCTACTGTAGATCCTGGCTTACAGGAGTTGCAGCGGTTTTGGGAGGTTGTGATAGCGGGCTTGTCGCAAAATAAGTTAAATTATTTTTCCGAATATTGTTATTACTATTTGAATATACGATTGGTGCTTTGCTGGGCGATTGGCTGCAACGTGTCACTGGTTCGATTCCTAAACTCAGAATTTCTTAAGTAATTCTTAAATTGTCTTTTCATATGAATCAACAACACATGTATTTGCTAATTTAGACTGCACGGTTGGTGCGGTGGCTGGGTAACCGGCTGCCGTGCAACGTGTCGCGGGTTCGATTCCCGCACGGGACAACACTTTGTGTGATCCACAAATTGTTGTTTCGGGTCTGGGTGTCATTGTGTATGTGAATTTGTATGTTTGTAAACGCACCCACGACACAGGAGAAATTCCTAGGGTGGGGCAACGTTTTTTTTTTAAAAAAAAAAAAAAAAAAAAAAAAAAAATTTGGCTTCTGCATGATCAGCGGAGGTTATGTCATATGACTAGATGCTGTGTATGCTGTACAACGTGTCATAGGTTCTATTCCTGTGTCGGGTTATTAACGAAGAATATTGGTATCACCCTTAGTGGGTTGTGAAAAACAGATGGCAGTCGACTGACATTAAAAATGTTATTGGGGAAAAAATTAGAATTACTATGTGAGCCACGAACAAAACGCGACTCCCGTCCCCCTGCTATTATCATAGAAATTTCAAAAACCGAAAAATACCCTATATAATTACCCGACTCGGGAATCGAATCCGAAACCCTTGCCCAGGCGTCGCACTTGCGACCACTTACTGTTACCTGACCAGATATGGTCACTTCTTGTAAATCTACTAACCACTAACAAATTAAATAATAATAAACCCTCTTTTCCCCAACAGATTGGTCCAAAATACACCGCACTAGCTCTTCTAAACTTCAACCCCAAATCGCGCGAGATTCTGGTCTCAGGGTACTTATTCTTCCCGCCGGGTACACAACTGTATTTGGACGCGGAACTTAACATGACACTACCGACCTTGCACCCTTGTTCTATAAAGACCAAGGTTCATGAGAAGCAGCCCAATGATTTCCAAGTGAGTACCTATCTTTAACAGTTGTTCAGCTGTTATGCCCCAAAAGGGATAGAAAGTGTATATATTAGGTTTTTCTAGATGTTGGCAAGTTGGCAAGAGTGATCAGTATTATTAGTCCCATTTATAGAATTATCTGTTAAACTTCGCGTTTTCAAAATGGACATCAAAATCGAAAACCCAAAAGTAACATAACGATATTTTAATTAAATTCTTATCTGTTTTATTAGTTCCATTTCCAAACATCACGAGTTTAGACTCCGTCCTCTGAATGGAGGTCAAAATCGAAAACCCAAAAATATGGCTCATTGTTTTTCCTCTTAACAAGTATTTGTACATCCATTATTCTATGGAGACCAACACCATAGTAAATTAAATAACTTTTTTCGTAATATCTATTATAATAACAACAATATTTTATGACAGAATTGCTACGATAAATTTCGTAGGAAAGTCCAGAATTATCACCCATTTTAGACAAGCCCTTAGTTCCGTATAATAAGGTTAAACAAAATCCTAGGTAAACGCAGCCGGCGTATGGTTCACGGGGGTAGATTTCAACATCGACGCGTCATACCAGGACCAGTCCAAAACAAATATGGCGTCCCATCATCTCAAGGCGTTGATCAGTAGTACCCACTTCAAGAACATCGCCATGGACGGACGGTTCACTCAGGATAACCGACAGATCACGTTTATTGGACAGGTAATGTTAAACAGACTGCCTTCTGCTTACAACTCGGTATGGGCGATACTAATGGTTATTTGTAATAAGTGTGGGAGAGCCATGCTTCGGCACGCATGGGCCGGCTCGACCGGAGTGATACCATGGCCTCACAGAAATCTAACGTGAAACAACGCTTGTTGAGTTTCGTCGTGTGAGTGAGGTTACCGGAGGCCTAATTACGCCCCCCCCCTCCCCAGTCTCCCCAATTCCCGAATCCTCCACAATCCTCAAATTCCCAATTCCCAAAAGGCCAGTAACGCACTTGAAACGCCTCGGTGTTTCAGGTGGCCATGGACGGCGATGATTACTCACCATCAGGTGATTCGTCTGCTCGCTGACTTATACCATAAAAAAAATTGTTTTAGTTTGTGACTATTTTGTAAGTACTATTATTGCTCAAATACTCAAACGCCACTCGATTTTAAATCGCTCTCAAAAATAGTTCTGTCTCTACAAGTTCTTTGTAAAAAGACAGAGATAGCACGATATTTAAGTTCGACATGAAATTGAGTAGCCTTTCAATATCCAGGCGTTAGATGTTCATTATGGGAACTGAAAAGTTGAGCATATTCAAATAACAACAAGAGAGTCGGAGATTTTCAAAATGGTGATTCGTACACTAAATAAACTTCATTATTATGTTTTACGGATTTTGAACATAACTCGACTAGTTTCAAACCGCGCTGGGGGCTCATAGTCTTGAGCATCATTGTCAAAAGACTTGTTAGACAAGTTTGAATTTTGTTGTCTTACAAAAGTTATAATACTAAATTACTTTGGCTAGCATAGTTTAATTTATATAATAAGCCAATTTAGTTCCATATTCCAATCCCATTAACAGACAGATTTGATCTTCTCCAAAAAAGGAACCTCAAGATAATGTTTCAACACTAACTAATCTAAAGTCCACCTTACCTCAAAGGGAACACGATCAAAAATCGGTTGTCTTATATTATAAACATAACTCCAAACCGAAATACACCTTATCCCTTACAAAATAAATTACAAAATTAATGTTTCGCAGGGTGAATACAACGACGAGCACTACAGGACGTTAATACGCTACATTCTACTATCGGAACAGAACTTCACGACGTATGTGGAAGTTGACGTCGGCGGGAAGGCGTATAGTGTCAACTTGAATGCGGATCTTAGCAATAATACTAACGTTAATATGGATATACATTTTGATCAGTAAGTTTTTCTGATGTTTGAGTTGGATGGGTATATATTTACTTTAATAGATTTTCTACTTTAATATAATGTGGTAAGGTTGTAAATCTGTTAATGCTAGGCATTTGGGGCCTATTTCACAATGTCTGGACAGCCACTAAAGATAATGAATATGCGCTATGCCTTCAGGAATGCGAAACGCTCAATTCGTACGATATGAACTATCAGTCAAATAAATTTATCGGGTATTATGGTGGTGGAACAAACGCATTTTTCATATGCTTAACTAAATATAATTATTGTACTACTTCACTGAGCTAGTAAGTGTAAATATACATGATTTAAATTCATTTGACTTACGGCCATTTTCTATAACCTATCTATCTGTAGATTTGCTTACTGAGATAGAATTATAACATAAGCTCCATGCAAATGTGTCAAAATTCCATCTCAGTAAGCAAATCTACAGATAGATAGGTAATAGAAAATGGCCGTTAAAGATTTTGGCCCTTACCTGTATAAACTTTTCACCCGACATATGAAAGGTTGTTTTTTTGTGTACCAAATTAATGTATCGATTTTCATTCTAATGTTTGCTCTCTCTTTTACAAGAAAGTCCTTAATGATTTGTTTTTTTTTCATAGACTCCGCGACCTCCACTTTTCCTACCAGCGTTGGGTGTCAGCTAGACAAAAGCGTCTAGCCGCTGCCTTCAATTGGGACGCGAACCGCGATCCTTCGCAGAAAGTCAGTATAGACGTACAACTGGACAATAAGGGCACTTGGCACCATGCAGGACATGTCTCCTTGTATTATCCTGGACGAATGGTCAATGGGGAGTTCGAGTTCTTGTTGAGAGGTAAGTCTTTTATGTTATAGGCTTAACACGGTCCAAAAAAGGAGTTTCCTAATTCGAGCGTATTATAATACACTAGTTACTTCCGCGCGGTTTCACACGCTCTGCGTAGCTCTTATTGGTCGTAGCGTGACGTTTTATAGCCTATAGCCTTCCTCGATAAATGCGCTATCCAACACAAAAATGATTATTCAAATCAGACTTGTAGTTCCGAAGATTAGCGCGTTCAAACAAACAAACAAACAAAAAAACAAACTCTTCAGCTTTATAATATTAGTATAGATTGTACACCACCTTTACCCTTCTCGTGGACGTCGTTAGTTGACTAATGAACTACATATTATAATAGAGACCAGACAGCAACGCTCTGTGTTAAACCTTGACATTTAACATAACATAACATCACGCCTTTTATCCCCGAAGGGGTACGCAGAGGTGCACATTATGGCACGTAATGCAACTGTACAATGTAACACCCACTTTTCACTATTTATGTTATGAGTCCCATGTAATAGGGAGTGAGCCTATTGCCATATACTAGCCACATTTTCAGACTCTGTGCTACTACTGAGAATTAAAAAAAAATCTCACTCATAACACAAATAGTGAAAGTGGATGTTACATTATTCAGTGGCATTATGTGCATCTCTGCTTACGCCTTCGAGGATAAAATGTGTGATGTTTATGTGATCTACAATCTTCAACACTCTTGTTAAGGGTAGAAATTACAACAAATCCTTTTATGTACATCTCTCTTCTGACAATAAGTAGATATTTTATACAAGTTAGTAAAAATCCCTTCGTTCCAGATTGGTTCTGTCAGTGGCACATCCGCATGGGTTGGTCGAGTGAGTCCAACATACTGTGGCGCGTCAAGATGTACTCGGAGGCGCACAATGAAACCGTATACGCTCTGCTCTCCAATATGAACACGCCCTTCGCTGGGTGGAAGGATACTAGTTTTAATGTTATGTGAGTATAAATATTAATGATCTTTTTTTTAGCTTCTTTCCTAGTTAGGGTTTACATTTACCTATCTTTAGTTTTAATTATTATGTTTTTGACTTACTCACGTACGAAGACTGCCTCATTGGCTGAGTGGTCGCAAGTACGACTGCCAGGCAAGGGGTCTAGGGGTTGATTCCCGAGTCGGGCAAAGAATAACTGGGTTTTTCAAAAAATTCACAGTAGTAGCACGGAGTCGGGAATTGTGCCCGGTATATCGCAATAGGCTCATCCCCTATTACATGGGACTCATAAAATAAATAATGAAAAGTGGGTGTAACATTGTACAGTGGCATAATGTGCACCTTTGCTTACCGCGTCGGGGATAAAAGGCGTGATGTTGCTTGATGAAGAACTCGAGTAGTTTCAAGCCATGCTAGAGGCTCATATTCATGAGCAGCAATCCGCGACCCGCGACGCGGTGACTGTCGCGCTGCTACCAGTAATGCGCAAGTCGAGTTCCTCGTCAAACAGTTACGTGAGTAAGCCGAAACATAATAATTAATTTAGTATGTCATACGAAAGTTTTAATATAAACATACCTTTGATTTTTTTAATGGCCCGAAAGTTTCTTATTGATCTGGCCTCTGTGATCCTCCGTGCGAGGCCTCTTGTGGATCTTGAAGGAAACTGTAGATTTTATTACAAAATTTTATTTTTTTGACTTCGATTCCGTAATACTCCGTCCTTTATATATCGTACCGAAATTTTGTACATACAAAACTAGTCTCTAAACATCGGTAATAAAGTTTATAATGGAGTTAGTGGAGAACGGTGCCGGTAACCGCTTGGATTGAGCAGTCAAATCAAGAATCATTTTGGCTACTCCGTCATCGTTTTACTCTTATTAGTCACTTGAGATCACACAAACAAAATGAAACAACAAGTCCAATTTACACTCAAGCAACAAGACCAATTTATATTGACTGCACGGTTGGTCGCGGGGTCGATTCCCGCACGGAACAACACTGTGCGATCCACAAATAGTTGTTTCGGGTCTGGATGTCATGTGTATGTGAACTTGTATGTTAGTAAACGCACCCACGACACAGGAGATAACCCTAGTGTGGGGCAACGTTTAAAAAAATAAATAATAATAAGTATACCTAATAGACATAGCCATACGTAACACCCATAACCTAAGTTCCACTCACACTAACAAGCTCTCTAAATATACAGACTTGACCATTGAGCTTAAAACTCAGTGGCAAGTTCACACAGTTAAGACCATTCCCATAATTATATCTAGCACAGGCGTCATCCCCAAAACACTACACACAAGTCTAAAGACCCTCGATTTACATCCCCTCACATTCACACTCCTACAGAAAGCAGTCATACTTAATACATGCAGAATAGTTAGGAAGTTTTTATCTATAGATTAATTTACCACATATTATTTCATCCCCAAATTTGCTTTGGCCAAAAGCCCGCAATTTTGGTGTAGTTCCCCAGAAATGGGTGAGGTTTGAATCCTAAACATAAATAATAATAATAATATTTGTAACATCTTCTTCTTCTTCTTTATCACGAAACAAAATCTCCTTCTCTAGGTGGCGTTACCACGACAATCTCCAAGCCCTAAACGGCAGCATGAACTGGCAGGAAGACTACCTAGCATTCAGCTTACTAGCAGACTATTTGTTCAAAACAAATGAGTTCTATGGAGAAATCAACGCCGTCGTCAACTCTACTATACCGACACTGCCCAAGGCGGCCGCCATAGCCAAACATAGGGTTATATGGAAGAAGAGCGCTGACACACTGCTTAGTTTCCAGGTAAGAGTGCTAAAATGAACTGTATTACTATGAATCGAGGGTCTAAATTCGAATTATGATATTAAAATCGGGTTATATTTGAAAAACGAACCGTATTACAAAGGAACTTAGGTTGCAATAGAATATGGAAGAAGTGCACTGATATAGTGCTTAATTTCCAGGTAAGTGGAAGTTAATTCTATTATCAACGTTTGAAGGTTGAAATTCCAATAACTGTAGCTAAATGCCATTTAGCGCTTGTCTACATGTAGAATAGAAAACCAAATTATATGGAATTGACGTAAATTTTGACACTTGTCAGTGTCATCCCCATACATTTAGTTTTCTACTCTCTCTGTAGAGCTGTGTAGAGCTCTGTAGAGCTCTGTAAAGCGTTAAAGTGGTGTTTGGCTAAAGGCCCAGGATATAATACCAAACATGAAATCGACAAAATTTTTATAGACTGCCTCGGCGGCCGAGTGGTCGCAAGTGCGACTGCCGGGCAAGGGGTCTCGGGTTCGATTCCCGGGTCGGGCAAAGTATTACTGGGTTTTTTAAAAATCTCAGTAGTAGCACGGAGTCTGGAAATGTGCCCGGTATATGGCAATAGGCTCACCCCCTATTACATGGGACTCATAACATAAACAGTGAAAAGTGGGTGTTACTTCTATGTGCACCTCTGCCTACCCCTTCGGGGATAAAAGGCGTGATGTTATGTTATGTTTTATTCTGTCTGTCCTGGTAAGACTTGTAAAATTCGGAGAATCTTATTCGGCGAGTCGCCGGCCGCCCAATACTGGTCAATAGCACTAAGACCCAAATCCAATACAAGAACTCCTCTAAGCTTACTTTTTGCCACCCTATACCAATTAGGAGCGAGTGGGGCCCCAAATTGTATACAAGTATCCTTAATCGGTTTCTGTAAAAGGTATGACTGGTAAAATAAGAACCCAATACTCGCCGCCCACTCCGGGTTTATGGCGCTCCAAATCCGATACAAAAATCCTTCTGAGCTTACTTCTTGGCGCCCTATACCGGTCAGTGGCGCCCTATACTGGTCTGTGGCGCCCTATACCGGTCAGTGGCGCCCTAAATTCGAAGTGTATCGAGCGTCCTCGATCATTTGCAAGAGTTACTTGAAAACCATCGAGCGTCTTCGATCACTTTCGAGAGATACCCGAAATCTATCGAGCGTTCTCGATCATATTCGAGAGTTACTCGAAAAGTTCTAGACTACAGCGTACGGTGCGTCGCGTAAATTATTAGTATTAGCACGCGGGCGCTCGAACAACTAACGGCGGGCCTGTACGTAGCTCTCAGGTAAGCTAATTAAAACTAAACTTTATTGTCAAAGTACAGAGCTTCAAATTACTTTGACATGATAAACTTTCTATGGCAGTAATTTAAAAAGTACGTAAGTTTACTTAGCAATGCAAATGAAATGCAGGTAAGTAATTAAAGAAAAATAAAAAAACAAATAAAAAATACGTTACAGAAGTTTTATTTACCCTTTTTAAATACATGCTATGATTGTAATCATTACTAACTAACTATTGTACATATTGACTTTCTACTTTATTTCCTTTGCACTAGGATGAAAAATGTTTTAAAGTGGACAGATTAGGGAAATTTGATGAGGTCGTGTGCATTCCGTGTATACATTTTCGTTTATCTCAAATACATAAAATAGATACAGTTGCAGATCTATAATTTGTTACATCTTTATACACCAATACATTATAATATGAAGCAAAATCATTTTAATCAAATGTCACTCTCTAATAAATAGTGAAAGAAAAGGATGGGCATTCGTCCTAAAAACAAAATGTGATATACCTACACCTAAAATTAATTTACTAATAATTAATTTGAAGAATAGAAGGCACTTGTCCCACCGCCGACATGAAATCAATTGACTATCGGATTTTTTTTCGTCAAGAAACGTGTAAGATATACATTCTGTGTAAACTAAAGAGATGCAGATACAAATAGTTGGTCGCCGACTATTCACAATGCCGGCGTGCACTCGCAAGGGCAACTATTGGACCTACATTTACGCACTCACTTCCCGCGAGTCGCCAACTCGTTTCCAATTCTAGCTCTACTCGTTCATCGTTCCCGTTGAGACAACTGCCTTAGTAATATACCAAAAGGTATTCAAAATTGTTGCCATCCCTTTCTTTCATTCATTAATCTAAAAGAGAAACATTTGAATTTGAATTCTAAGACTATACAACTAATTACGAAAGCTAAAATAAAATGTGCTAACACTAACTACAGATTCTAACTATAGGAAATTTTAAACTTTGGAAGCATTTGCTAATTGTAATAACAATGTTCTTACAAGCAAAATAAGATATTTATGAAATCGTATTAACTATAACTTAGAACTAAGAGTACATAACCATAGAATATGTTGTTACATTAACCATACCTACTTGTACAACTAGTATACACAATATTTTAAAGAAGCCATGATGTCTGTATACAGGAGTCTAAAATATATTATTACACAAATCCAAACTATTGTTACAAGGTACTGAGTACTAACTAACAATAACACATTTATAAACCAGCAGAGATTTGCTTATTACAGTTGATGGCGAACATACTCTTCTCCAAAACCACAAGTTAAAGATTTATTATAATGTTTTTTGGCTTACTCGATGACACGAGACGACGCGGCGACTGTCGCGCTGCTACTAGTGCGGTAGTATCGCGACAGGCGACGCGTCGTGTGACGCGGTAGGTATGCTGCTCATAAATATGAGCCTCTAGTTTAGCTTCCAACTAGTCCAGTTCCTTGTCAAACAGTAATGAATAAGCCGAAAAACATAATAATTAAACAAGTCCAAAGAGTTTAGTAGGTGATCTTTGAAAAGTTCTCAAATAAAGAGTTTTAGTACAGATCTTCACCGATCAAAAGATCCTTGCTGATCTCTTATACTAGTATCTAGTTAAAGTTCATTGTTCCTCTAAATTACACACACTTCAGTACTATCTCTGCAATTTGAGTGTAATTTTATTTGCATTGTGGAAGTGCTTAAATACTTCTATCTCTGTGTACAAAACTGCTTATTCTAAGGTGTTTTGTTAATATATATTGTTCTAATTGGAACATAGATCTATCCGATACACAATATATTTTCTATTGTGTCTCATATAACAGGTTCATTATGAAGAATTTGACTTTCAGAAATAATGTAGGTAGGTAGTTAAATGTTTTTGGTGTAAATATGATAGGTAATGAACAATCACATATATCTATATATGCTGTATTTGTATACACATCCACATTATGAAGTTATGCTCACATATAAGTCTCGCAGTTATACAATTGAGAGTTGGACAACTTGTATACCCTAGCTGCCGTAACTACAATGTTATACAATTCATCAAAGACGAACTACTTCTAAGTTTACTTTGATGCATAAATGTGAGTGTATTCATAATTTTTACTTAGATAAACTCTTAATTACATTAATTTGTTAACTATAACTCGTTATGTTATAACATTACAAGTTAAAGTACCTCTAACATCAAACAAACACCATACAACAAAAAGAAACAATCCTTCATAATAAAGTTAACTCAATTTAATAATAACAATGACAATTACAAGTATAATCTTAACAATATGCACGAGAAACTAAACCTAGAGTGTACTCCTTCACTTTCACTAGTCACTTTAGCTTTGCCTAACTTTGTTGTGGCGGAACACAGCAAACTTAGGGAAAACTAAACATATCACATCAGGTAGCCACTTCATCATTTGTCGACTCGAACTCCAGCTTGACGTCATCGTTCAGCCCGTCGACATCAACCTCGTTTTCAGAAGCATTCAACATGTTCAGAGTCACTTGCCTCACAGGAATACTAGCATCCTCAAACGCCTTCTTCTTCAACGTAGTGCGTATTTGGTTGACCGTACGACCTTTGATATGCTGGCTCAAACTGTTCAGATCAACGGCAAAACGGTGCACGCAAGACCGTAGCATCTCAATCTCGTCGTCCGTCCACTTTCCACCAGGCTGAGAGTCCCCCATCGGATGTAATAGCTTCGTCATTTCAGCCAGCTTGTTGAATGCGGTACCCGCTTCACGAAATATTTCACTCACTTTTGCAGCGGAGTTGTTCATTGTTATTTAGTAAAATAACAACTTGATGGTATATCTCAATAGCGTTCAAGCTATTTTTAAACGGAAATCGATAGTAATTGTTAATATTTTACTGCGATTCAGCGGTCACAAACACAACCTCTAAATATTTTTATCAACTGACATTTTGTTTTATCTGTCATGCAAGTGTCAAATGTCAATGTCAAGCGCGCTGCGAGCATTTGTCGTTGGTCGCGTTCCATATCCGTTGAGTTTTATTTAACATTGTTAACATTGTAATTTTAAAACTTTTTATTTATTTAATTTTGAAATTAATTTTGCCTTATTTCATGAATAATAAGATTTTTTATTTTTAACATAAAATTGTCTCCCTAGTATCAAATTTTCTGAGGTTTTTAAATAACCACTGTAATTTTGTTACAGTACAACGAAGATGGTCTGCTGATGATCAATTCTTCTTGGACACTGGATAGGGGGCACAAAGAGAACAATATCACTGGCAGAGTTACACTTCTTACACCGTTCCAAGTAAGTGCAATAAAATAAAACGACTACACTCCAGAAAGGGGTATACCGAAATGTAAAGATGTTGCCAGCAGATTGCATACATAAGGCCTTAATTTTTTAAAGAGGGGAGTAGGTTATCAATACCGTATAATAAGTAGCCCTATTCTAAACTCCACATTTCCAAACCTTTTGTTATTTTACCTTAATCATAGAAAAGAAACCCAAACCAAATGATTAATTAATCTTTGACTGACCTGATCGAACCTGAGTACCAGTATTTGGGAGTAATTTACCAACACTTTAAAAAATTACTATTTACAGGGTTACAGAAAAGGTTTCCTACGTACAGCGTTCGTATTGGGCCATAAGCGAGACATCAATGGCATCACCTACCTCGACTTGGAAGAGAAAGTACTCAAGATTTACGTCAATGGTAAGTATCAAAGGAAATAAACTATTATCTCTATTATTTGTTACCTCTGCTAAATAGACCAACTTTAACAAATAGATATACTCAATTACACCTACAAGAATTAGTACATAAAGTCACAAAGACATCACGAATTTCCACTCCCTTCCGACTAATATATTTAAAGACTATTTTCGCTCTAATTACATGATCTAGTTCACTCAAAGGGATTTATAGTTTCAATGCAAACTTGATGAGATCTCTGATTTTAAATTAAGATGTTTACTGTACTATGACTTAGCATAACATAACATCACGCCTTTTCATCCCCGAAGGGGTAGGCAGAAATGCACATTTCGGCACTTAATGCCACTATACAATGTCACATCCACTTTTCACTATTTATTTTATGAGTCCCATGTAATAGGGGTGAGCCTATTGCCATATACCGGGCACATTTCCAGACTCCGTGCTACTACTGAGATTTTTAAAAACCCAGTAAAACTTTGCCCGTCCCGGGAATCGAACCCGAGACTTCTTGCCCGGCAGTCGCATTTGCGACCACATGGCCAACGAGGCAGTCCTAGGCTACTGTACTATGACTACTTTATTATAATGAATAAAGATTTATTTATTTATTTTAATGCTGTTCTCCCACAGGGCACATGCGCCGCATCACAAACTGTATGCTAGTCGTGAACGTGACCAGTCCGATGGTGGAGTTCCCACAAATGACGGCGCGGTTCGGCTTCGTGGAGGCCGACAGACATCTGGTGGCCATGGTCGTTACTACTAATTCTACTACAGGTTTGTATGGGGACTAAATGATATTATTCTTTGTATTATTATCTTTTACAATACGGCTTAAGTTTTACGTGAAATTAATTCTTTAATTTTGTACATTACGGCACTTAATACCACTGTACCATGTAACACCCACTTTTCACCATTTATGTTATGAGTCCCATGTAATAGGGGGTGAGATTTAATTGAGACTTCCCTTAATGAGAGCTTTTTAAGAAAAAGTACTTTTAGTTTTATAATAACTTGATTTCAGAGGATAAGAAAATACTAAGGTGTTTCAGTTTTTTTTACTCCCTGCATACAGCATCGTATCTACTCATAACTATGTTTTAATTTTAACATGTATCATTTTTTAAAGGCATCAATATAAATATCGTTTCCTTTCAGGCATCGAAGTATTCCTGAAGCTGGTATCATTGCAAGATTTCCACGTATTTGGGCATGTTGCACTACCTATACAGTACCTCAACAGAGCTATGGTGATTGCCAAAAGGGCGCCAGAAGAGGTAACCTATTATTTGTTTTATTATAGGGCATCACATTATAAAATGACGAACGAAACGTACCTAAAAAAATATATTATCTAGTCGGCTATGGCCAGCGGTGGCGGATTGGCTCGACCGGAGCGATACCACGGCCTCAAAGAAAACCGACGTAAATCAACGCCTACGTTGTGTTTCGTCGTGTGAGTGGCCCAATTACCCCCCTCCTTAGTCGCCCCAATCCCCGAATCCTCCACAATCCTCAAATTTCCAAGTTACAAAAAGCCGGTAACACACTTGTAACGCCTCTGGTGTTCCAGGTGTCCAAGCGCAGCGCCGATTGCTTACCATCAGGTGATCTGTCCGCTCGTTTACCGGCTTATCTATATATATTATATATAAAAATGAAATCCGTTTCCCGTTGTCACACCATAACTTGAGAACGGCTAGACCGATTTGGCTGACTTTCTTTTTGTTGTGTTTGTTATTGTCAGGAGAAGGTTCTTATGACAGAAAAGAATCCTGAAAATCCTACCGGAACAGGAGCAATCGGGATTGCTCGTACGAAGTCGCGAGCAGAAGCTAGTCCTATAAAAAAATGTCCCATATTTATTTGTCGTCTATAGATGACAGTAGTTTTATTTTATTAACTAGATCGTATACTACTTTATCCACTGAATACAATAAACTATGCGTAATGAAAATATGTGATTAACTTTTTTTTCAGGTGGATTTCCGAGTAGGTTGGGGTAAAATGGACTTCGGATTCACCGGTATATGGCACTATCGGTCTCCTCTAAACTTTGTATACCTATACAAATTATACACACCGCTTGAAGGATTTGAAGAGAACGGACTTGTATTGAAGAATATCTACGGTAATGGACTAGATACTGAGCTATCTATTCGTCTGTCTACGCATAAGGTAATTTCTTATGTTATTGTCTATGTGCTAAGGTTCAATTTCAAGTGCAACTTAGTAGTTGTTTGATAAAAGTTCTTCAAACAGTTTTGTCATTGTATAATCGACTTTAAAGTGAAGTCGTGTACGGTTGAAAGTTGCTTGTCATCATTGGTTCTGTCTAAAAGACAGTCGCGTCAATCAATTTTGAATTCTTTTTTCGTCTAATTTTGTAACATTCTTATTTCAAAATCAAGAATTATATACCACCAAATATATTGTAAAACATGCTAAACAAATATAAACTTTGCCACACAACTATTAAAGTCTTTTTTCTTTACAGTTCGGCATAGCAATTCTTCTAGAGGACAATGGGAAAGCGTTAATAGACGTGCTTCGCGAAAAGTTTCAACATGACACGAAGTCAACTTCAGACATGTTCATAGAGAACTTTGATACAAGGGCTCGAGTGGTTTTGGACACCCTGTATTATCCTACTATTACTTTCAATGCTCATCTTATGAAGGTATGTTGGTTTTATTAAGTATATATTTAGTACTGGTAAGTACCGGCTTCGTATGGGTGCTGGGTGCTATTTCTTACGCAAAAAACAACATTCGTAACATCAACCTTAAAAAGCAATAAATAAACATGAATAGTCATGTAACGTTCCGTTACACTAGATCGGACTGACTGGTGACCATATAGCCTTTCTATTATCAAATAAGGTTAAATCTATACAGATAAATAAAATTGAAGGGTCTGTTTGTAATACTAATCTAATACAATCGCATTTTACTAAATGTATATGAATACACACACAATACAATACACATACCAGAATAATTAGGTATGACTGCACGGTTGGCGCGGCAGCTAGATAGTTGGCTGCCGCGCAACATGTCGCGGGTTCAATTCCCGCACGGAGCAACTCTTTGTGTGATCCACAGATTGTTGTTCTGGGTCTGGGTGTGATGTGTATGTGAACTTGTTTGTTTTTAAACGCACTCACGACACGGGAGAAAATCCTAGTGTGGACAAAAATTCTAAAAAAATTTTAGAATTTTTGTCTATCTGTCGGTCTGTTTGTACTGACTAATCTCTAGAATGGCTGGACCGATTTTGACGAGACTTTTATCGGCAGGTAGCTAATGTACTAAGGAGTAACATAGGATACTTTTATTTTGGAAAATTGAATCATGAAAAATATGATGTCCTAAAATTCATATTCTACGCGGAACAAATCGCAGGCAATAGCTAGTAATAAATAAAACTAAAGAATTCTACCTTTTATGCACTGGATAGTACAAGAGATATAGATTTCTAGATATCCTGAGTCTAGAAATAATGGTATAGATGATTTTTAGCCCTTTACGTATTATGAATTTTTTATTCATAAAGAATTTCAGCAACATAAATATTATGTTATTACTAACGAAAAGTTAAAATCCTCCCGTACAAATAGATGTTCTAATTACTTATAATAATTTTTACATCGTTTTCCAGTTCGTGGGTCCGGAAGAGGAAGACATATTAGAAGTGAATGCAACGCTACACTTACCGAATTTACCACCGCTTGTATTAACTGACGTCTTCGTGCTAGAGGTGAGGAAATTACTATTTATTTATTTATTCGAAGGAGTACGGCCACATCACAAACACATAACATTCAAAATACACAATAGTAACAAAATAAAGGTCTGACGCATGCGACAATAATGGCGTACATAGCACTGGCAATTCATAGGCTTAACAGTGGCTTAAAAATAAAATCCAATTTGAGAATTATGGAAAAGAAAATAACAACAATAATCCACACCATACACACATTAAAATGAGAATTTAACAAGTTCAATTTTCTAGAAATAATAACTATAGTAATTCTTGACATTAATACTTTACTTAATCTATTCTAAAGTTCTGGTAACTGGTGACTGCCTCGTTGGCCGAGTGGTCGCGAGTGCGACTGCCGGGCAAGAGGTCTCTGGTTCGATTCTCAGGTCGGGCAAAGATTTACTGGGTTTTTTTAATCTTAGTAGTAGCACGGAGTCTGGAATCCTGCCCGGTATATGGCAATAGACTCACCCCCTATTACATGGGACTCATAAATAGTTAAAAGTGGGTGTTACATTCTACAGTGGCATTAAGTGCCGTAACTTGCACCTCTGCCTACTCCTTTGGGGATGCAAGGCGTGATATTATGTTGTTATGTTAAGTTCCGGTAATTACGGCACAACACGCCATTTTCAAAATACATTATTCTGAGTCTTGAAAGCGTGTAAAGTTGTCATTAATTTGCGGCTTAATAAAATGAAACAATGCGATAAATGCAATTTAATGAGTTCAATTCTCGCACGGAATCACTTTGAGTTTGATTATTGTTTGTCTTGCAAAAATTAACCTTATTCCCACAGGAATACACAGTGATGCGCAACACTCTGAACTTGGTGACTCCATTCCAAGCGGTGAAGGAATTGAAGTCAGTGTACACAGTCGACATTACACTGGGAGAGAAGATCAACGTCACCTGCCTCGTGTTGTTGTATAATGGAACTTATTGGCATGAGGTGAGAGTCTAGTTCGTATGATTATGATATATACGTTTGTAAAACTCTTCTATTCCTTATAAATCTACTCGTATCTACTGCTTGATTCAAGAGTTTAGCTAGATCTTATATACAATTCTTAGTAAGTGTAGAATAGTGAAAAAAATTGGTTGCCTGTAAAGTCGGTATACGGGCGAAAGTTTTACGTGACAACGACTTTGAGTGGTAAAATATTATGTCTGTCTCTCTCGCTCTTAGGCGGGCTAACCATACCCGAGTGGAAGGGACGCGTGCCTCTCACTCACTCTCATTGTGAGCGCATAACGTGAGCGGAGCGTAACGCAGTTTCTTGAAGTGTCACCCGGCAAACCAATTTATAAGACGTTGTCACGTCAAAAACGAAAATGTTCTAATCCTTACAAAATTGATAGAGGCTGAGACAAGTCAGACAGGAAATTCTCAACACTTAGCCAAAATCAGTATTTTTGTGACCAGTATTTCCTTTACAGATATCATACAAAATATTCTACGAATACGAATGCGGTGAAGACGACACGTACCAATCGTACGTAGCGTCTGTCGGTATAGCGACACCTCTGCCAGTACTGCCCGCGCTAGAGGCCAGAGTCGCTGCGAGACTCGAGGACGCCTTGTGGAAGATGAGCGCTGATATAGCCATGCCATCCTTTACTATTACTGCTTTAGCTAGCTTAGAGGTAAGTTAAACAATATTATTATTGGTTATATTTATGAGTGTGGTCCCATACCCTGTCCCCCTTCCCCAATCCCCATCAGGCATGCCCTATCTCCCAGCAGGCAATTTCCATCGCCCATCGCTTGTTCCCCATCCCTCAACCATCACCTCCATTTCCTATCCCCCATCCCCCATTCCCCATTGCCTATCTCCTGTCCCAGTCTTCAAATCTCTAACCCCCAAAATAATGGCAACGCACTTGTAACGCCTTTGGTATTGCGGGTATTCATGGACAGTGCCGATTGCTTATCAACTGGTGATCCGCCAGCTCGTTTGTTTACTTACCTATCCAATAAAAAAATATTGGATTTTATTTGTACTGAATGAGAATTCATTTTGTGTTGATTTGTGTTTGGGCCGCGTGCTTGTGCTAATTTATTGTATTAATTATTACAACTCTATACCTTATCCAATTTACAATACGACACAGAATTCCTTGCACAAAATTAACCTTTTAAATCTTTTTGCAGTTGGACGATCCATTTGTTGAAACTTCAGGCAGTTTGAACTTAACATCGGCGTATTTAGAGGACTACTTTATAAAGATGCAGTTCAAGAAAGATTTCTCAGATGTCGAGAATGTGGTCGGAGGCGGTATACAGATACAACAGGGCGATCAGAATAATTATGTAAGTGGTTTTCGATATTATTGTTTTTTTGTTTACGCTGTGGGCATTGAAAATCTGTTCATGTATTAAGCCTATAGTAGGCACGGAGTCAAAACTATACCTCATGCTATAAAAGCCTCGTTGGCCGAGTGGTCGCAAGTGCGACTACCAGGCAAGGGGTCTCCGGTTCGATTCCCGAGTCGGGCAAAGTATTCCTGGGTTTTTTTCTTATTCATGTATTTTATGTGCCAATAAACACAATTTTTACCCATCCCACAGTTGTTCGCGGACGTAGTATGGCGGCCGGCCCCGCACCGTCACATCCGCTTCAAGTCCCGCGGCGCGCTGGTCCCAGTACTGTCCCCTGCGGAACTCTCTCTGCTGTACAGCGAAGATATGTCGCGCACTCTCTCGGTAGATTTCAGCAGCGAAGACTATTACTACTCCTTGAAGGCAGACCAGACTCAAACCTCTGTTAGTGCTGCATTGAGTAGTCCACATAAGGGATTCAGGTGAGTTCGTCTTTATTGCATTCTTTTTTATATTTGATGAGCCGACGTTTGACCACTACCTCGCCTGGTGGTAAGCGATGATGCGGTCTAAAATGGAGCACGTCGTCCCATAAGCAACCTATTGACTCGGGCCTTGAAGACTCCCAGGTTATACCCTTCAGGAAATACAGACTCTAACAAAGATTGTATAGGATTCAAACAAGTAGATGTATCGTCTTTAAATCGATTCTTTTTAATGTGCAACTAAGTGAAAATAAAACGGCCTTTCATGACATTTTCAGAGCTATCAAAATCATAGGCGAATTCGAAGAGGACGACATTCGAGGATCGTTTGTGACAGACACCACAGAATACAGCATCAACGGGAAAGTACTGAATAGGAAACCTCTTGAAGTGAGTATTTTGTTATGATTGTTTTATAATACCTACTATAGTTCCACTAAATATTGGGTAGTTTCGAGGGCATGAAAATTAATAATCGAATTAGTCTGTCAGTTAGATAATGAAATAATATTAGACACGTATTTTTTATTTTCTCGTATTAAGTTGCCATACTTAGATAAAATGGCGCTAAGTTTAGGAGTGGGAGGTTGTTACGTCATCTACAAAATGAGGCACGCTGTGACGTCACACGATATTTCAAATTAATATGTCGGTGAAAGTATTTAATTCTGTGTGGGAGAGCCATGCTTCGGCACGAATGGGCCGGCTCGACCGCAGTGATACCACGGCCTCACAGAATACCGACGTGAAGCAACGCTTGCGTTGTGTTTCGTCGTGGAGTGAGGTTACCGGAGGCCCAATTACCTTCCCCTTCCTCAATCTCCCCAATCCCTGAATCCCCAACGAGCCGGTGACGCACTTGTAACGCCTCTGGTGTTCCAGGTGTCCATGGGCGACGCCGATTGCTTACCATCAGGTGATCCGTATGCTCGTTTACCGCCATAAGCCATAAAAAAAATCTGTGAGAAAATAAAAAATACGTATCTAAAGTTTTAAATTAATGTACCAGACGGATATTAAAATAAAATTTAGGAAACTACCGTATTATAATAAATATAAAAAATAATAAGTATTATAATGTTTTAGTGGAAATGTGAAAGTATTTGAGAATTTACTCCTGAACTAAGATCCTATTAAGATTTTTTTCATTCAGGTACATCTATACTCATGTAGATATATCATGAAACACGCTTTTCCATGACCTAATTGTGATCATCATCACACAACAACAACAAAACCAAGGTGACAAATGCGGGTTTTTTATTTAACTCTTCATAATTTTACCTGTTTCTCATCCACAGATGTCTCTAACCCTAGTCCCAAAGGGCCAGGGCGACAATATAAACATCCGCATCAAGTACGAGAACTCCCCCACGGAGTACTCTCTGTCGGCGCACTTCGCGGGGCCGGTCGCCGCCACGCTACACGCTAAGGCGGAACTGGAGGGGAACTTCACGGATATTAATGTTAAAGTAAGTATTTGGTATGGTAATTTGGACTTTAAGTGAGTCGGGATTGTGTTTAGTTTTTAATGATGATGTATGTGGTTTAAGTTGTTGTATTATTGCAAAAAAACTAATTCGTAGATCATTTTTCTTCAAATAAAGGTTTTCATTTTTCATACTCATACACACATTTTTGTGTCATCTTCTTGTGTAATCTTATTAATTCTTCTAATTCTAGTTTTTCTTCTTCCTTCTTAATTTCGAACAAACGATATAAACAATCCTTATAGTTAAGTATAGGATTGTACCTTATCAAATAATAATATTATTATACTAGCTGTTGTTGCCCACGATTTCGTCCGCGTAGAATATGAATTTTAGGACATAACTTTTTTTGTTTCAATTTTCCAAAATAAAAGTAGAGTATGCAACTCCTTAGTATATCAGCTAACTGCCAATAAAGGTCCCGTAAAAATTATTCCAGCCATTCCAGAGATTAGTCAGTACAAATAGACAGACAGACAGAAATTGTCAAAATTTACGTCAATTCCATGTAATTTAGTTTTATATGGATCTGACGTAAATTACTCTACAAGTAGACAAGCGCTAAATGGCATTTGGCTACAGCTGCAGATACTACAAGTGATCCAGAAACACATAGAAATATTTTTAAGATAGATGGCATTATACCTCTATAGTTCAACTCAACCATTATTCCTTCACAGCTGGACATCCCCAAGTCGAAATACAAGGACATATACTTCAAGTCCCGAGTGGACAACTACCCGGGACTGCGCAAAGTGCTCAGCGTACAGGCCGCCACGCCGCTCAACAGGATACGATACGTTAAGGGAGATACTGATTTTGTGTGAGTATTGTACAAGTAATTTAATAAATTGTGATCTATACAAGTGGGGAGAGCCATGCTTTTGCATTAATGGGCCGGTTCCACCGGGGTGATACCACGGCTGAGCAGAAAACCGGCGTGAAGCAATGCTTACGTTGTGTTTCGTCGTGTGAGTGAGGTTACCGGAGACTGACAACCCCCCCCCCCTTCCTCCCCAGTCTCTGAATCCCCCAACATTCCTCTGATCCCCAAAAGGCCGGTGTCCATGGGCGACGTCGATTGCTTACTATCAGGTGATCCGTCCGCTCGTTTACCAACGTATTCCTTTTAACAAGTAATAATTACAGTCATAATATAAATGTTATTCTATTTTTACAGATTTGCTCCCAAAACTGGTTACTTGCTGTGCAAGTATGAGCTGCCTGACATGAAAGGCGAGGGAGATCTTAAGTGGAGCTTCCTTCTTGGAGATTTGTTTATCAAGGTTAGTGGAACTTCTTTTTTTATGTAGTTGTTCATCTCTTTGATGGATTCAATTGGGAGAAATATTATTGTTAAGCAATTTTAAACTTTAATTAATTGCATTTTGGACACAATTTGCTTAAAATAGAGTCGTATAATATATAAGTATGATGCAACACATGCTAGTCGTGTGCTATTCATCTTCTTAGTGTCATAAAATAAGTGTGGGAGAACCATGCTTAGGCACGAATGGGCCGGCTCGACCGGGATGATACCACGGCCGAGCAGAAAACCGACGTGAAACATGTTTGAGGTTACCGGAGGCCCATGCATATACCCCCGCCCCCCTTACCAAATTCCCCAATCGCCAATTCCCTAACAATCCTCAAAAGGCCGGTAACGCGCCTGTAACATCTCTGGTATTTGATGTGTCCATGGGCGACGCCTATTGCATACCATCAGATGATCCGTCTGCTTGTTTACCGGCTTATTCCATTAAAAAATATGATAACAACTCAATCTCTCTTTTCCTCTGATAGATTGAGCTTTATACAGTTTTATTACGACTTAAACTGTCAAACACCGCGAGGACACCGGTTACCGCAACCTATTGTTCTTTAATTGTGTCTATAATGACGGTACTCAAAGGGTTAATCCCACGGTTTCCCAAGTATTAAAAATCTAATAAATCTTACTGTCAATTTCACTCTCACTCTCCCCTCCCCAGGCGCTCGGTCACCAGCACGTAAAGGAGATAGAGAAGAGTGTAGACCTGGACATCCACTTCGGTAACAGTACTACTCCCGATATGATGATGAAGACTGACGCCGGCTTCAGGATGGACCTCGATCATGTTTGGGTGTAAGTATAGAGGTATATGTACCTTTATAAAGATTTGTTGATTCTTCTATGTATCTCAAATTCGAATAATTTGTCATTTTCGGGATTTTAAATTTATATTTATGGGGCATTTGAAAAATAGCTGACTACGGGTCAAAGTCTAAGTCAAAATCATTTCAATTAGACCAGGAAGGCACTTTTGAACGTCAACAACAAAAATTTAGAAGTGAAGCTAGTTGCTCATTTCAAGGTGTAGATGCCTATGGAGAAGAACGAGCAAGAAACTTCATAGGTTAAGTTAGAAATCTTTATTAAATCCTATGAGATTTTTTACATAACATCACGCCTTTTATCCCCGTAGAGGTGTGGATTACGACACTTAATGCTACTGTACGATGTAACATCCACTTTTCACTATTTATGTTATTAGACCCGTGTAATAGGGGGTGAGCCTATTACCATATACCGGGCACAATTGCAGACTCCGTTCTACTACTAAGATTTTTGAAAAAAAACCAGTACTAATTTGCCCGACCCGGGAATCGAACCCGAGACCTCCTGTTCGGCAGTCGCACTTGCGACAACTCGGCCAACGAGGCAATCAGAGCATTTTTTACATAATTAACCATGTTACAATTTCTTCCCACCAGGATCGGCGCCAATACCACCTTCGGATTAATCCCGAACAAGCAAATCAACTTGGTCATAAACGCGATTTTACCAAAACCAAACGTAGATGTTCATACTCTGTACATAGACTTGGACGGGGGATCTGACCAACAACCACTGAAGACCTTGGAGGCGGAATATAGGACTGATGTCACGAAAATTGTTACTGGGATTAAGGGAGATGTAAGTATTATTTTATTAGTTTTACAAAAGTTTTAATATAAACAATGAAATTTTTATTTGTAATTTGCCTTTTCCTTTTTTACAAAAAACAAACATTAATTTTATTTATTATTAGTTTATATATTGTTAAGTCTAAACAAACTAAAATCACTTAAAACAGACCAGTAGTTTTTTTATTTATTGATATTTTTGTAGTTAGATCGGTATTTTTTCACCAAAACCGAAAATGTTGAATATCTCAGAAACTAGCCACTTTCGGATCAGGGACCTCAGAACTAATCAGAACTACTTTTGTAAGAAATTAGTTGTATTATCACCTCCCTAGAGGAATACGTCGAGTTACAAGTCACCCTGTATTATTGGAATATGTATCAGAGATACTGTAGACTTTTTTTAAAATGAGTAACGAATGGAGCTTCTTTCTCGTTCTTCCCCACTCCCTACATTATGGAACGAGCACCTAGCTTCACTGACGGTCAGACTGACAGACTATTATTTATTTTACATTTGTTGACGATTCAAGTACCAAGTTATGGTGTAATTAAAATAAATGCTTTTGAGTTTTAAATAGTCTAAAAAGCAATCTTCTTTCAGCTCCTCTACCTAGCTGAGAGTTTCGACACAAACTCTACAATAACATGGACGTCGACTTCTGAGTACAAACATATAGACAATATAATCAAATATAGATGGGACGTGAATGGCTCCAACCACGTAGACTACACCCTGACCTCGCCCATGTTCCACGATAAACCCACGCTCAAGGTCAAAGGGTCGTATCAGAAGGATCTGGTGCACACTTATCATATTGTTAAGTAAGTTATATTTTTAATATTTTGTGTGTATCTTACTAATATTTTTCTTACTTCGACCGCGTAGAATATGATTCCTGTTTTATCCCATGGGAGAATTTAATCGGGATAAAAATCCTATCACCTAAGTCAGCCCATACCCTGCTTGTATATCAAATTTCATCAAAATCCGTTAAACACTGCCTCGTTGGCCGAGTGGTCGCAAGTGCGACTGCCGGGCAAGGGGTCTCGGGTTCGATTCCCGGGTCGGGCAACGATTACTAGGTTTTAAAAAAATCTCAGTAGTAGCACGGAGTCTGGAACTGTGCCTGGTATATGGCAATAGGCTCACCCCCTATTACATGGGACTCATAACAGAAATAGTGAAAAGTGGGTGTGTTATAGTATGAGTCCCATGTAACAGGGGGTGAGCGTATTGCCATATATCATATGTCATACTTTGCCAGACCCGAGAATCGAACTCGATACCCCTTGCCCGGCAGTCACACTTGCGATCACTCGGCCAACGAGGCAGTCGATTTTTAATTTTTTACAACTTTTTTAAATTAATATTATAAATGAATTTTATTTGCAGAGGAGACATGCACCACCCTGGCGACAGTCAGATCGGCGAGATAGATCTACGGTACGGCGGAGTCAAACATACAGACGGACACTTCAACTTTACCACACCGTTCAAACGACTACCTTGGCTCAAGTCTATATTTGATGTAAGTCGGTTTTCTTTTAATGATATACCAATTTAACTTGATTGGTAAAATTTGTATAATTTAGACGTGAGTTCGAATCTCGCTATTTAGTAGAAATAAAGGTAATATACCGTTTAATCACTGAACTGAACAAATAAAGCTCAACTGATTTCAAGCCATACCGGGGTTTATAATAAGCTACGGTGATGGCAAACGACGTCACATATCAACAGTGCACAAAATGAAATGCACTTTTACGTAATCAAAACAGTTAGTCTAATAATATATAAGTCTTACTAGATATTTCTTATGCATAATAGGGTAGATGCCTAATTTTTATTTTAATGTCCGTCTGGTAGATTATTTTAAGTTTAAGTTTAATGATTGTTTATTCACTCATAAAGAACATGGTTCACTTACAATGAACTCATTTTAACTCATTTATTTAAAAAAAATTAATTATTTTTTCACAGACAAGTATTTTTAATGTCTTACAGAAACGAATACTTTCGACGATATATTGATTTGAAATGTCGCGTGACGTCACTTCTATGTACATTTTATATGTAAAAATGACGTTTTAGCTCCCGCTCCTAAACTTTGATTCGTTTTATATAAGTATTGTTATATTATACGACAAAATAAAAAAAATACGTGTCTAATATTTTTTCATTACCTAAATACGGACTAATTAGATTTTTAATTTTCATACCCCGTCATCATCCTAATTGTAGAGAAAAAAACATATTTTGCATAACTATCTTATAGATTGAACCCTTATTTCAACAGATAAACAACTTAGAAGAAACCTCAGATAACAAAGTGAATCTATTCTGGCCGAACAAAACAGCGTCAGTGAACACCACACACCGCTACCATAAGAAAGACAAAGGCTTCACACAAAACGGCGAAATATCACTTTCAGTTCCATTGAGTCGTCAACATATCGTCAACACAGAATATTACTACATTCAAGACGATAAAACCAGCAATGGAAATGCTACAATTGATTTTGATCGCGAACGATTCGTCAAAGGCTCCTTCGATCAGATTCTCAGTAAGAGTGAAAGGAATTTGGACCTTGCTACCATGAATATTGAGGTGGAAAACGTCATACGCCTGTTGGAATTAAGTATATACATGAGTATGATAATACTGGAAATATTGTGAGTATATTTGTTTTGATATTTTTGTGTTGCTGTCCTTTTCTAGCTAGATAGTTAGCTTTTATTCAGTAAAGTTAAAAACATATTATTTGATTTATTTTTCGTGCAAATAAGAATAAAGCATTTCATTACATTTCTGCCTTTGATCGATTGAGACAAATGACAAAAGGCAAAAATTTTATTTTTATTCAGAAATACTTTTGATAAGTAACTCCACTTTATTCTACCTAGTACTATCTTTTACACGCGGCTTTGCTCGCGTCACAAAAGGATAAAAAGTAGCCTATGTAATATTTTCCAATACACACAGCGCCATCTATACCAATACTTTTGTTTTCCCTCGGGAATATCATATTTTTCCGGGATAAAAAGTACCCTATTATTTAATTCGGACTTCGAACTTTACGTCTGCAAAAATTCAAAGCAATCGGTTTAGTACTTACTGAACTGACTACTGAACTAGTAGCTACTGTACGTGAAAGCGGAACAAACAAACAAACTCACTTTCCGATTTATAATATTAGTAAGGATTTGAGAATAAACTTACTAATTCCCGAAAAGAGTATGCAATATATGTAGTGTGCACCCATTTTTTCGAAATATTGTTTAAAAATCTATATCAAACTCCTTTTGTCCCTCAGGACGTAAAACAAGCAACAGTATTCCACTTACACAACGCTACGAAATTCAACGTCACCGGTAAACTGGACATCTACACCTATGACATCGGAAAAGACCTCAAACTCACTGCTATACACGGTAATCGGACGTGGACCTTCGACAATAAGTACGAGGCTGTGGACAAGGAGTTGAAGCAAGGGAGCAAGATCAAATGGGCTGAAGATGTTTGGTTTAACTACGATCTACATGTCACTAATATGACTACGGTAAGTGATGTGTCTAAAACTGCATGTTACGCGTATTCTTCCGATACATACATACACAAACATACGCCTTTGTCAAACTCTGTGTCTCAAAAAGTGTGACAGAGCCATGCTAAGTGTGGGAGAGCCATGCTTCGGCACGAATGGGCGCCGGCCCATAGTGTGATACCACGACCCGGAGTGTGTGTGACCCGGAGTGATACCACGACCAAGTAAAAAACCGACGTGAAGCAACGCTTGCGTTGTATTTCGTCATGTGATTGAGTTTACTGACCCAATTCCCCCCCTCCCCCTTTCCCCAATTTTTCCAATCTCTGAATCCCCAACAATCCTCAAACTCCTTATTCCCAAAAGGCCGGTAACGCACATGTAGTAACGCCTTTGGCGTGCCTTAGGTGACCATGAGCGACGCCGCTTGCTTACCATCAGGTAATCCGTCTACTTGTTTACCGGCTTATCCCATAAAAAACAGTAGCGTTTTAGTATTCGGACATAAGCCGATAAAAGTACTTTGCTAAACTTACCTAATATCACGAGTAACAAAAGAATTGCTTCTAAAATCTGTTAAAAACTGAATGTTACACAGTTACACTGAATACATACTCCTTTTTTACCCTTTCAGCAAATTTAAAGATTACATTACTATACACAGAATATATACACATAATGGATTAGTGGATTTTGGTTGCTATTTTAAATGGATAATCCAATACTTATTGTTAATACGATAAATAAAAAATTTAAAAAATATACACAGTAGCTGTACAAAACAATATTCTAATCTTTTCATCTTTCCATAGGACGAAACTGAATCCCAACAACTAGTAATGAACGTATGGTATCCACTGCGTACATTCAACTTGGTAGCATTATACAATTTGCAAGACACTTTACTCGATGGTTCAGCGAAATTGCACTGGAATGTTAAAGAAGAGAATAAGACGGCTGAGCTTAGAGGTCGCTGGGAGAACCCTCCCGTACCTGAGGGGAACTTGCATCATGTGGACTTGTCGCTTGCTCATCCGTCGTTTAGAAAGGTAAGGGGTAGAAATTAGTTAAAATGAGATTTTTTTCGGGGAATTGGATTGTTCTATTGTCACTGCATACCACAAAGGGATATTTGTGTGACGCATAAGTGTGGTAAGTACGGATTGTTTTGTTGATTGTTAATGTGACTCGGGCTCGATTCTCGAGTGAATGAAAAATTATTAAGTTTTTTTTAGGTATTTACCTCATTAGTTTTGTGATAAATTAGATTTTTCTTAATAGTGAGCAAACTTTCTCAGATTCAATTCCTGTAGTTGTAAACTGTATTTGAGCAGTTAGGTTTTCAAAATATTGAGCATTTAACGTAGTGCTAATAGTTATATTTGGATTCAGAAAACCTATAATACCATTGTACTTACTAAAAATGTAATACAAATTATTGTAAATTCTAGTAATATTTTCCAGTTCATACATCACCAAAAAGTCTCAATAACTATGTCAACCTCTTTTCACAGGATGTAACCCTAAAAGGGCAATACTTGTCAACACCATCAGTGATGTCGAACGTCTCCCTAGAACTGCAATACTCCGACTATGAAAATGAATACCTGCAACTGAACTCTATTTTAACAGACAACTCAAATGGCCCAGTGAGGGACTACAAATTCGCACTAATATGCAAACATCCTTCTACCAATCTGGACTTGGATATGAAGTCCGATATTAATATAAGAAGTCGCTGGTATTACTTTAACAATTTCTACAGGTTCCAGAAGTCTCTTTTCTATCAGAAAATGAGGCAGAATATGTTTTTGATTGATACCGCTAACAGCGCCGTGCATTGGGAGGTGAGTGTGTGTTTGTACTTAATTTAAGCGTTTTTTAACAAGAGCTAGCTAGAAGTGGTAGAATTTTTAACCCAGAAAACGTGTAAAGTTTTCAATGAAACAAATTATTAGACTTTAATATACAAATAACATTAATAATAATAAATAAAAAGCCTTTTATTTCTTGCAAAATTACTTAACATGAAAAACATAACATAACAAAAGAAACATGAAAAATTAAAAATGATTAAATAATGGTTTCTTAATGTAAAATTATTTATATTCCATATTAATAATTATAAAAGTTATGAGAATCATCATTACATGAATTCCATTATTGATTTAAAATTACTTTTATATAAATTTAATTACACATTTAAAATTTAAAATAATTATAATAAATTCAATTTTACGACATTTATAATAATCCAAATTACAAGAATATTCAATCTACAAGGTGTATAAAATATAATAAATTATAATAAACATCATGCAAGCATGCAAGAACCCCTCTTATGTGAGGGTGAAGGCCTCCTCCAGACTTTTCCATATATCCCTATCTTTGGCAATTGTCTTCCACTTTTCACCAGCTATTTTTATAATATCGTTATCCCAACGAGTTATAGGTCTACCTCTCTTTCTGATACCTCTGGGACCCCGCCATAATGTCAGTCTGTAGGTCCAACGGTCATCGCTCAACCTAGCTACGTGGCCAGCCCAACGCCATTTTAACTTTTGTGAGAAGTTTAGGACATCTATCAGTTTAGTCTTTTCCCGTATGATATTGTGTGGGATTTTTTGTATTTTTCTAATATTTGTAATACTTCTTTCCATAGATCTTTGGCAGGTTCTGATCTTATTTCTTACGCCTAGGGTGTATTTCCATGTTTGACAACCGTAGGTGATAGAGGGGAGCAGGCATGTATCCATCAGTTTTTTCTTTAAATTCATAGGCGTTGATCCTTTTAATATTTCTTTAAAGCTCCAGAATTTTTTCCATGCGCTTAAGATTCTTCTTTCAACTTCCAGTTCGTTACTTTGTTTTCCGAAGGATACTTGTTTGCCTAGATAAATGTAACTGTCTACGTATTCTAATGGTATTTGATCAAGATATACCGGGTGTTTTTTGCTGTTGGACATAATTTTTGTTTTATTTAGATTCATTTCCAAGCCTACTTCGTAGCTCATAGTTTTTAGTGAGTGTAACATTGATTCCATCTCCTCAGCACTCTCGGATAGTAGAATAATATCATCGGCAAATCTAAGATGACTGATAAACTTGCCGCTAATGTTTAGCCCTGTTCTATCCCAGTTAAGTTTGCTGAAGACCATCTCTAGTACGGCTATAAAAAGTTTTGGAGATAGCGGGTCGCCTTGTCTTACACCTCTCTTTATGGGTATCCGTGGACCCATTGTTTCAAGTTTAATTCTACTTGTGCAGTTGTTGTACAAATATTCTATGACTTTTATATATTTCTGTTCAACGTTTTGTGATCTTAGGGCGGTCCATATAGAGGAGTGTCGAATTGTGTCAAAGGCTTTCTGGTAATCGATGAACACCACGTACAGTGGTTTCTGATATTCAGTATATTTCTCGATTATTTGTTCTATCGCATGGATGTGATCTATTGTAGAATATCCCCTCCTAAAACCAGCTTGTTCTATCGGTTGGTGTTCCTCAAGAGTCTCACTGATCCTCTTTTCGATTATCGATGAAAAGAGTTTGTAGAGTGTGGGCAACAGACTGATAGGGCGATAGTTGCTTATATTCGTGGGATCTCCTTTCTTGTAGAGTAGAATCATGTTCGACTCCGACCATTGAAAAGGCGTGATGCCCGAATCTAGTATAGAGTTGAAGAGATGTGTCAGAGGAAGTACCAGATGCTTACAGCCTATTCTTATTGCCTCGTTAGTAATTCCGTCAGGGCCTGGACATTTTTCTAATTTCAGTCTCTTTATTCCTTCTATAACTTCCATCGCATCTATCGTTTTTATTTGTGGGCCGTTTTTAGCAGGTAATTGTGGTAATTGTGTCTGGATGTTGGTGGCATCGTAAATATTTGAGGAGTTTGAGGTTTGACAATTATATAGTTTTTTGTAGAAATTTGTTGCGGTTTTCATAATATCGATCCTGTTATGTGATAGTTTGTCAGTCTCTTTTAATTCCTTGAAACAACATTATTAATCCTTAACAAATAACAAATAACCTTGACAAATAACATTATTAATCCTTAATTGGGTACTTTCTTTAATAAAAAATATATTATTTCGACTGTTCAACACAATGAAATATTAAAAAAATTATTACATTTTCATTAATTGATTGTATGACCAACTTATTTTAAGTATTTTTTTAATAAATTTTTAAGAAATAAGTATGCTGTATGACTCTAATAAAACGTGACGTCACAATACACAATCTCATACAAAATTCATAGAATACTGTAGTTTTTGACAGTTCGAAAAAGTATTGAATTTAACGGTTGGCAAGTACCCAATTTCCAAGACAGAGAACGTGGAAAGTTTTCAATGATACAAAATATTAGACTTTAATATACGAATAATATTATTAGTCCTTAATTGAAATATTAGGAAAAACCTTAGAAGGTAAATAAGCGTTATTGTTATTTCATGGGAGAAAGAAGTTCATGTACGTAGTTTGTTCATGTATATTTTACCACATAATGCCTCGTTGGCCGAGTGATCGCAAATGCGACTTCCAGGCAAGGGGTCTCGAGTTCGATTCCCGGGCCGGCAAAATATTACTGGGATTTTTAAAAATTCTCAGTCGTAGCATGGAGTCTGGAATTGTACTCGGTATATATGGCAATAGGCTAACCCCCTATTACATTGGACTTATAACATAAAAAGCGAAAAGTGGATGTTACATTGTACAGTGGCATAATGTACACCTCTGCCTACGCCTTCAGGAATAAAAGGCGTGATGTTATGTATATTTTACCAATATTATTAAATTAAAGTTATGTAATATATAAATTATGAATTGCGGAAGATTGACATAAAATGGAGCCCCTAAATCATTAGTGCTGCCATCTACAATCCTCAATTTTTTCGTAATTTTCAGCGTGCAAACGAGACATATTTCTACAAAGTGAACGGTACATGGGAACTGTTATATCCGGACTATACATTGAAGACGTTCGTCAGTCGCTCCACGGGTAACGACACAGGCACTGCGACACTGTCTATGAAGAACAAATCTTTTGTTGCGCATTATAATAGTACCGATGGTAAGTAGTTTTGAACCTTTTGTTGTTAAGAATAGGGTTTATAATTGTTATGCAATCAGAAAGTTTTATAATTTTGACTTGAGTCGTTGTTCGAGTGGTTACAAGCGGCCAATATCGAGCAAGGGGTCTTGGGTTCGATTCTAGCGTCGATAAAAGTATTATTGTAGTAAGGAAATTGTGGCCGGTGTAAGGTGTAAGGCTCAGTCCCATTAGACACATAATTGTCTAAAAAGGGTGTTACATTTAATAATATTATGTCCACCTCTGCCTACCCTTTCGGGGATTTACAATGTCATGTAATTTGTCTTCCTCTATAACAAGAGTATCTTATATTTATGTACAAAGTTAATCTCATTCTAATTTCTTCCAGACATCTCGTACCACATGGTGGGCCAAATCGTCGACACTAGATACGCTAAATTCGACTCTTGGCGTAACTTCGATGACGTCATAACTGTCGACCTAGCCTCCTACATACGTCTCAACCACTCCCGACTGCTAACCAGCTCAATTAAATGGCGACCAGAAATTTTCACAGAAGTTAAGTCCCAAGCAGTTTCCACACTCAAACTTTTGTACAGCCAAGTTAATGATACCCTTATAATAATGAAGGAGATGCCTATGGAAGCCCATTTGGCCCTGAAGAACATTTGGACGGACGCTAAGCCGAGGATCAGGGACTTTTTGGACGATCTAAATGACCTCCATGTGATAAAGGACGATTTGGACGAGTTCGAACGGTTTTTGAACCAATCTTATAGCCAAAATGACTTTTACGTCAAAGATATTGTGGAGTTCACTTACTATGTACTAGACGAAATGGCTATAAGGAATCATTTAGAGAGTTTGCCAGGCATTGTGAATGATATGTGGGGAATGATGGGCAACACAAGCCAGTCGATAAAGCAAAGTTTGACGTACATAGTGGATTCTATCAAAAAGGCGTATGCAAACTTCTTGGAGTCTGTCAACAAGGTATTGGAAGCTGATTTCATGGAGTTGGTGTCTGATAGATTGGAAGCTATGATCCTGCAGTACGATAACTTTATAAGAGATCTCCATATGAAGTTTTTGGAGTACTGGGAGGAGACTTGGGTGAATGCGACTAACAGGCTTTCCAAGTATTGGCATGAAGTCCTAAAGTCGATTGAGCCGTTGTTCTTCAAAGTGTTGCATTATAGTGAGTCGTTTGTGTTCGCTGTGGGTAAGAACGTTATGGATTTCTTCTATAATAGGACGCAGGAGTTGACTGACTCGCCTTATTTCAATTATGTGTCGACGTTCGGACATGAGATGGATCGGTAAGTAGTTTCGGTGGAGTATTTAAAGTGATTGTCAGTAGAACTTAATACAGAAAATTGATAATTTTTTTAATGTCTATACCTTATTTTTTTTTTCACCGCTTGAAAATTCCAAGGGCCTAGCTCTGGTTCGATGCCAGAAAATGGCAAAGTTATGTTATTGAATTGTCTGAATTGATTATAATAGCCCTATGTTTGGATCTGTGGTCTCCCAGAAGGCTAATAGCATAAAAAATGTAACACAGTACATTACGTGGACACTTTGTAACGAGCGCCTAGCTTCACTGACAGACAGGCGGACGGACAATACAATATTTGCCGTTTCAAAAGTGCCTATTTAAGGATAAATTGAAGTAAATGCTTTGACATTAAACATTGTCTAAAATTTGTATTAATGGCTTCATATTTTAAACACGTTCCATTGCAATCTGAACCATACCACCCTAATCACAAATCTCATTTTCCAGCATCTACAAGGACCTAATGAACAACGATTTAATCACCAATATAAAGAAATATAGCAAGAAGCTCTTCAACTTCGTTTGGTCAAAGATAGAGAAGTATATTCCGTTCAAAGATGAGTTCACACAACTGTACGCGGAGTTCAGGAACGCGTGGGAGAACTTCTTGAAGACCAAGCAGGTCGTCTACGTGAGAGAGAAGGTAGGATTTTGTACTTTATTTTGTTTGGAATTGGGTTAGTACAATACGGCACGGCACGGTTAGTGCGGTGGCTGGGCAAGCGGCTGCCGCGCAACGTGTCGTGGGTTCGATTCCCGCACGAAGCAACTCTTTGTGTAATCCACAAATTGTTGTTCCGAGTCTGGGTGTCACGTGTATGTTAACTTGTATGTTTGTAAACCCACGACATAGAAGAAATTCCCAATGTGGAGCAACGAATTACCAAAAAAAAAACAGTTTTGTTTGTCAAAGTGAAAATCAAAATTATTTATTTCAATTAGACCAGGAAGGCACTTTTGAACGTCAACAACAAAAATTTAGAAGTGAAGCTGTAGAAAGTGAAGGTGTAGATTCCTTTGGAGAAGAACGAGCAAGAAACTCCATAGGTTACTCTTTTTCAACCGGGCTTACAATACAATTCTCTAGTGACATAGTTTTGTTGTGGTTCGATTGTGTAAGAACAATGCAGCACCTGAATCTAGTCTATCTTAAAGAAAAAGAAAATAACCTTGAGGACGATAAAATCATACAGTTTGGACAGCTGCAGACTGGTCAGAACCAGTCGCAATTGACGGCGCCGTTCACAAACATGACACGTACCCCAGCACCGCCTAACTCAACTATGTTTATATTTCTATCTTTGTAATATTTTATTTCCTGTTACGACTGTTTGTAGAGCATTAATAAATAAATCTCTTTCTTACAGTATCAAGAAGCATATGTGCGTCTGAAGTGGTGGTATGATTACTTCTTGATCGGCGAGGCGCTGGAGACAGTCGGCGAGATACTGTACGCCAAGCTTACCGACATGTCCAAGACTGCACTGCAGTATGAAGAACTGTAAGTTTTCTTAATGTTTAACCTAATATCACGCCTTTTATCCCCGAAGGATTTTTTTAAGGGGATAAAATCATCGAATGACTTCTCCCGCCTGGATGAGGCGAGAGGGAGTGTCAGACTCTTACTGACTAAAAACTACCCCGTTCCTACACCTGCACTTCGAGCCGGAGCTCCGGTACATCCCCGAAGGGGTAGGCAGAAGTGCACATTACGACACTTAATATTACTGTACAATGTAACACCCACTTTTCACTATTTATGTTATGAGTCCCATGTAATAGGGGGTGAGCCTATTGCCATATACCGGGCACATTTCGAGACTCCATGCTACTACTGAGATTTTTAAAAAACGTAGTTATACTTTGCCTGACCAGGGAATTGAACCCGAGACCCCTTGCCCGGCAGTCGCACTTGCGACCACTCGGCCAATGAGGCAGTCAGTTCTTGATGTTTACTTGTTTTAAAATTAAAGACAGCGTTAACTAAACCATTTGAAGCTGCTTTATAGCAAAATCTATACTTTAGTACACTTCGAATTGAAATAAATGTCAAAGGAGTTTTTTTATGGAATGAGCCGGTAAACGAGCAGATGGGCCACCTGGTGGTAAGCAATCGACGTCGCCCATGGACACCTGGAACAACAAAGGCGTTATAAGTACGTAACCGGCCTTTTGGGATTAGTAATTTGAGGATTGTTGGAGATTCAGGGACTGGGGATGGGGGGGGGGGGTAATTGGGCCCCCGGTAACTTTACTCACACGACGAAACACAACGCAAGCGTTGTTTGTTTTGCTTTTAAATCCGAAAACCTAATTGATTTTTGATAGAGATTATGAAATAAGATAAAATAAAAATTGTATATTTTTGCACATGAAGATTACTTGTTTAGATTAGTTAGCGGGACGGATATAGTGTATTCCCGTTGAAATCCATCCCCTAAATTTGGTCATACAAAAGTAGTCTCTAAACATTGGAAATAAGGTCTATAATGTAATGTAATGTTAGTGGAGAGTGGTCACCGGTGACCGCTTGGGGATATATGGGTTAAATTCGACTTTTCGAAATTTTCTCAGTGATGCAGTCGCATATAGTCTATAGTCTATACATTTGTTCTACGAGCATTGTTAATAAAAAATGTAACATTATGTTTTTAATTACCCCCAAACAGGATTAACGAACAATATTGTAACTTCTAAGTCCTCTTTCAGGCATCGTACACCAAAAACGAACTTCATATTCGATCCCCGAGTCGGTGCTATCCTCCTAGAACAGAAGCTACCGATGTCTTGGCACGCATTCAACCGTACGCCAGATTTCACTGAAATATCTGAATACCGCGCCGTGAAGGACTTTATGGACGAATGGTTGAATACTAACAAGAGTATCTGGTCGTTCTATTATGATATTAGACCTTATATGGACTTCGATAACTTGATGCCGCCATTTGCTGGTAAGTTCTTTTGCTTTAGTACTGTTTTTTTTTGTATTGTATCGTTATAACTATGATGGTATATAATGCATAATAAAGTTAGTGTAATGATTAGGCAACCCGTTGACGCGTTACGTATCGCGAGTTCGGTCCGCAAAGAACAAGCCGTTGTGTGATTTTGTTGTTTCGGGTCTGAGTGTGACGTATATGTGAACTTATATGTTTGTGAACGTACCCATAACATATCCTAGTGCAATAATAATAAAATCCTAGTGTGGGGCAATGTTTTTTAAAAAAACAAACAAACATAACTTATTTTAATCAGTAAACTTTTAACAACATCTCTGATGGACTAGACTGATCAAACAATACGTCTCAGTGGCGCCATCTAGTGAGCTCAATATCAGCAACCCTCGTTGAAATACCTACATACATATCGCCACACCTATTGAGGTAGATAGAGACAAAACCAACGCCATTAAAAACATCGATACTAAATTCTCGACCAGACGTTTATTGCTCGTTTTTCTTCATAGTAATCTAATAAAAAGGGTATAACCCTATAACGAGTAAATAGCTTCACTAGAGGACTGACTGATAGATTGATACTTTAAATTTTTTCAATGCAATTTCAATCCAATAAAATCTCAATAATTATTCAATGTCAAAACTATACAACCTCTATCGTAGCTGTTAAAGTAGCATTCAGAGTACGGAATATAAAGCTAAACCCAATACCATTTGGTTCATTAAATATCCACGCAATGCGGATGCAATGGGCGCTAGTGTTGCGACTCGAGAGTACGAAATTTTACAATACCAATGTCGATCGATCGGAATTGGATTCAAGAGTAAGCTCCCTGGTCTAATAGGGTAGTTTCCTAAATTTTATTTTAATGTCCGTCTGGTACATTAATTTAAAACTTTAGACACGTTTTTTTTTTCTTTTCTCGCAATATTAAATACTTTCGACGATATATTAATTTGAAATATCGTGTGACGTTACAGTGTGTCACATTTTGTAGCACGTTATGACGTAACAACCTCCCACTCCTAAACTTAGCGCCATTTTATCTAAGTATTGCAACTTAATACGAGAAAATAAAAAAATACGTGTCATATATTTTTTCATTATCTAACTGACGAACTAATTAGATTTTTAATATTGATACCCTGGAAACTACCCGATTGAAATAAATTACATTGACTATCTTTCCTTTTCATAGGTATGGCAATGATGACAGGCCAGGGTACCCTGGTAACATTCGACAAGAGAGTGTTCACAATATCAGAAGCGGGCACATTCCTACTGACGCGGGACTATAGACAGGACAACTTCACTGTACTCATGGAGAGCAACGACCAGGGACGGTATAATCTGGTGTTACTGACCAGGAGGAGTATCATACATATTGACTTGTATAAGGAGGTCAGTTGATATTTGATTTGGTAATAAGTTTTATAAGGAATATCAAAAAGTAATTTTTTTATGGTATAAGCCGGTAAACGAGCAGACGGATCACCTGATGGTAAGCAATCGGCATCGCCCATGGACACCTGGAACACCAGAGGCGTTACAAGTGCGTAACCGGCCTTTTGGGATTAGTAATTCGAGGATTGTTAGAGATTCAGGGACTGGGGAAGGGGGGAGGGGTAATTGGGCCTCCGGTAACCTCACTCACACGACGAAACAATGCAAGCCGTTATTTCAAGTTAGTTTGGTGTGAGGCCGTGGTACACGGATCACTCCGGTCGAGCCGAAAAATTTAGGTATATTGCCAAATGAAATAATGAAAGTCTGATTATTTGTGGGATTACAAGGAAAACAATCTATTGATGTAAATATATTGTTCTTTAAGATTTTTGTTTAGGAAAAATAGGTACCCAAGGAAAGGATCTCTATGTTTGCTTCTGGATTTTTTTCAATTAGTGACTCAAGGGATTGCTAATGCGACTACTAGAGCAAGGTAGCTCGGGTTCGATATCCAAATCACGTAAACTTATTTAAGTTTCATGATTTTTTAAATTCAGCACAGACAAAATCTAATTCTAACCACGTTTTCATATAGATAGATCCACTTAAAGAAATAAATTCAAAGCTTACCTATTACGTAACATGATTATGAATCCTAATACAGCTTGAAATCAGTCGAGCACACTCGAATACTTTACAAAACCAAACCAAATTTAAAAAACCACACTTGAACCATTTATCCAACACCTTCTACTTTTAAAAAATATAATGATTTACTTACAGGAAGTATCAATAGGTCAATCAGTACTAAGTCTCCCAGCGTACGTGGACGGCGTGGTAGTGGACAGACAGACGGACTCACTGTCCGTGCAAGGATACAACGGACTCGACATACAGTGCAACCTCGTCTTCCACACTTGTAAACTGCAGGTTTCAGGTATGTATACTTTTTAACACCACTACTCTTTACGTGGGTGTCAGAGACCCGGGAACGGCACTCTCTTCTAAAATAATAAGTATAGTGAGATATTTTTACCACCCACTCTCTCAATTCTTCATCATCACCATCATGAACAGCTCGAAGACGTCCACTGCTGGACAAAGCACCCCCCCCCCCCTAGTCCTCCACGTCGAACGACAACATGCCACTTGCATCCACTGGCTCTCCAAACCACCTGCCAAGCGTGGGGATTGTGACAAACCCCTCCCTTCATTTTAAATTACTATCTCTAAATCGCCAAGCGTGGAGAGAGAATGAAGGCTCATACTCTAACGTGGATTATCACAAACAGATTGATGATCTCAATTCACCCCCATTTTTATCATTAGCCTTTTTCCACCTATATTTCCGATTTATTTATTATATATTTTTTAATAGAATGTAAATTATAAATGAGAAAACGCGTCACCTGTTGGCAAGCAATCGACAGTTGGACACCCACAAAACTAAATGTGTTACAAGTGCCTTTTAGATCCCTTGGGAATTCGGGGACTTAAGAATTAAATAATTCATTGAAATAAAAACCATTCCTAATTTATTTATTTATTCGAAAATGGCAAACAAATAGTGGCAAAATAACATCACAAAGCCAGGGTTTTCACGGATAGATATTACATTATTCGATTAGTAAAACATAACATCACGCCTTTTATCCCCTAAGGGGTAGGCATAGGTGCAGGTTATGCCACTGTGCAATGTAACACCCACTTTTCAGTATTTATGTAATGATTCTCATTTAATAGGGGGTGAGCCTATTGCCATATACCTGGCACAATTCCAGACTCCGTGCTACTACTGATATATTTTTTTAAACCCAGTATTACTTTGTTCGACCCGGGAATCGAACCAGAGACCCGTTGCCCGGCAGTCGCACTTGTGACCACTCTGCCAACGAGGCGGACAATTAGTGAAAACACTCATTAATTAAAAACTTTTCTCCAACAGGTTGGTTCTACGCTACGCTCGGCGGTTTACTCGGAACATACAACAACGAGCAATACGACGACCTTCTACTACCGAACAATACGTTCACGACGTCAATATCGACGCTCGGCCACAGCTGGAACATAGTGCCCAGCGCTAACCCCACTAACATTGAGAACAAGGACCTGAAGAATGACACCCAGTGCGAGAAGTTCTTCCAGAACAAGGTGTCGCCTTTAAACCCGTGTTTCTCTGTTGTAAGTATATTTTTATTTGTTTGATACTAATATAAAATGATGATAGATGTCATGGTGGCCCGGAGGTTTAAGACGCCCGCTTCTCATGCATGAGGGTGCGGGTTCAAAACCTACTAACGGCAAGTACCAATGTTACTTTTTCCGAGTTATATGTACTTTCTAACATTATTCAGACACCACTGACAAACGGTGAAGGAAAACATCGTGAGGAAACCTGGGCTTATAATTTCTAATTATAAGTTTGTAATCGCCAACCCGCATTGAGCAAGCGGTGATTAATGCTCAAACCTTCTCCGTGTGAGAAGAGGCTTTGCTCAGCAGTGGGATGTATAGGCTGTTGATGATGACTAATATAAAAGAAATAGATTTTTTTTTGCATTTGTGTGCCTGCTTGTGATATACTCTAAAATAATAAAATCGTAGAAAAGTCAAAAGTGTATATTAAATATTAAAAAAAAAATACTCGGGACGTTTCTAGAATTTTTGTCTGTTTGTCTGTATGTATGTACGGGATGATCTCGAAAAGTACAGCATGGATTTACTTCAAATTTTGCACGAATATTACTAACAGGTCGGGTCAACACATAGGCTAATTATCACACTATCGCTTACGGGACTAAATCAATTCTGACGACATACATTACCGTAGAATATCTCTTGATAAAAACTAATTCAAAAGCCTAAATTCTGTCAGAAGTCATTATACTACGCGGACAAAGTCGCGGGCAATAGCTAGTATACTCTAAAACTGGTTGTTGAGGAAGATATAGAGATGATTTATTATGGTTTTGACCACGCTGGCGAAGTTACGAACAGATGGCTAATATTAGTTAATACTTTAACTGCCAAGTTTAAAATGGTGAAAGTCAAACCTCCACTAGCGTCAGGCACCGGTGACTGACGTGGCGCTCTAAGGGTTAAAGTTTTGTACCTCTAGGTATTCGCCATTTGCATTTGTCATTTGCCTAAATTTCACTTGTATATATAATCAAAACGACAGAAGTAGCCTATGTTACTCTTCAGCCTACTAACGTTTCGGACATGAAAATTATAAGAACAAAATATCACTCCATCGCAATTTTAAAATAAATTAAAATACACATTCGCATTTATAATATTTAGTAAATCTAATCTAAAATCTATCTTCATTCTCCCCAGATCCCAGCTCTCCCGCTGTACAGCGAGTGTATGTCAGGCGGCGACGCATGCGCCCTGGCCAGCGCGTACAAGGAACTATGTCTACACGAACATGTACCCACACACATGCCTGACCATTGCCATCAGTAAGTATAATTGTTATTTCATCATAATCATTCATTATCATCATTTTATTCTTATCAGTACGTAGACGAAGACCTTTTTGTATTTTATTTTTTTTAAAAAAAAACGTTACACCACATTAGGATTTTCTCCAGTGTCGTGGGTGCGTTTACAAACAAGTTCACATACACGACGACACTCTGCCACGAAACAACAATTTGTGGATCACACAAAGTGTTGTTCCGTGCGGGCAATCGAACCCGCGACACCTTGCGCGGCAGCCGGTTGGCCAGCCACCGCACTAACCGTGCAGTTGAAACCTGCTAGATCACTAATGGCGTTCCCTCCTTTTTCGTCACTACTTCGCCAAAACTCCAAACAACAATCACCTCTACCACCTTAAACACAAGTCCCATTTTTCCCCACAGATGTACGACCCCACAAGGCGATATTATAGAAGAAGGCGGCTTCCACGTCCTCCAATACATACCCAACTCCACCGATGTAGTCATTATAGTGGAGGCTCAGTATTGTAACAAGAATTTGCGCAAGAGCAAGAATATGGATCTCTTTGTTGAAGCATTCGATATTAAGCTGCAGGCTAATGGATACTCAGATAATAGGTAAGTGTGCTTTTCAATTGTGAACCTTAAAATCGTTATTTGTTAAGTTCTTTATTGCACATCTATACAAGAAAATATATTCGCAATACAGTATGCGTTAGCCGTTCAAATATTACGTAAGCAGATTTTTTACAATTATTTCCCCCCCCCCCTACCCCCCTTGTCAGCAAAAGTAAGCAAAGACCTTACCCCCTCCCCCTTTGCTTACGTAAACATTTTAAATTATATCTTTTAATATTCTCCAAATACCATAATGTCTCGTTCTTTGTCGGTCTTTGCTTTTAATTTATAATTTCAATAACTACCGATGACGTTATCATCATCTAGACTCTCCTACCCCCCATATCATCCGAAATAAGCAAAACAGAGACCCCCTCACCCCCTCCCCCCATGGTGCTTACGTAATACTTGAACGGCCCCTGAACCAAAAAGTTGTATAATAAGCTGCCGATAATGCTCTGAATTCAAAATCCTTGGATTAACGTAGGTTTTGGACATTACCTCTATAGAATTTCTGTCAAAAACTAAGATCGATCCAGAAATTTTAAATTAAAATTGATTATAAATTTGGAATTAGATATTGTGGAACAGTTTCTTAATATTCTATCGCTTTCTATTTTCATATCTCTCGTTATTTCTTAAATTTACTGTTAAACCTACTTTAACTGGTCAATTCCCAAGTGGTTACCGCTGACCGCTCTCTACTCACTGCATTATAGACCTTATTTTTGATGTTTAGAAACTACTTTTGTGTGACCCAATTTTGGGGTTATTCGGTACGATATCTCAAGTAATCAAAGTCAAAGTCAAAGCATTTCTTTCAATTAAACCATAGTTTGGTACTTTTGAAACGTCAACAAATACAAAATAAATAATAGTCTGTCAGTCAGTCAGTCAGTGAAACTAGGTGAAGCTAGGTGTTCATTCTAAAATGTAGATTCGAATGGAGAAAAACGAGCAAGAAACTCTATTCGTAACTTTTTTTAAAAAAGTATGTTCTACAATGTCTCTAATACATATTTCAATACTGTACGCATATGTATGATGAAGTCTACATTCATTAATTTGGTTTCCAGATACGCGATCGTAGGTTTCGGTGGTAGCGGCGTGTACCGTCGTCCACGGGCGTTGTACGTCAATAACAAAGTGTTCACCAACCCTATCGAAGTGTCATTGCATCTGGATAACTTCATTATTGGTAAGTAAGCTTTACGAAGATGAAGATAAAGTTCAATTTAATTTTACTAAGAAAAACAAGAGTACATAACTCATAACTGTGATACGAAAGCTAGACTATTTTCAAGTAATGACAGGGACCCATAGATATGAGTAGCTAACGCGACGCTTAAATATTTGTGTGATGAAGCCGTACAAATTAATTATGATAATTATTATTCAATGCAAAAAAATCTTATTTATTTCTATATGTTACTTATCCTATTACTAATTGACGAAGAAAGTGTAAAAATACAACAAACTTACTTTTGTCAAACTCAGAGGCCTTAGTACGAGTTTATTTTACGTTGAAAGTAATCGAAACGAGTATGCATTCGGCGTTCTGACCGGCTCCAATGAACCAACCAATCAGAGCGCCGGACGCCGTCTCGTTTCGATTACTTTAAACGAAAAAGAAACTCGTACTAAGCCCTCTGAATTGACCTTCTCTTGAGAAGGTCTTTAACTTAACATTCTACTTATAAATCAATTCTATCTAAAATGTAAAAAAAAATAATAAAACACGCTGCTTTTTTCAAATTCCTACAATCAATACAACGCAATAAAATTCAATTTCCCTTGCAGACAAAGCTGACCTGGTCCGCGGAAACCGCACCCGGAAAGCAGATATGTTCGCTGCACTAAGCTTCGCCACTCAGCTTCCGTTCCGTGCCGCTGTACCCAAGATGTTCATACTGATGCCGTGCTCCAAGTGTGATTCTACCTTTATGAGGGTAAGTTGTATTTACCTATGAAGCTGGAATTAAGTCTAGAGACCCCTCTAGGCTTAATTCCCCCCTAAGACCCCTCTAAACTGTCGCGGAGAACCTAACGGGTAACCGGGGCTCCGGCTCGACGTGCAGGAGAAGGAACGGGGTGGTTTTTAGTCAGTAAGAGTCTGACACTCCCTTCCGCCTCACCCAGGCGAGAGCAGTCATTCGATGATTTTCCCCCCTTAAAAAAAATGACCCCTCTAAACTACCCAGTTTGCTACCTACATTTTGTATGGGATGGGTTGCCAAACGTGTGGACTGTAGACGGATCACCTGATGGTAAACAATCGCCATTTATGACAGCCATAACACTATAGGATTTAGATGTGCTTTGGTGGCCTATTGGGGATGCGGAACTTTAGGGATAAGGGGGACTATAGATGGGATATGGAGAGGATTGGATCCCCTATAACCTTACTCACGCAGATGCACGTAATGCAAGCATTGATTTTTTTCATGTCGGATTTTGTGGGCCTTAGTATCACGCTGGTTAAGCCGGCCCAACAACATAACATCACGCCTTTTATCCTCGAAGGGGTAGGCAGAGGTGCACATTATACCACTGTACAATGTAACACTCACCTTTCACTATTTATGTTATGAGTCCCATGTAATAGGGGATGAGCCTATTGCCAAATACTGGGCACAATTCCAGACTCCGTGCTACTACTGAGATTTTTTTAATAAACCTAGTAGTACTTTGCCCGACCCGGGAATCGAACCCAAGACCCAGGACCTCCTTGGCCGGCAATCGCACTTGCGACCACTCGGCCAACGAGGCAGTCCTGCCAGCGAGTAAGCCGGCCCATCCCTGTCGAATCTTGACACATATCAAAATGCCTAGTTAGTTTTAAAGTATGTATTTAAAAGTAACTGTTACCTGTGGCTTTGTTAGATAATTTTTAAATGTTCTTTTATGTTTCTTCAGCTGGACTACTCCACAATCTACCACAACCTGATGGAGAGCTCGGTGACACTCCACATCCTCATGGATGACGACTTCATGCTGTCCAAGAAGAGAGCCGCTAAGTACTTGTTCGGTAAGTTAATTTTTCATACCTTTAAGTTTGGTATGAAGAAAGATGGTAAACATGATACAGCGTTAGTCTGTTTACCCATCGGCATCAATGCTTTACACATAATTGGTTTTTTTTATGGAATAAGCCGGTAAACAAGCGCAAAGATCACCTGATGGTAAGCAATCGCCGTCGCCCATGGACACCTGGAACGCCAGAGGAGAGAGGACGCCACGCCGCTTTCTAGTTGTATTATGTAACATCTTTCTCCTATATATCTATATCCTTTCTCCAGGCGTGGACAATACACTAGCGTACACGAACAAGGACTACGAGCGACTAGTAGGAGACTCCGCGCTACGGAAGCAAGTCAAACTACCCAAGGAGAAGCTCGGACTCTGCACCTCACTGGCTATGGAGACTAATGGTAACGTATTTTTGATGTTTATTTAGGTTTCAGTTATTTTTTCAGTTAGAAGTCTCGGGTTCGATTCTCGGGTCGGGCAAAATATTACTGGGTTTTTAAAAAAATCTCAGTAGTAGCACGGTGACTGGAATTGTGCAAGGTATATGGCAATAGGTTCACCGCCTATTACATGAGACTCATAACATTAATAGTGAAAAGTGGGTGTTACATTATACCGTGGCATTAAGTGCCGTAATGTGCACCTCTGCCAGGTTTTGTCTGTGGATTGTACACACGTCTGTACATCAAGCTATGCCCAACTTAGAATTTACACTCAACAAACATATTTCTGTGACTGCACTCACACGGCGAAACATAACGAAAGCATTGTTTCATTCCGAGCTGCAGACGACCTAGCATGTTCGTCAGAAGCATGCTTTCAGGAGTATAATCGGGGTTATTTTTAGTCAGTAAGAGTCTGACACTTCCTTTCGCCTCACCCAGAGTAGAAAGACCCATTCAGTGACGTTTTCCTCTCCGTTCTAACCAACGACCCGTCTCGTCCAGGTACAATATTCGCGGGCGCCAAGCTACAAGGCGACCGTCCCACGGCGCGCCGGTTCAGCAGCGTGGTGGGGGCGCGCGCCGCTGTGTCCGCCCCGCGGTGTCACTCGCCGCCGCGCTGCGAGTGCAGCGACGGCAGGCTCGTCTGCAGGCCTTGCGCGGACACGCAGAGACTGGTACGTATCTTGTAATCATTAGTGTTTTACAGGACTTTTGGTGGATAAAAATACAATTTTGAAAATGAAAATGTACAACACCACAGCTTACGCCATTAAGTTATACTGTTAATCTTATTTAAGTTCTTAAAAACGAACTAATTAGGTAATCAAATACAAGAAATAAAAATTAATACAATAAAGAAACAAAATTAACAAAAAAGAAAAAAAACCATACATTTGAATACAATAAAAAAACTGTTGTTGTTGTTATTTAACCCACCAATAGGGATGATGACAGGGTATGAAAATTAAAAATCTAATTAGTCCGTCAGCTAGGTAATGACATAATATTAGACACGTATTTTTTTATTTTGTTCTATAATAAAATGATACTTAGATATAACGAATTAAAGTTTAGGAGTGGGGGCTAAAACGTCATGTCTACGTATAAAATGTGCATAAAGTGACGTCACGCGACATTCCAAATCAACATCGTCGAAAGTATTCGTTTTTGTAAAAAAAATTAAAAATACGTGTGTAATGTTTTAAAATAATCTACCAGACGGACATTAAAATAAATATTTGTCATCTACCCTATTCCGATTACCCTAGTCGCAGTTTTAAGCATAGAACGAGATATTAAACTATATATCATATAACCAAGCGGTCATCGGTGACCGCTCTGCACTTATTCCATTATAGAACTTATTTCCGGTAATTAGCAACTACTTTTGTATAAGCAAATGTTGAGGATTTTTCATAATCGTGGATTAATTACTTTTTTCATGACTTGATTACATTTTCTTACTTGTTTCTAGAAAATACATTGAAAAATCGTAAAATAAAATAAAAGTTTTGATTATTGTGCTAAATTACTAATATATATTACTGTCGAGTGCAATATCACACATGTCATTCCCGACGCGGCAAGAAACATTAAATAAATATTCTTCTAAACCTTTCTCTGCGTACATATACTCACACTTTTACTAATTGAGTACCCACTCAAAATTAATTTTCTAATTCGTAACTTAGTAACAATTTTTATCTACATTTACATTTTATTAGTAAACATTATCTATTATACAATGTTAGAATTAGATAATATACCTAGATGTTATCACCTGACCTGGACCTCCGTTATCTATTCAGTGCTCCACGTTTTGAATTAATTGGTCATTGTATCATAACTGGGAGGTCTTATAATCATAGTATATTTAATTACCAGCTAGATGCATGCGTTTTCACCCGGTCTGCTCGGCTCCTATTGGACATAGCGTGATGTTTTATGCTGATAGCCTTCCTCGATAAATGAGCTAACACAAAAATATTTTTTCAAAGAACATTCCTGAGAGCGCGTTTAAACAAACAAACAAACTGTTCAGCTTTATATAATAGTACTAGCTATTTCAATTACACGAGCTGTCCTCGATAAATAGTATTAAATCCAACACAAAAATATTTTTTCAAATCGGTCCAGTAGTTTCAGACATTAGCGCATAGCTAACGGGTAACCGGGGCTCCGGCTCGACGTGCAGGAGAAGGAACGGGGTGGTTTTTTGTCAGTAAGAGTCTGACACTCCCAGGCGGGGGCAGGCATTCGATGATTTTCCACCCTTAAAAAAAATACTCTTAAGCTTTATACATATAATAGTATAAGATATAAGATAATAACCGAAAGTCTATAATTCTGTCCAGTATAATATGACAATAGTCGGCTGGCGCGATGGCTGGGCAAGTGGCCGCGCGCAACTTGTCGCCAATGAAATATAATCTATGCTACAATATTGTTTTAATTTATTATTTCTCTATCCACAGTTGGAGCTATCATTCTTCAACTCCGATGACATCGATGAGTTAATCGACATGGCGATGGAACCACCCACCCTGCCTTCCTTCAGATGATAGGAGCATAGTAAATAGAATAATGTCAGGACCCAAATCTAAATTATACTCTAAGTAAGCTAACGTAAGGTAGACATTTCAGTAAACGCTACTTGTAATTGTTAACCGATTTTGAACTTTATTTGCTTTAGTATATTGGAATAATTTAGATGTCTTTTCTGCAGAGAATGTTAACTCTTGTTGCTTGTGCAATAAGAATCAAAGTTGGTTGACAACTATCGAAATGGCTAGTGAAATTGTCTATCATTATTTAGTATGGAGTTATAGTTCCTACGATTTCAAATTGAACATAATTTATTCTCAAGAAAATTGTCATAAAGTACAAATTTGGACTCAATAATGTAAGGAATAGGGCTCAAAACTGTATACCTAATTTTACTGGTACCTAAATAGTGAATTGTGATATTTTTTATCAAAAAGTATCTCATTTTAGTAAAATTAATATTCTTTTATTTAATTAATTAAACTAATTGTGTAATATCTATTTGTATTCGTAAGAACAAGTTCAAACATAATGCAAGTTATTATGATCCTTATTTACTTAAAAATAGTGTTTATTATACAGTGACTATGTAGAATTTATAGAAAGAAGTTTCCTGTGTACATATTTGATTACAAATAAGTTTGACATTTAATAAAATATTTTTATAAATTACATCTGGTTGTATTATTTCTTATGCCCCTTTTAACCGACTTGAAATAAAGATAGTGTTCAACATTTAGCTTTCTTCTTAGAAAGTATAAAGTCAAGGACATTAGGGGACAAATGTTCCTAAACGTGCAGCGCGTTGCGTTCCGCGCGCGCCTCAAAGAGCCATCAGACCACCACAGATGGGGCCCAACAGGGCCGATGCCGATTCGGAGTCGCGGAGAACCTAACGGGTAACCGGGGCTCCGGCTCGACGTGCAAGAGAAGGAACGGGGTGGTTTTTAGTCAGTAAGAGTCTGACACTCCCCCCGCCTCACCCAGGCGGGAGCAGTCATTCGATGATTTTCGCCCCTTGACAAAAAAACAAAAAGTGTATTGGTTTAAAGATATAGTAAAAAACAAAAACCCTTGTCATCCATCTTTCGGAAAGTCATACAATGACTTTTCCCGCCTTTAGATATTGGTTGGCTGGTTGGTTACCCAAACTCACATTCATAGCCAAACCTAGAAAAGCTATATATTTTACGAATGCGACAAATCGAGAATTATTTTAAACGGAACCTATGGGAATAAGTAGGCCCTCTTCACCCAAGGTACCCATATCTACACCGTCCTTCGAGTAGAAAATATGTCGATGCCGGAGGTGGTCAAAATGTTGGTCATTTTCTGTCTCGATTCCAAAATATAGGCTAGCCCCTCTAGATTTCAAGATCTTTCAAAGCGGTTAGGGACAGGTCCAGCCCCAAGGTAAGCTATCCTCAAAATATACTCGTAGTTTTGGTAGTTTTCGTCGGCAAACACAGGTTTAAGATTTTATAAATGGGTCGATTCAGTCCAAAGTAATTTCTACTATGACCTTCAAGTAGGAATATGACTTTTCTGGGGGTGTGCCTATAGGAAATGGTCAAAATATTCGTCAGTTTTTGGCTAAGACTTCTAGAAGACATTTCAAGTTAGGTAGATATCTCAGGTGGTCGAGGACAAGAACAAAGCTATCTGATTGCGGGAGACGAGGGCAATTCTCATATTGGTATGAAAAAAACACGTTTTATTATAAACACCTTTATTTATAACTACATAAGTCTTAAAATCTTGGAAATAGACATATTATAGGTATCATACTAAGTATGGTATTTTCTTCATTACATCTTCAACTTTATAGCATTGACATAAAGTCCAAAGACTAAAGTTGACACATTGGAGGTTGATCAGCTTGCTACTGTACATTATTATTGTGCCTTGGACAAAATTTTATAATCGTAAGGTGTATTGTAACTTTCGTGAGACATATTGAATAAATTATTATGTTTTCGGCTTACTCACGTAATAATTTGACGAGAAACTCGACTAGTTTCAAGCCAAGCTAGAGGCTCATATACATGAGCAGCATTTCGCGACCCGCGACGCGACGACTGTCGCGCTGCTACTGGCTACTCGAGTCTGCGGGCCCAGCGCGCCCTCTGCCGTGATTTCCTACCTAGTCGAGTTCCTCGTCAAATTATTACGTGAGTAAGCCGAAAACATAATAAATTAATCGTAAGGTGCTCCCACAGTACAGTCATATAACATTACAACACATTGTGTAACAACATAACATTTTGTAACATACTCTACAACATGTCAAGTTACTACTACGACTTTTGTTACAATTTGTTTACAAACAAATGTTGAATCAGTATGCTGTGTGGAAGCATCGTTAATTCTTATTTAAAAAACTAGTTGACATATTATATTCTTAGTTATACACAAAATATAGACAGAGATATTAAACTACGATATGACTTGTTATTGACTGGAAAAAGCGCGCTGCGCTATTTCTTCTCAAAATTTACGTAAACAATAAGCCCGTCAGTTCAATTGTAAACCTTTCTACGTGTATTATTTTATCCAAATAAAAATATTCTTTCTTAAAATTTTATTTTACTTTTAATAATCTGTAACAAAACGAATCAACTACTTCTGTTAGCAATCACAATCTGAATCTACGACGAAGTCTCGATAGTGACAATGACAGAAATCGATACGTAATATATTCAACTTTACTACAAAAGCAATTAAGTTTTAAAATCTCTTACACAAATTCACAACATAGTGACCGAGCGAATCCATTGCTTCTATTGGCCATATAAAATTCTTTATCATTCCTAAAATAACATCCTCATTATAATTAAACTTTAGAATAAATAACAAGAACAAATCTCTGCTTTAACAAAACTGGAAGAGCTATTTATTATAATGAGAGTTACCATTCCTGTTCACTAGATGACGTTAATGTTCTAAGGTCCATTTTGGCAATCATGTAGCTGTCAAAAATGAACATGACCAATAAATTGATGAAATTATTCTAATAAACTAGCAAACTCGGCGAACTCCGTTTCGCCACCAGATGGCTTCGGTTTTTGTAACATTTCGTTTGGTGATTAAAAGTGAATTTTCTTTGCTATAAACTTCACGGAGCCGGAGACCTTTCTAACGAATGCAAAACCGTGGAAATCGGTTCGTACGTTCTGGAGTTATAGTTTATATAGTAGATTATTGGAGAAGAGACCTTAAATGTAACTGGCGTCAATTTTAGGCGCGATAACTCTCATTATTATAATAATATTTTGATTTTATACAATCTTTGGCACAATTTACTTATACATTTTATACGCCGTAACAACACCAGCTACAATTAGCACAACAGCTGAGAATTTATACAACATGTTATATAGAACTTTGTTCTGACCTCCAACCGAGTTGACGATCAAATTGTTCATGACAAACACTTGGTTGCTCTCCTCAATAAATGCGTCCTTTTCTTCCTCAGTCATTGTATCTGCTATCTCATTCATTGCTTGTCTGAAATCTTTTTTTAGCTGACCTATGTCCGTTCCAGAGAAGTCTGTTACTTTATCCGTGTATATTTCTGTTTTGGCGTTTTCTGAAATATGGGAAGGAATAAGGAATTAGATACTGTTTCGATGAGAATGTTAGTTTAAGTAAAGTTCACTGCATTATCCTTACTTATATTATAAATCGGAAAGTGAGTTTATTTGTTTGTTTGTTCCACTTTAACGCCGTAACTACTGAACCGATTGCTTTGAAATTTTGCCGACGTAATGTTAGAAGTCCGGATTAAGTAATAGGGTCCTAATAGGTAAGTATTGGTATAGATGGCGCTGTGTGTATTGGTATATGTCACATTGGCTTTTTATCCTTTTGTGACGCGAGCGAAGCCGCGGGTAAAAGCTAGTTGGATAATAAATTGTATAGTTAATAGAGCATTTAGCTTCATTAAACAATAGTTAGTAGTTGGTATTCTTGACATTTCAAAATACCTTTTTTTGTTACAATAGGGTAGCTTCCTAAATATTAATTTAATGTCCGTCTGGTAGATTAATTTAAAGCAAACACGTACATTTTCTTTTCTCACAAAATAAATACTTTTAACGAATTTGAAATATCGTGTGACGTCACAGTGTGCTACATGTTGTAGCACATTATGACGTAACGACCTCCCATTCCTGAACTTAACCTCGTTTTATGTAAGTATTGTAACTTTTTACTTGAAAAAAAAAATACGTGTCTAATATTTTTCATTACTTAACCTGACGGACTAATTAGATTTTTAATTTTCATACCCTAGGAACTACCCTATTGAATTTAATGCTTTTGTTTTTGAATTGTATGACTTTCAATTTAAAGATCGGATGGAGCAGCTGTGGCTTTAAATTAGTTTAAATTATGCAATTCTCAGTAATAGCAAATAACTAAAAATAAAGTGAATTATACTGTAACATTTTACACTAAAACATATTCGTAATTAAAAAATATTTACCATCGCCAAACATCTTTCGTTTCTTAGCCAGAATCTGTCCACCGCTAAGGAGCCCCAAGTATAAATGATAGACGTATGCCATCAGTAGCCTTGGGTTTGATCTCTCCAACTCCTGTAGATGTTCTATGTAGTTGTCTAGTGCCATCGCCTTAGGTATAGACCTCCAATTTTCGCCCAAGTAATGTGTTAAATCATCTTCAAATGCTTTCTTTCTGAAATTTTAATTTCTGACATTAGTTTTTTCTTGTTTTTTGTTTATATTTGATGGGCCGACGTTTGACCACTTTCTCGCCTGGTGGTAAGCGATGATGCGGTCTACGATGGAGCACGTCGACCCATAAGCAACCAATTCACTCGGGCCTTGAAGACACCCAAGTTATACAGCACATTAGTTTATAGTAAGCCTGTTATAGTTTGTTTTATATGTGTAACTAATGGTAATACAGGGTAAATGTAGGTGAAAAAGTACAGAAGAAATCCCTCTTCTAAGCCTCTTCTAGAAGTTGTAGTATCTACATCCGAATGAGGTATTAGAACAAATTTTTCTGTAACTACACATTTTTATAGTACTAAACACAAAATTCAAGTACCTAAGTGTGCTTGCTGTATGTTTAGGGTAAACAGCGAACATACACTACATAAAAGATAATATTTAATTATTAGAAATAAATAAGTGTACAGTGTACTTAAAGCATAACACATGTACCTGTATAAAACCTTATTGACGAACAGCTTATCGAAGTCTGGCATGTTCAGCCTTGCTTTAGCATCTTCGAGGAAACCAAACACATGGTAGAATATGAAAAGACCACCGCCCCATACTTCTTCATCTCGCAGTGCTGTAAAAGACAATAGAAGAGTTTTAGTGAGTTTGTATATTTCAAAATTACAGTATAAATTACATGTGCCAGTATCAAGCGGAATTTTCTGCTCAAATATAGTTGGTAGTTGGAAAGGGATGCACACTTGCACATATCTATAATAGCTACTACCGTGCGGTTTGACCCGCTCTACTTGGCGCCTATTGATCGTAGCATGATGTTTTATGCTTTATAACCTTCTATAAATGCACTAACCAACACAAAAATAATTATTTAGAATAAGAATAAGAATGTTTATTTGCACGAAGTATGGTAATCATAGGTACATACATCGCCTACTGTTTTCAGCATGCAAAGTAATTTTTTTTTTTTGTTAATAAATTTAAAATGTTACAATTAACTCGTCGAGTACCATATTTATAGACACAATTAAAGAACAATAGGTTGCGGTCACCAGTGACCGCTTGGTGTTTGACAGTTTAATAGGAACTTCAATGAGATTTGCCTCTACTAGAACAATACATTTTTTTTCAGTACAGTCACTTAAAGTAAGGAGGAAAATTTATTGAGAATACTTGGTACGTCAAAAAGCGACATTCTTTTCCAAACTAAAGCAGTTGGCCTAGAATTTGTGACTCCATAATACTGGAACACTATTCAGGATAACGTCAGCAAAACCACAGACGAAAAGATTGCAGAAGCAAGAGTCAAAACACTGGCACAGGGTGTACTTTTTGTGGATTACACATAAGTCATTGTAATTTAAAAACTAGGTAAGTATATGATTCAGAAGTTTTAATATTTTTCTGATAACTAGTAGAATCTTGAGTATTATTTTGTTATACAGGTTTTAGTCTCTCATGTACATCCACATTCTGGCACCTTACAGATTAAACTCTTATCTGCTTATATATGAGACTTTTGTTGTGTCTTGATACCACGGGTCAATTTTCAAAGAAGTAGACAGGGGGTAGGTAGATATTTATCTTATTCACACCTAATCTCCAGAAAGTTAGGCAGAGGGGTACATAGATATTTTTTACAGTCTACTTATTGTCTTACACTACATTTTCTTACAATCATCAATACAATAGTCACCATGAGATGAAAGTTTTAGACATAATCGAGATGGTTCATACATCATACATAATTATATTTTATGTAGTTGATAAGAATATATGATATTTGCCGGCAATCGACAACTGCGTAGACTTTCAAACAAAGGAACTATGACGTGACAAAAATATTGCTCACAAATATTACATAAATATAGATTTGTTTATACTTTGTTGTAGTATAAAACTGAAATAAGCAATAAGTATTGTAGGTATAACTTACAAAGAGCGAACTTCGCGTTCACCAATGCATCACTAATGTTGTGTATTTTTCTCGTCGCCTTTCTCATGCGAGTTGTAAATAATTCACCTTTGTCTTCCATTTTCACTGAAGATTGTATGTTTTATCAATAAAATGTGACTGCTACTACGAACTGTTGAACTCGGACAACCTCGGGAAATCAAAATCAACGTGATGCTGACAAAAAACAAAGATTACAAGATAACTTTTTGACTTTTGCTTTTGACTTAACCCTGCTGCGCTTTTACTGCTTTTACCTAACTGTCAAGTGTCAACACTGGTAAACTTACACACCATGAGCAGAACACCATGAGCAGAAACTTCTTATTGGATTTATTAAAATTATTACTATTATATATTCAATGACGATTTTTTAAGTTTTATACGTATTTTACTAGTAAATTTTAAAAGTTCTGCTCAATTCTTGTTATCAATAATGTCATCACTACTACTTGTGCCGTTGAGGGTTAACTGATCAGCTGTTCATGTTGCTTACATTTTGACAGCTGTAGCGTTTAATTATTGTAAATACAAAAATATTTAAGTAAATTTAGAATAGTTTAAAATATTGTTAGTCATATTCAGAAGTTGTAATAAAGTAATGCAGTCAGATTTAATTAATTAATTCAAATTTTAGTACATACTAAGTTATTTTATCTAGAGAAGTAGCAAAAACGTTTAGTTTTGCTTCAAAATTTTTACACTGTAGTAATAATCTTTGTCGTCAGAAGGAAGTTACAGTGTTATTTACATCAATAAACTTAATTGGTCATTTTATCGCCGGCTCTGTGTTCAGCCACACTTTATGATAGCAGCACAATTCTTATTATTCACGCGAATTAAAATCCGTAGCTATGGGCGACTCCCCTAAAATAAAGGTAAATACATGATCAGCATTTTGTTGTAATTAAATCAATTTCTATTTAAATAAATAATAAAGTGACTTTCCACTAAATAAATTTAAAATAATTATTTAAACCTGCTTACAAACAATCAATACTTGAAATTAATAATTTAATTTAAAAGTAAGTTAACAAGTTTGTTTATAAATTGATAAACTAATCAGTTTGACTTTGACATTTCCTGAATTGTTATCTAACCTCAATTACTCGTCTCGTATGTCGATATCTTAACTACGAAATTGCGATGGCTTATGACTTAAAACAAGAAGAAGAAGTGAAGGAGTATATAGAAAATCTCGGAATTGAGTACCGGTTTGGGTGTTACAAAGAGCAGAAGCCGGAAGTATGTCATCTTCTAGGAGATTATCTGGAGGCTATAAAGAAGGACTATGATAAGGCAGCGAAAGTGTTCAAAAGTAATTGTTTGGATTATAAATTTGGGAAATCATGTCTGAAGATTGGAAACTACACGCTGGTGGGTCGAGGAAGGGAGAAAGGTGATCATGCGGAGGCTTTGAAGTATTTTGAGAAGGGATGTGAATATAACGAGCCTGGAGCGTGCTTGCACGCAGGTCTGCTGCTGACAGCCACTGGACCCGGCGCGACCATCCCACGGGACGTGCCTAAAGGTAATAACTTCACATTTACATGCATACACTCTGATAGTGCAAGATTGATATTTAAACCCGCGATATAGATGAGGATGTTGCTAAAGTAAATTTTGCTCTGAGCGATATTGTCTCTGACAGATTGACCCTTATAAATAAATAAAAAAAAGCAATTAAAAGCGTAAACTCTTGTCTTTATCCCATGTGACAACAGAAGGCTGCAGAATCTGTAAAAATAACAATTGTAATTGAAATGATGTTATTTTCCTATTAATTACATAATGATTCAGCTATTACTAATTACAATAGCTAATCATCTTTTGTTCATTATTTGAAAAATTCTAATCATAAGATTTCTGTTCAAGGTTTTATGTTAATTTTTTGTGGCCATTGTAGTCTAGACAATGTTCATAATAATAACATTGTTAGAAGAAAACTGGTAGCGCTATAACAAAAATTTAATTACAGATTTATTCTTGCTTTGTAGGTTACAACTACCTCAAGAAAAGCTGTGACCAAAATGACCCGATGGCATGCCACTACCTCTTTGGAATGTACCTGACTGGCGTACCAAAGAACGTAGCAGAATTCAATCCACACAATCCAGAGAAAAACAAAAACATAGAATACATAATTAAATCAGACAAAAAACAAGCATTTCAATTTGCAAAGAAAGCGTGTGAACTTGGTCACATGTATGCCTGTGCGAATGTTAGTATGATGTATAAACGAGGGGACGGAGTGGAACAAAATGCGGATGAAGCAAAGAGATTCTTTGAAATTGCACAAGCGTTACAGAAAGCTCATGAAACCACGAAAGAGGTCAAATTTCAGCAGGGATTGGATGGGAAATAGTATTAAATGGATTTAGAATTTTGCATTTATTTTAAACCTTGCAACAGCCCTCAAAACATTTCTTAAGCCCCTAGCAGTTGCTTATGGATATATGAAATAAATTGTTGTATGTTACAACTATTTTTATACATATACATATTTTTAATTGATATTAAATAATTGTACATTATGTTTTATTTCCAAGCGTAAAATAATATGTAAATAGAACCAAAACAATTGTGCACAATGTGGATACGGGCTCTAGGGGCTTAGAAATATGTTTGTTAAAAAGTTGATGACTTGTATAGTATTGTTGACTGTAGATGTATAAATAAATTATTTCAGCACAATTAAAAATCTTTTATTTACTTTTTCTTTTATTACCACATAGTTATAGCAATGTCTGGGTTATTGGAATGCTGGCATAATAAAGTACACGTTCTTTAACCATAGCACTTGTATAGTACTGTACATTTTAACTCTACACAATGTCGGTTAAAACATAAAAGGAATATCCTGGAATTTCCAATTTCAAATAAGTGATTTAAAAAAAAACCGGCAGACAAGAACAAATATTGAGCTGTCCTTCATTCTGCCACACTTAACTAGCTCCCTATAAAATTGGCACAAATTAATTTGACACAGATCGGAATTATTGGCGGGTCAGGGTTCGATGACCCCACGCTGTTCGAGAATCAAATCGAGAAGGATGTGACGACACCGTTTGGCAAACCATCAGATGTGTTGATTGAGGGGCAGATCAAAGGAGTCCCCTGTGTACTGCTGGCTAGACATGGGAGGAAACATCAATTCCAGCCGAGGTAAGGATATATGAACAAATCTAGTGACTGATATTTAGACTAGAAGTTCCATTAGTCGATTTTGAACTTTGTCAGAATGGAATTAGGTCGAAAATTTAATAATGGTACTTATGAAATGTATATTATAATTGACTATAACAAATTGAAAATTAAATTAAGTAAGTAAGCACGATTTTGAAGCTTAGGTACTGTTATCAAAGCACATATCTAAATGCATAATCATTATCATATCATTCAATCATCAAACAGATAGATTTTAGTATTCATAATAACTATCGTATGACATGCTGAATTAACTAAAAATAAGAGTTACTGACGTAAATATACTTAGAAAAGCTCTACTAGTTTCGAGCCACAGAGGAAGTCTTCTTTATGAGCAGCGTTCGCGGTCGCGGCGATTTCGCGCAGCCTACTGTCAGTAGGCTTCTTAGGTCTAGAAGAGCTTTTCTCAGTATATTTATGTGAGTAACTCGTTAATTCAGATTTATTGTAACCAGCGACCCGCCCCGGCTTCGCACAGGTGCAATATGCATAACTGTATTATACATATAAACCTTTCTTAAGAATCACTCTAAATGTATCATAATAAATATGTAACTTAAAAAAACCACATCAAAATCCGTTGCGTAGTTTTAAAGATCTAAGCGTACATAGGGACAGACAGAAGGCGGATAGCGACTTTGTTTATACTATGTAGTGATATCCTTCTCCAAGACATAAAGTTATTAACAAGCAACCAACTTACGTAATTATTACTCGTACAAAATTATTCATCTTATGTAACTCTATGACCTTCAGCTGTTTTTGTTTGGAACAAATGGAGAAAGACAACTACTTATAACATAAGATCTTTTATTCTTTCAAAGATAAGTACTTATAAAATCACATCTTTCATTATTCAATTAGGCAGGTAGAACTACTTATCTATTACTAGTTACTTTATAACTTACCAATCCAGAGAATCTAGAAGTTCGGTGAGAAATACAAGGCCTTCTGTCCAACGTTACATTTTCAACGAATGAACCAATAAAAAGAGTTACCCACATACATTAAATGTAGGTAGACATAAACGCTTCTTTATTTCATGACGGTAGGTAGAAACTACAAACAAGGTGGCGCCATCTACGATTTTTTTTTCACTTGTTAGGTCAACATTTGGCCACCATCTTGCTTTACGTTGTACGTCCTTACAGATGCCTTAGTACGAAGTTTGAGTTACGTTTAATTAAAGTATTCGAAACGAGTATGCGTTCGGCACTCTGATTGGCCGGCACCAATGAACCAACCAATCACAGCGCCGAACGCGTACTCGTTACGATTACTTTAAGCGTAAAACATCGTATACTAAGGCCTCAGATCTTGCATAGGTACATAAGTACTGTACGAGTCAGCGACTGTACATCACACGCACGCGCGCTTCATGTCAGCAGATTTTAGTTTATTAATTTCATTATAGTTATAGCAATAAATTTGTATTCAGTACATGTTCACTCAAATACATCAGTACTCATCAATCATTAGTTTAGTTGATAATATAGTCGACGTGTTAGTTTAGTGTATCAATAAATATCATCTCACCAGACTATCAAGCGACTTATTTCCACCTAGACTCCAAGTTGTGTGAGAATCATTCAACAACTCATACAAGTACCTACATATTTTTTTTACTTCTATCACATTCAATGATGTCAGCATAAGTACTTTATAAATATTGTAGCCTTTTGAGCGCCAATGTCACATAATATACGTGACAAGGGAAACTGGACGCCAACGACACAAATACATAACAGAAAAAGCGGAAACGGAAACACGTAATCAAAAATTTGATTCCCTATTGGAATCCCTATTTCTTTCGTAGAAAGCGCGAAATTTGTTACTTGGCGTTGAGGGCAGATTCATGTTTTTGCTCTGGCGTTCAAAAGGTTAAAGAGGTGACTGTCGCGCTGCAACTGTACTTATTAGTAAAACAGTTACGTGAGCAAGCCGAAAATACAATAATTATTATGATAAAAATAACAAGAAACACAAACAATATCACTGCCATACTTCAAAACTTTACTCAGAAATGCTATTATTAACTTGTAAATACTAAAATTTAAAAATCCTTTTTAAGTATTAGCTACTAGCAACTAGCTTTACTTATAAATTTTTGTTGTTTAACGTTCAAAAGTGCCATCCTGGTCTAATTGAAATAAATGATTTTGACTTTGACTATTTCACCTCTCGATTATCTTCTTCTAGCGACGTGAACTACCGCGCCAACATCTGGGCTCTGAAGCAGGTGGGATGCACGCATATCCTGGCGACGACTGCTACCGGCTCGCTGGTGGAGGAGTACAAGCCTGGCGACCTCGTCATATTGAACGATTTTATTGACAGGTGAGATTCTATTCTCCAAAGGAATAACTAAGTCCTTATAGTCGACAAGATCGTTTTGGAGACTCGTTTGCCAAAGAAGAGAAAAACAAAAACTAAGTCTTTAATTAACCCCGAACCGATAAAAAAATTCAACTCTAATATCAGCCATCCATTTCTCCGAGTTATATGATCTTTCTAAGATTATTTAGTCACCACTGACAAACGGTGAAGGAAAACATCGTGAGGGAACCTGGACTTATCATTAATTTCTAATTATAATCTACTCGCATTGAGCAAGCGTGGTGATAAGTTTGAAATCGCCAACTCGCACTGAGGAAGCATCAGCAAAGCATTAAAGCAAAGTTTTAACTTTCTCCGTGTGAGAAGAGGCTTTGCTCTGCAGTGGGCATATATAGGCTGTTGATGATCAGCCATCCATATGGTGGCCCACATTTGTCACCATCCCTTATTATCCCTGCGACTTTTGCGTGTCGTGTCGTATGAACCGACTAAGGAACTATACTTGAAGAATAAAAAAAGAAAAGACGGCGATCGAGTAGCACCGCTATCTAATAAACTTGAACCTTTTGAACTGTGATCTTTTATCCACCTAAAAATTATAGAAAATTCTTGTTGGTAGAGAATACAGGCCAACTGTAAACTGTCGTACATAATGGGCCCTTTAAAAGGCCCATAGTATCTACCATTGTATCTATCTTTAACAACATAACTTGTAACGCCTCTGGTGTTCCAGGTGTCCGGAGCGACGCCGATTGCTTACCATCAGGTGATCCGTCTGCTTGTTTACTGACTTATCGTATAAAAAATCTCCTTTTGCAGAACTTGGGGTCGTAAGTGCACGTTCTACGACCGCACAGAAGGTGGTCCTAAGGGAGTATGTCACTTACCTATGCGGCCGGCCTTCTGTGAGCGCGCTAGAAACGCCATGATCACTGCAGCTAAGGCCAGAGGTTATAGTCACCATGAAACTGGCACCGCTGTCGTTATACAGGGACCTAGGTACGTAAAAGTTGTTTTTGGTATTTTTAACATAATCTATAAGTCTAGTGCTAGTTAGAAGCACGTGGTTTACTGTGGATATTGTGAAGAGCCATGTGAAAAAAGCATTTAATCGAATCTTGTTAAAACTCAGTGTCGATTGTACTTCATAATTTTTTTTGCAGATTTTCAAGCAGAGCTGAGAGCCTGATGCACCGTCAATGGGGCGGTCATCTTGTCAACATGACCACTGTTCCAGAGGTAACTAATTATGATACAAAACAAACTAGCAAACCCGGCGAACTCCGTTTCGCCACCAGATGGCTTCGTTTTATGTAACATTTCGTTTGGTGATTTTTTTTTTTTTTTTTTTTTTATAATTGATGGGGCGACGTTTGACCACTATCTCACCTGTTGGTAAGCGATGATGCGGTCTACGTTGAAGCACGTCGTCCCATAAGCAACCTATTCACTCGGGCCTTGAAGACTCCCAGGTTATACCCTTCAGGAAATACAGACTCTGGCAAAGAATTCCACTCTTTAGCAGTACGCACAAGGAAGCTTGAAGCAAAGCGCTTCGTGCGTGTGGGCGGAACATCTACCATGAATCGGTGACGCTTCGCGGATTGTCTTGTGGTACGATGATGGAAAGGACTAGGGGGAATCAAGTTGTGCAATTCCCCCGCACACTCCCCGAAATGTATCCGGTAGAAAACCGAAAGGCTTGCAACCTTACGCCTGTGTTCGAGGCTTTGAAGCCGAGCCTTCACAAGCGCATCATCGTCGATGAGCCTCCTGGCACGCCTCTCAATGTGCTCTAACGCGTCCAGCTGATATTTAGCCGAGCCGTCCCAAAGATGAGAGCAGTACTCCATACAGGACCGAACCTGTGCTTGGTACAGGCTCAGCAATTGTTTCGGCGTGAAGTACCGTCTCACCCTCCAAAGGACACCCAACTTCCTACCAGCCAGTTGCGCTTTTGACTCTATATAGGAGCCAAAGTTGAGCGTGGGCGTCAGAGTTACACCAAGAAGCTCAAGACGATCGGTTATCGGTACGGATACATTCCGGAAAGTAGGAGTCAGCGGAAATTGACTCCGTTTGGCGGAGAATAGACACGCCTGGGTCTTGCTAGCATTGAACCTAACCAAGTTGGCGTCACCCCAGTCGGACACCGCCTTCAAGGTCGAGTTCAAACGTTCGACCATGGATTCTCTTAAAGACTGGATCTGTGTTCCGCTAGTCCGCGCACCGGACACATACCTTTCAACAACTGTGCTGTCATCTGCATACCCAAAGATACCGGGCTTAAGCAGGTCGTTTATGTGCAGCAAAAAGAGCGTCGCTGAAAGTACTGACCCCTGAGGGACGCCGGCATTAATACCGAATTGGTCAGACGAGCAGCCATCGATGACTACTCGTATTGACCGATCCCTCAGAAAGTCTGCTATCCATCTGCACAGACCAGTAGGAAGTCCATATGCAGGAAGCTTGCCGATTAGACTGTCGTGCCATACCCTGTCAAAGGCCTTCGAAATATCGAGGGAGACTGCTAGTGCCTCTCCGTGCCCCTCTATGGCCTCGCTCCATATGTGAGTGGCATACGCAAGAAGGTCCCCAGTCGATCGGTTACGTCGAAACCCGTATTGCCGATCGCTGAGGAGATCGTTACCTTCAAGGTATGCCAGGAGTCTATTGTTAAGAACACGTTCCATGCTCTTGCAGAGTATGGACGTGACCGAAATAGGGCGGTAATTGTTAGGGTCGGCACGACTACCTTTTTTAGGCACAGGCTGTACGTTGGCCAGCTTCCAAGCAACCGGTACTAGACCCGTCTCCAAGGAAAGGCGAAACAGACGTGTCAAGATTGGAGACAACTCAGGCGCACAGGTTTTTAAAACCAGGGCTGGGATTCCGTCGGGACCACTGGCCTTGTTCACGTCCAGATCGCGTAGCGTCCTATATACCTCCCTCTGTCGAATGCGAATTTGCGACATATTCGTCTTGCATACGCTATTAACAGAAGGAGGCAAGGCGCCACCAGTGTCAAGACGCGAAGACTCCGCAAATAGAGAAGCAAATAGATTTGCTTTCTCTACCGCAGTGTGAGCCAGCGTCCCGTCAGACCTCAGGAGCGGAGGAAGTGAGGAGCGACAGAAGTTCGATTCAACCGCCTTGGCCAGGGACCAAAAAGCTTTACTTCCCGCTGGGTAGGAAGCTAGTTTGTTCCCTATACGGCCAATGTGGTTAAATCGAGCCATCCGTAATGCCTTTTTGCATGACTTGGCAGCCCGATTAAAGGCTCTCTTCTTTTGATGAATGTCATCAGCCCTACGGCGCCTGGCATCCGCCCATGCCAAGTATGCCGCCTGCTTTTGCGCTTCGGCACGTCCGCAGTCGGCATCGAACCAAGGACGGGTCCCACCAGAGGATGCCACGTCCGAGAATGGAATGTAGTATTCCATGCCCTGGCGCAGCACCCCCGTTACGGCTTCCGCACAAGCTGACGGGTCATCAGAAGAGAAGCAGACAGGCCGCCAAGGATAGGAAGCGAAAAAAGATCGCATCCCATCCCAGTCCGCTGACTTGTATCGCCACATCCGCCGAGGTCCTCTGGGACTCGGATCTGGTGGGGAGTGTGTCGATACAGATTTCACCAGACAGTGGTCAGAGCTACCTAGAGGTGATGAGACTGTCACCGAGTAGCGGTCTGGATCAGTTGTCAGCAGAAGGTCTAAGCAATTGGCAGTGTGCGTATCGACATCGGGCACCCTTGTGGCTTCCTGGACCAGCTGGGTCAGGCCAAGCGAAAGCGCAAGCTTACGCATTTCCCTTCCAGCATGGTCGGTGCACTGGTATGGGAATAACCACTCCTGATGATGAGCGTTAAAGTCCCCCAGTAACACCAACTGGGCCGAAGGGTACGCCTGACGAGCCGCATCCGCCGCTTCGCCGAGGTATTGCGCTAATCTGGTCGCCTCCAAATCTCCGCTGTGCGACCGATAGACACAGGCATAAAGAATTTTCTCCATGCCTATGTCCACCAGTATCCAGAGAGCAGAAAAGCTTGGGTCTTCAAGGTTTCGGAGACGCCGGTAACAGATGCCGTCTCGGACGTATACGCATACACCTGCATGCGGAACAAAATTGTGCTCCAGGGAAAAACCAGGGTAGTTCAGGTAGGATACGTCCGACGGGCACCTGATCTGGGTCTCCGAGAGAAACAAGAGTGTAGGGTTCTCGGTCTCGAGGTGGTGATGGACCGCATTGACATTAGAGTGCAAACCTCGAATATTTGAGAGGTGCACTATGTAGGAGAGGGAGTGCAGCCGCTGTTGAACCCTTTTCTTATTTCTCAGTGTCATAATGTAGAGTGGAAGGTTGCTGAGAGGATGGCAGTGAAATGGTCCCCCACGCAGGCGACCCCACGACGCGCACCGTAGTTAACCACACCATTGGGAGGCCAGTCTGGAGACTGCGGGGACGCCCGAGCCCCCCCACGAATATCCATCGGGCCCTCTCCTCCGGTCGCCAACCGGCACGATGGCGTATCCATGGGATTTTTCGCTAGATGGCGGGGCAGCCTTTCACGTGTGGCTAGCACGCTAGTTGGGCCCCCAACTATCTGCGGTCGGCCAGCGGTGCACCGTGCCTCGGATTAGTGAATTTTCTTTGCTATAAACCTCACGGAGCCCGAGACCTTTCCAACGAATGCAAAACCGTGGAAATTGGTTTGTGTGTTCTGGAGCTATAGCGTCAGGAAGGAAAACACGACTTTTTTTATATTGTAGATTAGTAAAAAATATTTATTAACTGAAACGGAATCAGAGTTATGCCCAGATCCATAAAACAAATAAAATATTTAAGTAAATACCAAAAATCGTGAAAGTAATTCTAAGATGTTGTGTCTAGGTGGTGCTTGCGAAGGAAGCAGGTCTAAGCTACGCAGCGGTCGCTTTGGTCACTGACTATGATTGTTGGAGGGAGAACGAAACATCTGTAAGTAAACGACTGATATTACTTCTCTGACCTGGATCTTTTGATCCTGGATCTAAATATCAAAAAAACTAACTACTATGAACTGTGAATGATGGCTACAGTAGGTAATGAGTAATGAGAGCTAAATATTGGCCAAGAACATAAATTTTAGGGAAACCGCAAAATCCTTTACCAGACGCTAAATGAAATCCAAGAGACCCTTTACCAGGGTTGTATTTTTTTCTTCATTAAAAGTGATGCCCCACACTAAGATTTTCTCCTGAGTCGTGTGTGCGTTTACAATACAAACCTACTTCACATACACAAGACACTCAGACCCGAAACAACAATTTATGGATCACACAAAGAGTTGCTCCTTGCAGGAATCGAGCCCTGTCCTCGTTGCGCGGCTGCGGGTGCCCAGTCACCGCGCCAACCGTCCAGTCTTAGTCTATATTCCATTTTAGTCAGTAAGAGTCTGACACTCCCTCCCGCCTCACCCAGGCGGGAGCAGTCATTCGATGATTTTCCCCCCTTAAAAAAAAGTCTATATTCCATTCTCATTCTCTTTAACAAAACTACTACAACTATAAACCTTTTATTAATTCCCAGGTGTCAGTAAGCGAAGTCCTGGCGATGTTTGCAAAGAACGTGAAGAAGGCGGCGGACGTCATCATCGACGCGGTGCAAGTGCTGGCTGCGGAGACAGACCTCGAATATCTTAGCGCTCATAAGGTAAATTGATAGTTTTACAATAACGTACTAAAATATATGCTGCCCAAAAGTTAAGGTATTATTATTACTTACTAGCTTCTGCACGCGACTTCGTACGCGTAATCCCATTTTTTCCCGTCCCCGTTCGTGATTTTCGGTAACAAATAAAAAAAAAGTATTGGTTAAAAAGTATCCTATGTCGGTCTCCTGGCTCTAAGCTACCTCCCTACCACTTTTCAGCCAAATCTATTCTGCCGTTCTTGAGTTATAAGTGGTGTAACTAACACGACTTTCTTTTATATATATAGATTAGTTTCTCCTCAAATTACATGTTGCAAACCTGAATGATACCAATGAGTTACAAAAACGTATTTGTAACTTTAGATAACACTGTCTCGTTGACCGAGTGGTTGCAAATGCGACTGCCGGGCAAGGGGTCTCGGGTTCGATTTTTTAATTCTTGGTAGCAGCATGGAGTCTGGAATTGTGCCCGGTATATGGCAATAGGCTCACACCCTATTACATGGGACTCATAACATAAATAGTGAAAAGTAGGTGTTAAATTGTACAGTAGCATTAAATGCGATATCGTATTGTCCCTTATTCCTTCGGGGATAAAAGGCGTGATGTTACGTTATATAAAAAAATTTGGGGTGATAAGCACAGAGACCTAACTAAACATTTTTACTTTAATTTCAGGAGCTAGTTTCATCTGCAATCATGCTGAAAGAATAAGAGAAACATACCTTCTAATATAAGAGCAATCTCGAACTTATATTCCCTAAGCCATAGTACATACATATAACAGTATTTTGTAACTCATAATTCCAATACAAATAAGTAAGAAAAGTACATGTATAAATCAATATACACATTTCTGTACCACAATTAAATAAGCAGTCAGCCAAATTATTTAGTATGCAGATTACAGATACAGACTATCTGTCCACTTCCTCTCGCCTCACACGGGCGGGAGAAGTCAATGTTTTGCTCCCTGTAAAATAAAAGACAGTAGCTACTGTTAATATTATTTCGTGAGACGTACTAACATGATTAACGTATTTTGTTTTTCGGCTTACTCACATTACTATTTGAAGAGAGACGCTGGCTGAAATTGAGGCTCTAGCATGGCTTGAAATTAACAGCAACTAGCTTCTGCCCGCGACTTCGTACGCGCAATCCCGATGTTTCCCATTCCCGTTTTTAATTTTCGGTATAAAGTAAAAAATAGTATTGGGTAAAAAGTATCCTTTGTCCGTCTCCTGGTTCTAAGCTACCTTTCCACCAATTTTCATCCAAATCGATTAGGCCATTCTTGAGTTATAAATAGTGTAACTAACACGACTTTCTTTTATATATATAGATATGTGTAATAGTTTTAAACTGCGTTAATCAGACGTGTATGGAACTCATAATTTTAAAACTCCCTTAAAAATATGAGTTCCTCGTCAAATAATTTACGTAAGCCGAAAAACAGTAGCTATTGTTATACTAAATTGTATCTTTTGTACACATTGTTTGCGTTGTGTTTCATCGTGTGAGTGAGGTTACCGCAGGCCCAATTACCCTCCCCTTCCCCAATCTCCCAACGATCCACAAACTCCTAATCTCCAAAAGGCCAGTAACGCACTTGTAACGCCTCTAGTGTTTAAGGTGTCCATGGGCGACACCGATTGCTTACCATCAGGTGATCCGTCACTCTAGCCAACTAATGGCTACTGTTATTGAACAGAATCAGCCTTTACTTACAGGCATACTAAATAACTTGGTTTCTATTCATAGATTTTAATTTTATATTATTTTTCTTTGTACAACATTTACTAAGGATCAACATTGTAGAGTTTAGAATGGAAATAAAAATCATTTTCCTTATTAATATCCATTTATTCGTAGCCTAGTTAAAACACATCATATAAAATGATTGGATCACTTAATACTAAAGTTTCACACATAACCATTTTATCCCTCAAGTGCTATTAGTGTACATTGCTGGACAAACACATTAACATGCAACATTTAACATAAATAAATAGAAAATACGTATACATATACACTTTCTATAACAGCATTACAGTGTATTGATGTCAAATTCAAGGTTAAAATTTTATATTAGAGAAGAGATGACGGGTGTATGAAAATATTAGACACGGATTTGTTTTTTTTTTATTTAACTCTTTGAGTACCGTCATTATAGACACAATTAAAGAACAATAGGTTGCGGTCACCGGTGTCCTCGCGGTGTTTGACAGTTTAATTCTACGTCCCCATGCTGTCACCGCTCTCCACTTACTCCATTATAGACCTTATTTCCGAGAGAGGTCTTATTTAGAGACTACTTTTCTATGAATAACTTTTGTGGATTTTTCATAATCGTAGATTTAGAAGTTAAAATTATAAGATATTTGGGAGATGATAAGTTTGTTATAACATAGCTCAATATAAAACGTGCAAAAGGGTAGTATAAATACTACCCTTTATTTTATTAGCTTGTTAAAATAAATAAAAAAACCATTTAGTTTATCGGTAAAAAAATATGTGTCAAATATTTTTAAGTCATCATTTCTATCAATAATATTACACTTTCTACCATACCTCATGGAGTAGAAAGGTCCAGTATAACAAAGGAAATATAACAAAGCATACATTTATGCTAATGTTATCAACGTGTTAGGAAGATGGTCTTCACCGCATCAGTTCAAAGTCAGTCGAGATAAAGCTTCAATTTGATTGATAATTAGTTAAAATTATCTCTTTGTTAAGCCGGTATATGAGCCACAAAACACAATAAAATACATTAGATCTGTATTTTTGCAAACAATAAGTGTTAATGTCAAAGTTACTTCATGCAAAAATTACGTCAATTCTTTTAACGATCAAGTTATTTGTACGACTTCAAAGAAGTCTTGTTAGCTTTTGAATTTTAACCGCTTGTATGTCAGTATATGAGATACAATAGAATTGTGTCTCGTGTACGTGACGGCATACCACGGGTTAATCAATATTAGTATGGACATGGCATGCAAGATAATCAAAGATTATTAAACTCATATTCATATAAAAATAGGTTAAAAATGCACATCAAATACCATTAATTAAGAAAATTATAGAGTTGAATAAAATTCACAGAAAAGAAGACGAATAAAAAATAGCGAATATAGATTAAAAATCATAAATAATACACTTTAAAATTCAACCGTTGCCCAGCAATGCCATCTATTGAGATCTTAGTGTAATTATTAGCACAAAACTGTTTTATCGTTGATATACTAATCTAAGCCATTTACGTATTTAAAAACTTGTGCATCGCTTTGTAAGACTTTGAAAAATTATCCTTATATACTAATTATATACTATTTAAATCTAGATTCTCTTAGAAATGCATTCTCGCGGTGTGATTCTCAAAGAATGTATGAAATCTAGCTATTTTTATCCTTAAACCAATTTTGTTTTAGTAAATAAATCATTTTGACCGCTGTGAACATTTACTTTTTAATACTTATTTGATTTGATTGAAGGTGTGTGTCAGTTGTTATCGTATTTACGTATGTTATTTAGTTTGCATGCAAAATTGCGTCTTAAAAACAACAATATATAGTCCATAATCGTTCAACTCTCAAAAAGTTTTTACATTTTGTAGATACATGGCGGTCAAAAACTGAACACAATTTGTATAAAATTTTAAAACAAATAAAAAGATAACTATAATTCCCAATAATTTCTTTCAACTTCCAAAAACTTTAAACCTTCTTGTTTAACTAATTTCACAATCGCCGAATACCGTATTGTGTACAAAGAAATTATAACATTTAATATAATATGGAAGTATAAAAGAGATAGCAATGCCTACTGTACAGCTCCATTTCTCTCACACTGCCATAAAACGTCATAATAACTTGCACAAAATACCACCACTCTGAAGTTAGGTAGGAGCTTATAGATGTCCTTTTCGCTCTTTAATAATTTGTGCTATTCGCGTCTCGCTCACTCTTTGTGGCTAAATTCAGGGCGGTGGTTGGTTTAAGATATACGTTGTATTTATTGTTACGATATCACTGCGCCGTCAATCGTCTACTTCCACTTGAAATTCATGGTTGATCTCCATAAAGCTGTGAAAGAAGAATTACTTTTTTAAGAGATGCTACTATTTTTTGTTGGCAACATAAAAAAATAAAGTCATTCTGGGTACAATTAGACCAACAAATATAACACTGAATCAAACGAAGCCATTTAATAAACATGTAGTTTTCATTGACATAAGTCGCCATCTAAATTTATTAAAATGCGTATATTTAAATTATCTGAATATAGAATTTATAGTTTTAGACAACAAAATTATATCTATCAAAGGTATGATCTATGGATGTATTTATGATCCAATATTCTAATTTTCAATTATAACGTGACAAAGAGGCTTAAGTTTACATTGAATCTCCGAGAATTTATTAATTATCCTACATGATCAAAATAACAATACCGTGGGTAATGTATACAAATGATATAATACATACTTGTTAATTCTTCGTCCAGGGATTCCTAGTATGTTGTCCGGGTATCATGTCGAGCAGATACTGTCTCTGTGCCTCAGCAACGCGCTGCATCTCGGCGGCCATGGCGGCGCCTCCGCCCGAGTTACTGCCGCCCTTACCGGCTGCAACGATATGATACATGAGCAGAATTGATGCTCACTATGTTTGCTTGTGAAGCGGTCACACTATACAGGATGTAAAGTAAACAGAACGCCCCCGAAACGCTGACAAAAATGAGTTGTTTTTATTTTTTCATGTTATTCATTCATCATCAGCCTTGAGCAGTTGATTACAACTATTATTACATAAAAGAAACATTTCATTCCTTACTTTTACGAAAATGAAACTTGTAATTTATGATCACTCTCAGTTCTATTCTCAGTAGTAGCACAGACACTTGAATTGTGCCCGGTATATGGCAATAGGCTCACCCCCTATTACATGGGACTCATATAACATAAATAGTGAAAAGTAGGTGTTACATTGTACAGTGGCATAATGTGCACCTCTGCCTACCCCTTCGGGGATAAAAGGCGTGAAGTTATGTTAAGTATTTTATGATCACCTATCAGCGTTTTTCGTGAGCGTTTCGTTTACATTCTGTACTTAAATTGCTATATTTGTCTCGTAATAAAACCGTTTTTGCAAGAATTTGTTTACATTTCTTTATAAATACTATACAAGAAGGTATGTTATACACTCCACGTTTACCATGAAGGTTGGAGATTACAGTTGGAATGACTTAGGTTTAACAGTGTGCTGTCCAGTCCTATCTCGTCAAATATATAGAGGTGGCGACAGAATAAATTTATTCTTGTCAGTCGTCGCGACTAGCAGATATAAGCATAGACATTATAGTAAAAAATTAAAAGTAAACATCGATAAAATTACAGATATCGTGTGTAGGGAAGTGCAAAAGTAAATAATGTTGAAAAAATAACTAGTTGCAGGAATAACAACAAGCAACATTGATTTGTAGCATATTTCATTGAATAGAAACTTGAATATTAAATTCAATTTGTAGCATAATTTCATAGCAACTTTTTATAATAATACTGACCCGGCAAACTTCGTATCGCACCAAAAAATCTTTTTTTTATTATCCGACCGATTTCTATCCTTTTAACCTTCCACGAACATTTCAAGACCAAAATCGGTTCAGCCGTTCTCGAGTTTTAGCGAGCGAACAGAAATTTATTTTTATTTATATAGATAACAATACCGAATTGAATACCCTAACGCTGACACAAGCAAAGCAAATATAACAAAAAACCGTCAATATTTAACACTAGCTGGTACATAAATATGACCTATATATAAGTAGGACCCTACATGCCCTAATGGACAATGGCGCTATCTAGATAAAAACATCGTACCCATAACTAATTCTTTTATAAACTACGTTTAAAAATCTTTTCTTTTTGTAGTCGTTTAATTAATATACTAAAACAATTTCTAAGTGTAACAAATATTTTTCTGGAAACCGCATCAAAATTGGTTCCGTCAATTGGCGAGATAATTGCGCACAAACATATAAATATACAGGTCCAACTGAGAATGTCCTGTTTCTTTTCGAAGTCAGTTAAAAAGTACCAGCTAATATCAAATTATAGTTTTAGACCGAAATCATTACATATTGAATACAAAGTTCAATTTTATTCATCTCGATCTAAAATTCAGTGTGGATGGGACATTGATAAACTAAACCAATCGTAAATTGGTTCATAATCAAAAATAAATACTTAATTCTTTTACAACTTTTCCGCTTAGCAATATATCGTTGTAAATCATTTTTCATTTTATCATAAACCCGGCAAACTTCATACCGCCTAAATTGTTTATCTCACATTTTAAATCTTCCCTGGACTTCCACGAACATTACTAGACCAAAATTCAGCCGTTTTCAAGTTTTAGCGAGATTATCGAAAGAAATTTATTATTATTCATATAGATTGTCGTTACTTATCTAGTGACACAAGAATAAGACACTAGAATCAAGTACAAAATCCATAAAAAATATTTAAAATCAACGTCCCATCCACAGCAACAAACTAAACTACAAAACTAAATAATAATAAAAAGAAAAAGTGTGTGTGAATACGTACAACGCTTACCTAGCGCGGAGGCTTGCGCCATCGCGAGTTGGTATGTATACAGCAGCGGGGAGAACTGCATCATGGCCGCCGCCGCCGCCGCCGGGGACATGCCCGACGTACCTCCGGCACCTGAGAGACCTGCACGTACAATCACCATCATTTTACTATGACAGTCCATTGCTGGACTAAATATCTCTTCTACAAAGGAGATAGACCTCATCAACAGTCCATTATGAGAGTCCACTTCTGGGGCCTTAGATGTTGCGCGAGTTTGAACGTGAGTACACCTTCGGCGATGAGGGTGCTTACTCTTGAAACCAATGTCAATGCAATTTCAATCCAATAAAATCTCAATAATTATGTCAAAACTATACAACCCCTATCGTAGCTGTTAAAATAGCATTCAGAGTACGGAATATAAATATAAACTCAATACCATTTACATATTTCATTAAATATCCACGCAATGCGGATGCAATGGGCGCTAGTGTTGCAACTCAAGAGCACGAAAGCTCACAATACCGATCGGAATTGGATTCAAGAGTAAGCCCCCTGATTGGCCAGCTCCAATGAACTAACCAATGAGAGCGCCGACCGCGGTCTCGTTTCGGTTATGTAAAACAAACTCGTATAATAATAATAAGCCCTCTGGACTATTTGTATCTCCTCTACAGAATAGGGGGTTGTCATAACCACGACATAAAAATAGTCTTGATTTGGACTTCTCGTTTAAGGACATTCATAAATGAAAAAGGTATGTTTCGCCACTTGTTTTACGTGGATCTTTACACTTCTTTGTACCTAATTCAAAATATTCGGTCGATCTCTATTTTTTGACAAAAAATCCATAAATTTAATAACAATAATGTTTTAAATTTTAAACCGATTATCAATTTCGGACGTTAGCGAATAAAAGTAACGATGTTACCTTAAAAAGAAATCTCAAAGCACCATTTATATTTTTGCAATCATTTCACAAATACAGTTGTATGAGTAAAGTCATCTCAATATTTGCAATAGTCGGATGAATATCAAGATCAAGTAATCAAGTATTTATTGCATCCATAGTGTACATATACAGGTGGTTAGAAAATACAATAGTAACAATTATGGACCCTGTCGGGCACAGTAACATTTAAATTTGGTAGGAGAGATAGTTATAATACAACTAGCAAACCCGGCGAACTCCGTTTCGCCTCCTGATGGCTTCGTTTTATATACGATTCTTTGCTATAAACCTCACGGAGCCCGAGACCTTTCCAACGAATGCAAAACCGTGGAAATCGGTTCGTGCGTTCTGGAGTTATAGCGTCAGGAAGGAAAACCCGACTTATTTTTATATAGTAGATGATAGTATTAATTGACGTACCTCTGAGTAGTTGATGTTGCAGCGCCTGCATGGCGGCGGCGCTGTGTTGTTCGAACGCCATCTGTGCCGCCGCTACTGCCGCCCGCTGGGACAAACGGATACAGACAATATGCTTCTACATGCAAAGAGACATGCTCGAAAAAAACGGCTCGAACAGGGTGATACCGCGCAGGAAATCAACGTGAAATAACCAAAGCGCAATGTGTTTCGCCTTAAAATTGAGATTAACAGAGACCAAATATCCCATTTCCTATACCCGGTGGGTACTAGTAAATACTAGCAACTCTTCTGGTGTTGCAAACATCCATGGGCGACGCCGATTACTTACCATCAAGTAATTCGTCTGCTCGTTTGAATCAACGTAATATGTGCTAATGCTTCCACAAAAAACATGGGTTTATTTACATAAACTTGTTTTTTTTTTTGGAGTAAACCGGTATACGAGCCGACGGATCACCTGATGGTAAGTAATCGGCATCGCCCATGGACACCTGGAACACCAGAGGTGCGTTACCGGCCTTTTGAGATTAGGGATTTGAGGATTTTTGGTGATTCAGGAATTGGAAAAGGGGCGAGGGGTAATTGGGCCTCCGGTAACCTCACTCACACGACGAAACACAACGCAAGCGTTGTTTCACGTCGGCTTTCTGCTCGGCCGTGGTATCACTCCGGTCGAGCCGGCCCATTCGTGCCGAAGCATGGCTCTCCCACACTTGAAATTTCTAATAGATTGACAAAAGTATAAGAGAAAGCTAATCCTGTCATATAACTTGTTGTGCATACAACTTCATTGAGTCGACAGTCGATAGACTGAGAATAAAGAAAGATGGAACATAATATTTGAATATAATTACCTGGTGCTGCTTACTGCTACTGCTATTCTGGCTGGTGCTGCTTGATGATGAGCCTGGAAATAAAAACAAACAATTAAGTTTACTTGAAAAATCGAGAATTACACTAGTTTAACGTCTCAATAAGGTAAGGCCAGTTTTATCTTTGGATTTATTAACTAGAGAGAGAAGCCTTGACATATGCTCCATACAACATGTGTCAAAACCTTACCATCTAGGTTAAGCAAAACTAGATACAGTTATAGTATAGAAACAGGCTGTTAGAGTAGCGTAACACTGCAGTTATTTCAATAGTCACTGTAGAATCAAGTAAATACGCGAACATCGAATTTTCCCAATAATAGTACGGAGTGTTGAAGGCATACCTTTTCCTTTCTTGGCTGGCACCTCACTGGGTTCTCTGGAGCGGTCAGAGTGGTGGCTACGAAGCGACTCTGAGGATGACATAGTTCTGGAAAACAGAAAATTCACTTATTATCATTCATATTTCAATCTTTGAAATAACATTACGCCTTTTATTCCCGAAGGGGTAGGCAGAGGTGTACATTATGCTACTGTACAATGTAACATCCACTTTTCACTATTTATGTTATGAGTCCCATGTAATAGAGGGTGAGTCTATTGCCATATACCGGGCACAATCCAGACTCCGTGCTACTACTGAGAATTTATAAAAACTCAGTAGTACTTTGCCCGACCCGGGAATCGAACCCGAGACCCCTTGCCCGGCAGTCGCACTTGCGACCACTCGGCCAACGAGGCAGTCTTGCAATGCAGGCAGGCAATCTTTGAATATTTAAAAAATACATCGTCTCACACGACGTTATTCTTCTGTGTCATGTTTACATCCAAACCCGGAACAACAATCTGTTAATTACACAAAGAGTTACTCTGTGCGGGAATCGAACCCGCGACATGTTGTGCGGCAGCCGGTTGCCCAGCCACCGCACCAACCGCGCCGTCAAAATACGTGATATGGATAATCTGATGACCATCAGAAATGCGTGTTCAGACATTTGACGTAACATTTAGACAATAGAATCAGTCAGTCAGATACTATAACCTGACCTTTAGACAATAAGAGTCAGTCAGTCAGGCACCAAATAAAAGCAGGCTGTCAGATAATGGTCGTTAGAATCCTATCACACACAAAAGAATCAAAATGTTGACACTGGAAGCAGAATTATCAGAGTAGTTGTATATAAGTTAACACAATAACAATTGTAATCGTTACACAAATATGACATATTCGTTAGATGTCCATTTATTTTGCAAACATAATTGGCAATAAAATGAATACTAGTAACATACCGTGGCGCGGGCGGTGGTGCGGGAGTCTTGCTGGGCGCGGGGGATGACGTCGACCCACCGCGAGACGTGCTGCGGGATACTGACATCTGGAAACACAATACATAACACATTCAAATAAATTCCTGCATGTCATTCTTCCATAGATCTAGGGACGAACCCATGACTTCTCGAAACCGTTGCAACTCCTACAAATCAGGATCTAATGTAGATACAACTAATGAAAACACCGCGAGTTTAGCGCGTCTTGGGAATATGAATAATCACCGTCTTGGATTCCGAACGAAGGAAATAAATCAGAAGATATTATAGAGAAGAGAAATTCGAAATAGATTTTCTTACAACAATAAAGTAGTAACAATTTGGTTTATCTTTCTTATTAAGCTTTAAAAAAGTGTGGGAGAGCCATGTTTCGGCACGAATGGGTCGGCTTGACTGAAGTGATACCACGACTTAATAGAAATCCGACGTCAAACAACGTTTGCGTTGTGTTTCATTGTATGAGTGAGATTACCGGAGGCCCAATTACCCATTCCTCCCATCCTTTCAATTCCTGAATCCTACAATCCTCAAATTCTTAATTTCCATAAGGCGGGTAACGCGCTTGTAACGTCTCTGGTGTTCCGGGTGTCCATGGGCGACGCCGATGGCTTACTATAGGTGATCTGTCTGCTTGTTTATCGGCTTATCTCACAAAAAAAATACTTCATAAGCATTTCTTAGTTAATGACCTGCAGCGGGCGGTGCGCGTGCGCGGGCGGGGGCGCGGGCGCGGCGTGCGGCGCGGCGTGCGCGTGCGCGTGCGGCGCGGGCGGCGGCGGGGACGCGGCGGGCGCGGCCAGGCGCCGCTCGATCTCCTGCTCCTGCTGCAGCGCGCGGACGAACGCTGTCTTCAGCCGCGCTGTGTGCTCCGCCTGCAACGACGTATTCGTATTTCATGTTACAATTACGTACTTGATCAAAAATAAATTATTTCGACTGTTCAATACAATCAAATAATAAAAAATAATTACACTTTAATTATTAGATTTAATGACCAACTTCATTTTAGTACATTTCCAACAATTTTTTAAACAGTTTTTTTTTTCAGTTAAATTTAAATATTATTCTCATTTCTGTTTGTAACTAAAGTGTCAATAGTTTAATATTAGCAAATAATTTATTACTGAATCGTTCAAAACTTTCTGTAGCAACACAGTAATTTTATTATATAAATCTTTGACTTATCAATAGTTCTCGTCCGAAGTGAAGGAGCAAAGAAGAGACCTTTGTTTAGTAATAAGTCACAACATCACGCCTTTTATCCTCGAAGGCATAGGCAGAAGTGTACTCTGAAATAACCCCATGTAACAGGGGGTGAGCCTATTGCCATATACCGGGTACTATTCCAGATTTCGTGCTACTACTGAGATTTTTAAAAAATCCAGTAATACTTTGTTCGACCCGGGAATCGAACCCGAGACCCCTTGCTCGGTAGTCGCATTTGCGAGCACTCGGTAATGATCATTAACAGTTGGTAATGTAAAGAAATAGCTTCTGACCTTGAGCGCTCGCTTGACGTTCCCGCTGACGCAGAGCTCGCAGAGTCGTCGCGCGGAGGGCGGCGGCGGCGCGGGCGTGAAGGTGGCGTCGTGTCGGCGCGCGGCCTGTGCGCCGGGCCCGCCCGGGCCGCGCTCCCAGCGCCACACCGGCGTGAAGTCGCAGCCGCACTGCGCGCATACCGCCGGCACAGACGACCGCGGCATGCTGCCCACATCCACATTTACGATACACAAATACACTCAAATATGATGAAAAATTAAGTTACCTCTTTCTTGGAAAGAGTTCTTTAACGTACGTGAAACGTAAAATGACTTTTAAATTTCCTAGAAATTACTTTGGTATGGGCATTCTGCAAACTCAGTCTTCAGTCATAATACAAATTTAAAATAGTTATTTCCTTTGTTGATGAAGCTACTAGCAAAAGGCAGCTTCACCGACTGAACCAAGGTAAAGGTGGTCTATGTGTTCTAAACTACCACTAAAAGTACCCATGAAACCGCAATAAATTATTAATATTAATTCTATAGTTATATTACCTATTGTCGAGAATATTATTTTCAATAATACAGCTTCCCTACATTTCCTTCAAAATTAATTATTTTCAAACTAAAAACAACGATAACTGAAAAAGCTCACAACTTACCGGTCTTCATTAGTAAGATAATCAACTACGTGTTCCAAGCCGACCAAGTAGACGAAGTCGGTGTTGCTGGGCGAAGGGATGAAGTTCATTTCTGGTGGCGGGGGTTTGGGAGGGGGGATCTAAAAGGAAACACAATTTATTAATTTTTATAACTCATCATTATAGCAAAAATTACAGTCGGGTAAAAATGTATAGGAGAGCACACCAAAGTCACATTTCATCAATAGATTTTGGATTCGTTATTATTATTATTTAGTGTTTAAAGTTTTGTGGGAACAAATTATATTTGCAGTATGTAAATACTGGTATTTAACCGTACATATTTGGTCATTACCCAACTAAAAAGAAAAAATAGGAGAAACAACTTTAAAGTGAAAGTAAATGATTTTTAAGAACACCATTGACACAATGAATTAAAGATATATGGGAAAATATTGCGAATGCACACAATTTTTGTTGAAAGATGAACCTTAATCATAAGTGCGTAAGCAACATAATCAATATTCACTAAAATCTCATAGAATATGTTTTACATACCTGCAGTAAGGTCTTCTCGAGTTGTTTCCGTAGTGCAAGTTTAGCGGCGGCCTGTCGCTGCGCGGGAGTCTGGGTGTCCTCGGAACTACGGGAACTTGCCTATAACGTAAACATTGTATTAGTCCTATAGGCTTCTAAACAACTCTTGGACCGGGGGTTTGGAAGGGAGAATTATTTGTTTCAATTCAACTAGTGCCTAAAATGTTCATTTTCGTATTTAATATAGAACGGTACTGAAGATAACGAACTGGGAAGGTATATTGCCGAATACAAAATTAATACAGATAATATTTTAAAGAATGGGAACATAGTTTCTTGATACTCTGAACTTATTGCGGACAGTGACAAAATTATTTAATTTTACTTTGTCCTGTGTTATTTACATAACATCACGCCTTTTATCCCCGAAGGGGTAGGCAGAGGTGCACATTATGGCACTTACTGCCACTGTACAATGTAACACCAACTTTTTATGTTATGAGTCCCATGTAATAGGGGGTGTGTTATTTACTAAATACAAATTAATATGAAATAGTTGTTTCTAAGATATAAAACAGTTAAAAATCATTCTTACTCCATAATCACTACCGTAAAATGGGGTGAATAGGGATCCAGGGGTGAATAGGGAAAAAACCAGGTATCATTTTTAACTCTAAATGCTAGTTTGCAAATCGTTCCAACTTTTACCATTTTTTGAGGGATAATAATAGATTATTGAAACTTTTCTATGGCAACATTGAACAAGTGTGAATTCAGCTGCAAACTATCAAAAATTTCAATTGAAAATAGTATAGACAAGATACCGGTTATTACAGTGTATAAAACTTAGCTGTGTAAAGGTTATTTTGTATTAAGCGAATACGAGTGTTAGTTTTATACCTTATTTAGGGTTTGGGCCGTCATATCCACGAAAGTTAAGCATCAGTTATTAATTAATATGACTATAATTTAGATTTTTAGAATGGCATGCGAAATTTGTATTTTTTGGGGTGAATGGGGACGTCTCAGGTATGAATCACAACGAAAGGGGGGTTAATCGGGATGAGGATGGGATGAATAGGAACGACTTATGTATGAATAGGTACAGCTTTATAGGGTTGTCACTAAGCAGACTTAACATTTTTAAATTGTGTAATCTAGGTAATAATAATTTTTTTATTTCATAAATTAGCGAGGTATTACACTGCGTCGTTAATCTAGTTATTGCAAGTGCAACTGCTGACCATGAAGTCTCAGGATCGGTTCCCGAGTGGACCCAAATTGTGTTGGAATTTTGAAATATTTTACGGAGACCGAAATAGTGTCCGGTGTATCTTAGTAGGCTTGTCCCCTATTTCTTGGGCTGACAACGTTACTGACGAACACTGGCTGTCACATTTAATACGTAGGTACATTATTTTTTTTGGGATGGGATATTATTTTAAGACACCTCCTGCTCTGGGCGGAGCCGAAAGTTTATTTTAGTGTTGATATATTGAGTAGAAATTTTTATATACAATAATGCAAATTTATTTTATCAGATATGCCTCACGTGTATACCATGATCATTAATGAATAATTTGCAAAAGGTTTGTTGATTAAATAAATAATGGAAGTAAAAGTGGATTTTATTTCAGTGATTAAATAGCTATTAAATAATCAGAAACTAGTATTATGTAAGAATTACATAGGGGCAATAAGTAATAATGTAGAATAAATTAAAATACAAAAAAAATGGTAGTTAGCTAGAAATTATAATTTATTAGGTAGGTACCTACACAAGTGGCAGCCCTAGAGAATTTCCCTATTGGCCTTATTTTCGTCCCGATTGACCCCAATTTCTGGGTGAATAGGGATAGGCTATATTTTAGCTTTTTTATGCATAAACTGAAATGCTAATTGCATAATTTATGTTTAATTACAAAGATACCATCACGACTCAATTATTACAATCGCCTTACAGCAAATTTTCTATAAAAAAACGCCTTAACTTTCTTTATAAAGTTCAGATTTGTCCCTATTCACCCCATTTTACGGTACATAGTATAAAACAAAGTCGCTTTCCGCAGTCTGTCTGACCCTATGTATGCTTAGATCTTTAAAACTGGGCAGCGGATTTTGATGCGGTTTGTTTTAATAAAGTGATTCTTAAGGAAGGTTTATAATATGTATAATACATGAATAACAGAAACACTGATAAATTCAGAGATTTCTAATTGCACCCGTGCGAAGCCGGGGCGGGTCGCTAGTTATAACAAAATATTCATTATCCTGTGTCGTGTCTACCCATATTAAATAGAAAATATAAAGAAACGAAATCAGAAAAGATCTACATAGGTGTATTATTAGTGAAATGACATCACATTTCCATACTCACTGCATCACTCGTGCTACTGGTCACCGAGGAGTTGTCCTGGGGTTGCTTGCAATGGATAATGTATCGTAAGCACTAAGTAATCTTATACTATTATATAAAGCGGAAGAGTTTGTTTTTTTGTTTGTTTATTTGAACGCACTAATCTCCGTAACTACAAGTCTGATTTAAATAATTCTTTTTGTGTTGGATAGCGCATTTATCTATGCTATATACTATAAAACATCACGCTACGACCAATATGAGCTGAGCAGAGCGTGTGAAACCGCGCGGAAGTAGTAGTAGCTAGTAGTAGCTAGTACATCATATTTTACTATGTTTTACTCAAAACTGACCAATTTCTAAAATATTATTATCATTATATCACTATTTTGTAATTTTTTTTGATGTATACAAATATTCTTTAGCTTTTTTATTTTCCTTGCTGTGCCTGATTAAGTTTAATTTTATACAGGCATTATTTTGATCATGAAGACTTCAAAACAGACACCTAAATAGTTTTGTTTTAATCACTTTTTCAGTTATATTTCTGAAAGTGCCACTATAATACCTGTTTGATTAACAGCCAGTTTCAATTACCTATCTATCTGTAGATTTGCTTACTAGAGATAAAATTTTGACATGAGCTCCATACAAAAACCGTCAAAAATCTATCTCTAGTAAGCAAATCTACAGATAGATAGGTTATTGAAATTGGACGTAAGTAACATAGCCAGTTGTTTGTGAATCAATGTTACTTGATATTAAGCACTTTACCTAGTAAATTGCATCATTGATCGTAAAATTACTGTTGCAAAAACGGTAATTTCCGAAATAAAGACATAAATAGATATTTACAATTACCTTATTAGAGGAAGCATGTTGGCTGCTGGTGAGGTGCTGGAGTGATCGTCACTGACGGAGTTATACTTGCACCGCCGCTTGTCGACGACTGAGAAGTGAGAACAAACATTGATAATAATACAACTAATTTATTGACAACAAATGTAATAATGAACAAAGATCGAAACGAGACTGCATTCGGCGCTCTGATTGGCCGACTCTAATGAAAGAACCAAGCATAACGCCGATCACGGTAACTTTTCAATCTCGTTAAACGTAAAACAAAACCGTATTAGGCGTTCTGGGCGCTTACTCTTGAAACCAATCTCAATGTCAATGTAATTTAACTCGTCGAGTACCGGTTTTATAGACACAATTAAACTGTCAAACACCAAGCGGTCACCGGTGACCGCGACCTATTGTTCTTTAATTGTGTCTATAAAACCGGTACTCGACGAGTTAAAGAACAATAGGTTGCGGTCACCGGTGACCGCTTGGTGTTTGACAGTTTAAATCCAATAAAATCTCAATAATTATTCAATGTCAAAACTAGACAACCCTTATCGTAACTGTTCAGAGTACGGAATATAAAGCCAAACTCAATAAATACCATTTACTTCATTAAATATCCACGCAATACGGATACAATGGGCGCTAGTGTTGCATCTCGAGAGTACGAAATTTCACAATACCAATGTCGATCGATGGCAATTGGATTCAAGAGTAAGCCCCCTGATCTGATTCTGAGCTTCAATGAACCATCTAATCAGAGCGCTGAACGCTGAAACTTGTACTAAGCCGGTAAAGGTAAAAATGTAGCTTTGGTGAAACACACATTAAAAACGTATATAGATACAAGCAAAGAAATGTTTTGTGTTTATAATATTAGTATTGAATATAGTTATACCTGTGAGCGGTAGGGTCCGGGAGTGAGCGTGGCCCCGCCCGGCAGACTGGACGTGCGGCGGGACGAACTACTACTGCTCACTGCTGGGGTACTACTGCTGGTACGCTGTACGGAGAGTCGTGACGATATATGAACGAATGTTTGTATAGTCAATTATGTAGATGAGATGTGAAACTATTATTATGGCTAGTTTAATCCAATAGTGACGATTAGCGTTAAAAAGATCATCTTTCGTTTTATTGACTCTGACAGAAACGTAGATTGATCTAGAGATTGTAGATTAAAATCGATTACTACTTTTGTTTAATAATCAGGATTTGACGATTGAAATCTAGATAACATAACATAACATCACGCCTTTTATCCCCGAAGGGGTGCAGAGGTGCACACAGAAGTAACAGTAACACACATTTTTCACTATTTATGTTATGAGTCCCATGTAATAAGGAGTGAGCCTATTGCCATATACCGGGCATATTTCCAGCCTCCGTGCTACTACTGAGATTTTTTTTTAAAACCCAGTAATACTTTACCGACCCGGGAATCGAACCCGAGACTTCTTGCCCGGCAGTCGCACTTGCGGCCACTCGGCTAACGTAGCAGTCTTAGTAACCATAGATAAATTATATCATATTTTGCTCTTCAAAATATATCTTGACTACAGTCAGTGAATCCTAGATAATTTCCACATATTAAGGTAAAATACATATTGGCTTTTTTAAAACTTATTAACATATTAAAGTGAGACAATAATCATATCTAGTTTGTGAATTATTGAATGAACAAGTGAATGTATAAGTACACTCGTACCTTAGTCTGCTGGTGCGCGGGGGGCGGCGCGGGCGTGACGGTGACGCCGGGGGGCACCACGCAGCCACTGCCGGCCAGCGCAGTGCCCGTCGCAGAGTCCTGGGGTAACCATACTATGTTAGTACACCATATATTGTATAGATAGATTTAATGTTTGCAGTTTATAGAAAACTAATAAATTAACAAAAACATCTGTTTATCAGATTTCTAACTAAACAAAGTATATAATCCTTACATGTCACAAAAATAAGTCCGCTTTCTATCTGTACTGTTGACTTGAGCGGACTAAACATATATTTTTTTTAATTTTTCTAGTTTTCAACATTAGACGGATTCTTATGGAAAAGCTTGGGCGGATATTTATTATGGTTTTGACCACGAAAAGATTGATGAACATAACATAACATCACGCCTTTTATCCCCGAAGGGGTAGGCAGAGGTGCACATTATACCACTGTACAATGTATCACCCACTTTTCACTATTTATGTTATGAGTCCCATGTAATAGGGGGTGAGCCTATTGCCATATTGATATGAAAGATTGATGAATAAAATGTACCTTAGCAGGCGGTAGGCCGGTAGCTTGCTGCGACTGCCTGAGCTTCCTGAGCAGTACGAGTCGTGTTTCCTCGGCGCGTAGTTTCTCCCGCAGTGTACGCAGCCGACGCTCGCGCTCCCATATCTCCGCGCTAGACAGTTCCTGTACCAATAAACAAAGCACCGATAAAATACTACTTTCACTGGAAACTACCGACCTTTTTTTTTTTTTTTTAAGGGGGGAAAATCATCGAATGACTGCCCCCGCCTGGGTGAGGCGGGAGGGAGTGTCAGACTCTTACTGACTAAAAACCACCCCGTTCCTTCTCCTGCACGTCGAGCCGGAGCCCCGGTTACCCGTTAGGTTCTCCGCGACTTCGAATCGGCATCGGCCCTATTGGGCCCCATCTGTGGTGGTCTGATGGCTCTTTGAGGCGCGCGCGGAACGCGACGCGCCGCACGCTCGGGTCTGTTTCTGGTCGGACGGGGAGCCACCCATGCTCGCCGTCCGCAGGCCCGCGCTTACGGTGGCCGGAGATCGTCCCGCGATCCCCGACGCCCGGTGTGTCCTTCGCGATGGCTGGGTTGCGAGGAGGCAGCGCTTCGCTGCCTCACGCGTCCCGCCTCCTCCTTAGCTAGCATGACTGCTTCGCAAAAGGAGGAGACGGCATCCCAATCCCCCTCGCTCCGCATCATGGCCTGCACTAGGCCCGGACGCGAGAGGTCGCCATCGCCTATCACTTCCCTGAGGACACGGCGGTGCTCAGCCCACGAAGGGCATTCTCCCACCGTGTGTTCCACCGTGTCCTCAGGGCGGTCCTCGCAGTGATGACACCCGGGCGTTTCCTCCCGCCCCATCAGACACAGGTACCTCCCGAAACTGCCATGTCCGGTGAGGACCTGCGTCAGGCGGTAGGTGAGGACGCCGTAGCGTCTCTCAAGCCACTCCTCAAAGAGGGGACTTACCGCTGCGATGGCAGCGAGCCCAGCCCTCGGTTGCGACAGCCGTTGCCGCCATTCCGCCATGAGATCGCGCCGGAGCTCATCCCGCCACGCACTTATCTGGCGCGGCAGCGGAGTTTCGCCCCGGCGACGTGCCTCCGCGCGCATGCTGTGCACGCGCGCGAGCACCTTCGCCTCCAGATCCCACGGCGGTAATCCGGCAAGGAGGTTCGCCGACTCCCCAGAGATCGTGCGGTATCCGCGGATCAAAACTACCGACCTACCAAGCTACCAAGGTCGGGTAAAGTATAATAGATTTCATTTCCTACTTCCGGGAAATCTCAGTCAGTACGGAGTCTCGAATGGTGTGGTATAGCTGATATCACACAGGACCCATAACTATTTTTTCGTTCTATTTTTAAAAAAAAAAAAAAAGTTAAGCATAACATTTATTATATGCACCTCTGTCTAAATGTCAGCCTCTTAGAAGAACAAAAACATAGATTGTTTTATAGTTAAGATAGTAGAAAGTAAGTCTGAACAAAGTCTAGGATTTAATTCCCCAGAATTTGATAAGGAAAATTATCATTGAGACTTCGTTTTGGAAAATTATATCTAAGCAAACAATTTCAATATCCAAGTCGGGTTCCAGGTGTGAAACCCAGCCTTTCATCTCATCCTCTATCAATCCGCAGTATAAACATCAAAACGAAAACTTCAGTAAAACGTTTGTGGCGACACTAATGAATCGACATTTTTAAAGTGTTTTCAAGTGTCGTAGCTGCGCCTGCGACCCTATAGCGTTAGCACGCCAGTCGTCACTCAGCTTTGGTGTTAACCAGTAATATTTTGTAATTTTAGATTAGTTGTGAATTGTGTATTTTCTAAGGCTATATAAACACAAAGTTTTACCTATTTTATTTTGGACTTTCATTGAACACATGAACTATACTGCAGCTGTAGCCAAATACCATTTAGCGTTTCCAAATTATATGGAATTGACGTATATTTTGACACTACTTGTCAGTGTCATTCCCATACATTTAGCTTTCTACTCTCTCTATAGACAAGTGCTACAGTGGAGTTTGGCTAAAGACACTGGAGTCAAGAGAATTTAAATAAGAATACACACCACATATTAAACGTTAATATAATACCAAGCAAGCAATTATATCAACAGTTACTTACTCGATGTCCAGCGACCGGCAATGGCGGTTCGTTCTCGTCTTCCTCCGAGTCTTCATCGTCGCGCGGGTCGCGCGGAGACTCCGGTGCGGGGGCCGGCAGAGTACTCGGCGTTATAGACACGTTAACATTGCCCGAGTTCAGCTTGCTGCTTACATCTGTTGGGAATGTTGAAATGTATTTATTTATATGTTAATTAGCTCTTTAGCTCGGGTTCGCTCAAAGTACTAACAAATTCAATTTACTTATTTTACAATTTTTTCTTTTATTTTTCTAAAAGTGTACGGAATTACGTCTGAAATAAAGATTATTATTATTATTAAAGTAATGGGGTTTTCTCAGTCTCATAGTAGCACGAAAAACTGAAATAGGGTATCGGTAGCAATAGGACCAGCCCTTGTCATATGGGTTACATTGTGAAATTAAGATATGTAACAACATATCTTATGTAATTTCATATATTTCACATCACACATCAACAGCCTATAAATGCCCATTGCTGAAGGTTTGAGTATTAATCTCGGCTTGCTCAATGCGGGTTGGCGATTTACAAACTTAGATTTTTCTTCACCGTTTGTCAGTGGTGTCTGAATTATCTTAGAAAGTACATATAACTGGAAACATATAACTCGGAAAGTCACATTGGTACTTCTCGTTGGTAGGTTTCGCACCCGCACCCTCATGTATGGGAAGTGGGCGTCTTAACCTTTGAGCCACCATGACACTAAGGGCCTTATAAATACACATAAACGTTCAATATTAATAACTCCTGTCCCCTAGTTAACCCTCAGAAAATATCATAAACAATGCTTTATCAAAATCTATTATCAATGTTTACCTTACATCTTAAAGAATCACGTTAATTAAGCGTACGGCGGAGACTTTGTCTCAAGATAACAACGAGTGATAATGTTTGATTAGGTTATACACACATTTGTGTAATATAATAACGGCAGTAATCAAGTATGAACTCAAATCCATAGAAACTAGGTCAATATCTCTTTGTAATGGTGTGTTTATGAGATTTCTTAGTTCATTTACATGGCCCTTTTTTATTTTTCGAAGGTGTTAGCTATGGTACATCTAATTTAATTATATTATTATTATTTAGCCGTTATGTGTATTAGCAGCAATGTATGATGTAATTCTTACTTTCTAACTAATAATAGTAAAGTAAGAAAGAGACAGCATCTTTTAGGACAAATGAGTAAAGATGAAATCAACACATGAATACGTATGTTTGTTTCATTTTAATGCAAAAGTACTGAGCTGATCTTGATAAAATTTGGAGCAGAAACAGATAAGTCTATAACGAATACTTGAAATATACAGAGCGCAGTTATAGCGACTTAGATTTTTTATATGTAGTTTAAATTAATAATCTTAGTAAGTAAAACTTTAATGACTATTTTCTTAAATCCTTACTAATATTATAAATCGGAAAGTGAGTTTGTTTGTTCCGCTTTCACGCCGTAATTACTAAACCGATTGCTTTGAATTTTTGCAGACGTAAAGTTAGAAGTCCGGATCAAATAATAGGGTACTTTTTATCCCGGAAAGATTTGATATTCCCGAGGGAAAAAAAGTATTGGTACCTATAGATGGCGCTGTGTATAGAGGTATATGTCATATAGGCTAATTTTTATCCTTTTGTGATGCGTGCGAAGCCGCGGCTAAAAGCTAGTAAAAAATAAATGAGACTTACCAGTAAACGGTGCGGGACTCGGCATGGAAGGTTTGCGGTGGGGTGGCGCAGCCGGGAGCAACACAATGTCAGGGCTCTCTGCATAGCTACGCTGTTCCGAACGAGGGCGAAGTACCCGCTTACCGCTGGAGCCCTAAACATAACACGCGTTACTTTACTACGAACATAGTAAAAGAAAATAAAGAATAAAATGTGTGTTGATAAAGTATAAGTGCAAGAAAATTACTATTGAAAAAAAAAACTACGGAACAAATGAATAAAATTGTTGTTATAAAATATTCTCAGCAATCAAAACTTGAGTTTTGAAATGAAATAAATATAAATAAACTCAAATATCTCACTAGAATACCAAAATGCATAATGTCAATAATTTTGAGGAACTATCAAACTAATAGAAAAGGACTCTTGCTTTATATAATATCAAATCAAGAATTAGTTTAAATAGAATGTAATAAAATAATAAGCTTAAACTCAGTGTAATTACAAAAGAATGCCAATTTTGTTCATCAACCAAACTTGAAACTTGAAATAGGCTGAATCAATAGTTAGACTATAAATTACCCAACTTTATTAACACATTATAAATAATAGCAATTATATAATTTCAGTTTAGTGAACATAGGAATTAGCACTAAATAATACATCGTGAAAATTATTACTTTTTCGTCCCGCGACCAAGCAACTTAATAACCATAAGGAGTTCTTTCGACGTATAAAGGAAAAAAAACGTCATTTTTTACCTAAAAAAAAAATACTCCCATCGCCCAAAAAATACTGCCACCCGACGAGAAATACCACTTCCAGAATTACATGGCGTAATGTTTTGATACTACTACGAGTTCGTATGCGCTTTCGAAGTTAGATTTTTGCAATGGTTCACCAGTTAATTTTTGTTTTAAACATTTTATTTCTTTGTAAAACTATTGTATTACCAAGACAGAACCATTTTAATTTGGGACGAAAACGAAATAGAATTCACGATGTATATTAAAAGTAAAATAATATAGTGAAAATATAATTAAAACTAGGCATAACTAATAACATATGAAGCAATCTACTCACAATCCTTAGTTGTTGTACCTGAGTAACATCATTACAATTTGAGTTTACTCTTTAAATATCATATTAACGCTGATAAACAATAGATGTCGCTTAGCACATGCATATTAGCCATTAGGGCCAAATTAGTTTTTTTTATGTTTTTAAATGTTACTTAGCCTACTGCCACGACGGATTTGACGAATGCATGCAACCTACAAATGCCGTTAGGCTGATTTGTATCAAGAGTAAGTGACGCAATATGGCCGCTTGGTGGACAGTTTTCATTGTTTCTAAGCAAGATACAAAGAAAACGTTCCTTTATTTTTGAAAAGAAACAATACTGCATTCAAAGATTTTAAAAAATTAGCTTGCCCCACACAGTAATTGCACTAAAATCTGTCAAAGTTTGCACCCTGTACTTTTATTGCATAAGAACCTACTTAATAAAGAATGATGCCAAACCAAAAATTAATCAAAATTCTCATACAATGCATGTGTTAGTTGACATCTATTATTCTATAACAGACAGGTTTTGTTTTAAAAAAATCATTAATGTATTTACTTTAGATACTATCATCGTTATCATCATCATCAACAAAGGCAATCCCATATCCTTACAGTTACATACAATACTAGTTTCTGTCAGCTGCTTCACCCAGATTGCTATGGGCTAAACGCCATGTGTTATTTCAGATCATAAGGTTTGTTTTTCTCTGTAATTGTTTGGATTACTTTATTCGTTAGTATAAGTTTAATATGGTGTAAGTAGTCGCTAGATTTAATAATACCTTGTTATCGCATTGGGTCCTAAACCTGTAATGTTAACTTGTGTGTGTAATAAATAAATAAATAAATGTAATTTACACCTGTTTTAATCTGTGGTATACGGGAACATAGATATACGCGAGACACAATGCTTTCTATTGTATCTTACATACGGGCAGTCAAGAGGTTAAATTATATCCTCAGCCATTTTGATATAAATGAGGAACAAACATAAACACAGACTTACAAATTATAATATTTTGCGCAAGAATTAACCCACATGAACAATTAGAATAAAGTTAATAATATTGGTTATTAAGTAATCATTGTTTAAATTCTATATCCAACCACACAATTATATTGTGGTAATGATAAATTAATTCTTGTTATAAATTTAATACAACTGTTATTTTACATTATGGAAGCATTTTTGTAATAATATTTCCTTCAATATTGTCATAATATGACTTTTACCTGTTCCATGTAAAACATTTCATTTTAAATCCACTAAACTTGTAATTGTAAGATTGCATCATTTGTAGTTATTACAAGGTAGACTTTAAAATAAGTTGTCAAAGACTCATTTTATAGTTAATAACTAACTAACATAACTTGAGAATAATGGCAAACAGTCAATAAAATCACCCTTTCTACATGGGACTCATAATTCATTCAACATTTAATAGTATTAACTTTTTAATTCATGGTATATAATTCGCTTTTTAATTAATCTCTGTCAAACTCTTCAGGCAACAAAAGGTTGATTGCACATCAAACCTTTTGTTGTTATTATAAAATTAAATTTATTCACTTGTATTTATTGTGCCTTAATTGATGTATGACCATGGATGAGATAAACATCTTGATATTTAGATAATTTGAAAAATTTTCTCTCATAGATAAGCAACAAAACCTGGCTGCATAATATTTTGTCTAAACATAGAAAAAAATAAACCAGTAAGTTCTTTATTTTTTTAATCCCCCACTATCCCACTGTTTGGCAAAGCAAAGGCCCTCTATAATGCCAATATGTAAATGAGTTTATAATGTATTTTAATTTTGTCACAATATATAACTTATTTTAAGTAATTAAAATTTATATCATTAACATCAATTTAAATGTTTTGTTGTATTTACAGATGATATAGTGGAATTTTTACTAATGACACAAACTTGATGGCAAAAGCATTGTTCAAGTACTTACCCTGTCAATCTTTTTGTGATAGCAAAAGAAAAATGGATATTAATATTTTACAGTAATAGTGTACAAAATCTAAGACAATTAACATCTCAGGTGTGAAAATAAGCTTTCATTGTTAAGAAATAAGGTATTTTTTCCTTTGTCAATTTAATAAGACCAATATTTAATTAATGATTGATACCTATTTCCTTATTCTGCAGTATCTTAGATTGTTAGTACAATGAATAATTTAAATGCAACCTCTTCCTTATGTAGATAGAACTAATATTATCTGTGTTACGACCTCCAGCAATGATTTATGCATGTGGTATTTATAAACAAAGTTATACTACAATGACTTGGTTAAAGGAAGTATACACATACTGGCCACTCACATAAAGGTACATTTTATAGCCAAATAATGTTGAAAAGAGGTTTTATGTGGAATTTATATGTAGGTTTTTATTTTAACTTACATGTGGTGGTGGTTGTGCAGGCGTAATAGTCAGCCCACTGGCCGTCAGAGCCCTCAACTCGCTCAACTCAGGTGGCAATGCCCTGTATTCATAAATAAATTACATAATTTCACATTATCATTAAATGTAAACAAAAATATAAAATGAAATAATAACTCACCTGACGCTCAGGTCAACCGCCGAATCATCTACGTCCATTATGGTTACTCACTTCTGTAACAATTACGTATTACAATTAAACACAAATAATTTAGGACATCAATCAATATAAACAATACAAATTTTAATTATCACTGCACTCAATCTTCATTTTGAATAGAGATTATGAAAAACACCACGTTTATGAACAGATTATGTCGACATTACAAACAAATTGGTAATCATTTAGATCGATTTTTTGTCCACCAAATGTAATGCACACGCACGCATCACCGGGATCACAGTTGACAAGACAACGGTCAATGGGCGCGAGTATCAAATTCCACAAATAATTTAAATAAAATATACCTAATTTCTATCACCAGAACCTAGTCACATATCTTCTTGGTAAACAAAATGTTATACGAATGTTTTTGCGCGAGATAAACGAATTTTAATTTGCACTCTAGCAGTCACAACAGCATTTGTCTCGCGGCCATTGATGACAGATTAAACAGAAATATAATTGTTATCACAGATTAGCTAACTATCGTACTTAGTATTGTCTTTGGCGCATCAGTAATGTTGAAGTGTTGGTATGACTCAGGACTCAGAATAGGTGATTAGTTGATTAGGTTTAATATTTTTTTATTGAGAAGGTAATGACTAAAATATTGATTTCACAAAGAATATTAAAAAAATGATGAAATATTTAGAAAATTAACAACATGAATTTAAGTTTTCAACATTTTTGTCCAATGCTGCCACTGCTGTTGCTGGTCAAGGATGACGTCTAGTCTATGACATAATGACAATGACAGTGTCATTATGTCACTGTCATTAAACTTGTACGTAATTCGTGCATGTTAGCGCCGTGTTTACAACACAAAGTTTGAGGCTAAATACACGTGAATTGAATTATTCAAAATGAGTTCAGATTTCAATGTTAAAAGGCCAGGCTTAGAACTGTTATCAAGTCAAGGACTACGTCTCGACGGCCGTAGACCTAATGAACTTCGTCGTATTCAATGCAAACTTGGTGTTTTTACACAGCCTGATGGTAGTGCGTATATTGAGCAAGGAAATACAAAAGTTTTAGCTGCAGTTTATGGACCTCATCAGGTACTATACATTATAAAACTGTATGAACTAATAAACGTGACAAAAACTGATTTGCCACTCGGTAATTTCAAATATTGTTCAAGCCTTTACTGACTTATCTACCATAATTTTACCCACTAAAAACTATTTATAATAAATGTGCCAATAGTGAATAATAATAAAGCTCAGACTATCTAAGACAGCTACTAAAATGTCACTAAATAGAGCTGCTAATGTTATACTATTATTGTTACAGGCCGCAAAATCAAAATCTTTACAAGACTCTGTCGTCATAAACTGTCATTACAGCATGGCAACATTCTCCACAGGTATTTTTCTATAATACTTTCTTTTTTCTAAGCACTAGTACAAAGTACAACAAAGATATTTACAACACAATGTAAAATAAAATAAAGTAATGCATTCATACATTTACACAACTTCATGCATTCTTTGCACCGAGTCTCCCAGCTTGGCGCAAATATATCATACTCAGGCGACATGCCAGAAGATTGACGGTATATTCAAGTGGCGAATGAGCATGTGCATAGTGCAGAAACCTTGAGGGTTTACAGGTGTAGACCAGAAGGTGTTTCTTTGCTTTCAACGATGAGATAATATGGTTTTGTCATGAGTATTACTTACTATCAGATTATTTACTTATTTTATTATGAGATAACTTGTAAAATGTTGACCGAACTGATAATTCATAAAATTGCTGGAATCTGGAACTCGTCAATTATAATTTACGAATAATAGTTGCATGTCTTGATTGGTGAAACATGGTGAACTGCTGAAGGGAGCTGAGCAGAGCGAGTGGAATCGCGCGAGAATAGCTCATAAATTATTACAGTAAATCAATTTCACAGTTTGGGAATTTATTTCCTCGACTAAGTTTACCAAGTAATAAAAATGACAACAAAATACTTAACTGACCTCCATGGTGTCATCACAATAAAAAAAAAACAAGATATTTGACCACTGAACTCTCAACTCACACGAAACACAACAGAGGTTGACTTACTTTCACAAAACAATGATCAGATTAATTAAAAATAAGAATATACACTATGACACAGCCTTTGACTCATTATCTATTGTCTCCGTTATTTCTAAATATCAATGAAAGTCGAAACTCATTGAATTTCTATGATTACATCATTGTGATAAGAGGTTACTCATTATTCTAGATTTTATGGAAAATTTTGATGAAATAAAATATAAATAAGATAAACTACATCCTTGATGAGCTGCACATTTTTCAATGTTCACTAATTTGTTATGAGCCTATACCCTTACAACAAACATAATTATAAACTCCATCCTATCACTAAGAATATAACACCGAAACAAAAAACAATAACAAATAAAAGGTCTAAACTAAAAAGCAAAAAATGACTAGGTTTCGGTTACCCACCCACTGATAGGTTAGAAGTCGGTGCCATAAGCTCATTTCATAATGATATAACTTAATAAATGACCACAAAATTGAAAATTAGGTATCTAAAGGTTTTAATGAATAATTTTGTATAGAATTTATGGGGCCGACTTCTAACCTCAGTGGGTCGTATCTGTCGTGTCGGTCGTATTTGTCGTGTCGGTCGTATTTGTCGTGTCGGTCGTATCTGTCGTGTCGGTCGTGTTTGTAGTATCTGTCGTGTCGGTCGTGTTTGTCGTATTTGTCATGCCCGTCGTATCTGTCGTATTTGTCGTGTCGGTCGTATTTGTCGTGTCGGTCGTATTTGTCGTGTCGGTCGTATTTGTCGTGTCGGTCGTATTTGTCGTGTCGGTAGTATCTGTCGTGTCGGTCGTATCTGTCGTGTCGGTCGTATCTGTCGTGTCGGTCGTATCTGTCGTGTCGGTCGTATCTGTCGTGTCGGTCGTATCTGTCGTGTCTGTCGTATTTGTCGCGTCGGTCGTATCTTCATGTCGGTCGCGTTTGTCGTATTTGTCATGTCGGTCGCGTTTGTCGTATTGTCGTGTCGGTCGTATTTGTCGTGTCGGTCGTATCTGTCGTGTCGGTCGTGTTTGTAGTATCTGTCGTGTCGGTCGTGTTTGTCGTATTTGTCATGCCCGTCGTATCTGTCGTATTTGTCGTGTCGGTCGTATTTGTCGTGTCGGTCGTATTTGTCGTGTCGGTCGTATCTGTCGTGTCGGTCGTATCTGTCGTGTCGGTCGTATCTGTCGTGTCGGTCGTATCTGTCGTGTCTGTCGTATTTGTCGCGTCGGTCGTATCTTCATGTCGGTCGCGTTTGTCGTATTGTCGTGTCGGTCGTATTTGTCGCGTCGGTCGTATCTGTTTTATCTGTCCTGTTGGTCGTATTTGTCGTGTCGGTCGTATCTGTCGTGTCGGTCGTATCTGTCGTGTCGGTCGTGTTTGTAGTATCTGTCGTGTCGGTCGTGTTTGTCGTATTTGTCATGCCCGTCGTATCTGTCGTATTTGTCGTGTCGGTCGTATTTGTCGTGTCGGTCGTATCTGTCGTGTCGGTCGTATCTGTCGTGTCGGTCGTATTTGTCGTGTCGGTCGTATCTGTCGTGTCGGTCGTATCTGTCGTGTCGGTCGTATCTTCATGTCGGTCGCGTTTGTCGTATTGTCGTGTCGGTCGTATTTGTCGCGTCGGTCGTATCTGTTTTATCTGTCCTGTTGGTCGTATTTGTCGTGTCGGTCGTATCTGTCGTGTCGGTCGTATCTGTCGTGTCGGTCGTGTTTGTAGTATCTGTCGTGTCGGTCGTGTTTGTCGTATTTGTCATGCCCGTCGTATCTGTCGTATTTGTCGTGTCGGTCGTATTTGTCGTGTCGGTCGTATCTGTCGTGTCGGTCGTATCTGTCGTGTCGGTCGTATTTGTCGCGTCGGTCGTATCTTCATGTCGGTCGCGTTTGTCGTATTTGTCATGTCGGTCGCGTTTGTCGTATTGTCGTGTCGGTCGTATTTGTCGCATCGGTCGTATCTGTTTTATCTGTCCTGTTGGTCGTATTTGTCGTGTCGGTCGTATCTGTCGTGTCGGTCGTATTTGTCGTGTCGGTCGTATTTGTCATGTCGGTCGTATCTGTCGTGTCGGTCGTATCTGTCGTGTCGGTCGTATCTGTCGTGTCTGTCGTATTTGTCGCGTCGGTCGTATCTTCGTGTCGGTCGCGTTTGTCGTATTTGTCATGTCGGTCGCGTTTGTCGTATTGTCGTGTCGGTCGTATTGTCGTGTCGGTCGTATTTGTCGCGTCGGTCGTATCTGTTTTATCTGTCCTGTTGGTCGTATTTGTCGTGTCGGTCGTATCTGTCGTGTCGGTCGTGTTTGTCGTATCTGTCGTATTTGTCGTGTCGGTCGTATTTGTCGTGTTGGTCGTATTTGTCGTGTCGGTCGTATCTGTCGTGTAGGTCGTATCTGTCGTGTCGGTCGTATCTGTCGTGTAGGTCGTATCTGTCGTGTCGGTCGTATCTGTCGTGTCGGTCGTATCTGTCGTATTTGTCGTATTTTTTATAACAAAATTAGTCATTAAAACCGACATAGATACCTACCTATTAAGCTGTTTACAATTTTATTATGGATTATGTGACCAGCTGTGTCCATTAACTACTTTATATTTTGTCAGTGGTTTGTGGCACCGACTTCTAACCTATAAGTGGATGTGTTAGCTATAAGTACGTATGACCAATAATAGTTATTTTTTTCCTTTTTAGCTTTTACTTTTCGTTTGTCTTTAGTTTTTGAAGTCGGTTTTTTTAACGCAGTTTTTGTTTTTATTTTTATGCTTTTTAATTTTGAACCACCCTCGAGAATCGAACCCGTAATCTCTTGCCTAGCAGTCGCACTTAGGACCACTGGATAAGCAAACCTATGCGGAAAAGAAATAGAAAATTTTAAAAATGGTTTATCTCAGAGTATTCCAAGGGAGGAAGTATTTCAATCCATTACTTTCACTATAGATGCAATAGGCTAGACCCCATTTACGAATAACAGTTGCAATATATTTTAGGCGAAAGAAAGAAGCGACCGCGCGGAGGTCGCAAGTCGGAGGCGATATCTATGCAGCTAACTCAGGCGATCACAACTGCTATCAAGAAAGAGCTGTACCCTCGCTCGCAGATCGACGTATACCTTGAAGTATTGCAGGTGAGACATTTAAATATAATACATACCCATCATTCTATTTCAAACTTCTTTACCCAATAATAATTAACATAACATCACGCCTTTTATCCTCGAAGGGATAGGTAGAGGTGCACATTATGCCACTGTACAATGTGACACCCACTTTTCACTACTAGTAATTATGTTATGAGTCCCATGTAATAGGGAGTGAGCCTATTGCCATATACAGGGCATAGTTCCAGACTCCGCTACTACTGAGATTTTTTTTAAAAACCCAGTAATACTTTGCCCTACCCAGGAATTGAACTCGCGACCACTCGGCCAACGAGGCAGTCGTAATTAACAGACAGTGAATAGAATAGCGAATGAAACTACGTAGAATTCTTACACACGAGAGCTCTTATGGCATTCTCTAGTCAATTATTATAGGGCACGGCCATCATGAACAGCTCAAGACATTACACTGCTGAACTCATGCCTCATCTATACATATAAGAGGGTTTGTTATATTGTCCAGTTAGCAGGCGGGTTGGAGCTTCAGGTTTGTCAGAGAACGGCACTCTGCTCTCTGTTACTATAGTTACTGTTAAGGTCAAGCACGGCTCCGGCACGGCGTTTTTTTGGAACCTATACAAAAAAGATTGTAAGCGAGCCGTCTGTGTGCGAGCGGCGTTTATGTCAACGTTAAAGTCAAAGTCAAAGTATTTATTTGTGTGCTTTTTGGTGATACAAAAGGTCTTAAAATTTTTATTATAGTAGCGCAAAAAGCGGCCCATTAGGCATACACTATTTAATAAGTATAAAAATAATCATCACATTCAAAATTTAAAAATAAATAATTAATAAAATGTCAAAAATTAGTCACAATATAAATTATAACAGGCAATTAGGCATTAAATAAACAATCTATAGCAAATTTGTCAAAAATTTTGCAACAAAATAAATTAATACAAGCATTAAATAAACAATAAGTTACCCAAGTTTTCATAATTAATTATACACATAGTTGTCAGTTTATTACATTTTGTCATGAAAGAAATCGTCAATGGCATAATAGCATTTATCAATTAGAAAATTGTTAAGTTTCCGTTTAAATTGTGTTAAATTCAGATTCTTGATAGTATTTGGGATTTTATTATATATTTTGGGTGCCATGCAAAGGATACTTTTATGCTTAAGGGCTGTTTTTGAGGCTCTCAGACATAATTCGTGTCGACGTTCTGATCTTGTCGATCTATGACGGTCCTCAGAGGCTTTTTTAAACAAAGTACTATTTTTTCTGACGAACAGTGCAGTTTCGTATATGTAAAGGCAGGGTAAAGTTAGTATTCTAAGAGATTTAAAATGAGGTTCACAACTGTCCGTTACTTTCAAGCTACACATCGACCTAATGCACCTTTTCTGTGCTTTAAAAATAGTACATTTCTCGGAGGAATTTCCCCAAAAAATTACACCATATCTTAATGTGGATTCAACATAACCATAGTATGCAGCAACAACTGCTGCCTGGTTAACTATTTTCTTGAGTTTGTATAGAGCAAAGGCAAAGCGACTTAATTTTTTTATAAGAATTGATGCATGTTCTTTCCAGGTCAGTTTACAGTCAATAGTTAGTCCCAGAAATCTTGTATGCTCTACTTCTTCAATTCTTTTATCGTCAAAAAATATATTTATGTCAGGAGTAGTTGTTCTTTGTCTAAATTGGATAATTTTAGTCTTATTTACATTTAATTGTAAATTATTTTGATCAAGCCAATTAATTGATTGTTGCAAAGAATCTTTAATGTCACGTTCATAATTTCTATTTTTATTCTGTTCAACAAGTATTGTGCTGTCATCAGCAAAAAGAACCATAGGAAAAGTGACGTGTTTTGGAAAGTCATTTATGTAAACCAAAAATAACAGCGGGCCCAGTACGCTACCCTGTGGCACGCCATAAGTGACTTTACGTGTTTTAGACATATATTTAAGTTCCTTTTTACCTTTTTTTGAGACTCGTTTAATTTCCGTACACTGCGTTCTATTGTCAAGATATGATTGTATAAGTGAAAATGCTTTGCCCCTTATTCCATAAGCATTTAGTTTCTGTAGTAAAATATTATGATCAACTAAGTCAAAAGCTTTCGTCATGTCCATAAATATAGCACTAATTGGGATTCTGTTGTCAATATTTGTGATTAAGATGTTAAGGAAATCGTAGATAGCCATGTTTATTGATGTATTCTTTCTAAAACCCTTTTGTTCTTGTACTAATAGATTATGTTTTGTAAAAAAAGAATCCATACGGTGATGAATCGCTTTCTCAAATATTTTTGATATCATTGGTATTAGGGCAATAGGTCTATAATTATTTATATCATTTTTATCATTTTTCTTAAATAGAGGTTTAATTATAGTTGGTTTGAGTTTATCAGGATAGATTCCAGATGAGATACTAACATTAATTATGTGGCAAATGGGCCCAGATATTATATCGGAAACAAATTTTAATCCTTTTGTCGAGATGTCATCATATCCTACACTAACTTTATTTTTTAGATTGTCTATTAGCCTACGTATTTCATCAGGTGTAGTCGGAGCCAAGAACATTGATTTGCAACATGTATGCGGGATTTCATAGTTTGCAGATTTTGAGACCTTCGAAAGTAATTCTGCTTGTTCCACAAAGTGATTGTTAAATGCGTTAGCGATATCACTAGGGTCGGTTATTATATCCCCGTTCCTTCGTATTTCCGCTATGTGTTCATAGGGAGAGCAGTATTTATTTTCATTAATGATCCTCCATGTGTCTTTGGATTTATTGGTTGAGGTCATTATCTTATGGTTATTTCTTGCCTTTTGTGTTAGTTTTATTATTTTCTTTAATCTTTGCGTGTAACTTTTAAGTTTCGTTAAGTTATTGTAATTTGGTTTTGCTCTTAGTTGCCAAAGAAGTTGTCTTTTATTTCTGCTGCAACGCTTTATCCCCGGTGTTAACCAGTTTGGTTTCCTTTTTAACTTAATTTTTTTGTTAATTACGGGAAAACACAAGTCATAAAACAGTCGGAATATTTCTATAAAGGCATCATACGCTATATTAGGATCATCTGCTTCATAGATTTCACAAAACGACAAAGGGTATAAACTTGATCTAAATTTCACAAGGTTATCGTAGCTGTAATCACGCGCTGTTATATTCCAACTGTCCAGTGTACAAGTCTTTTTTACAGGGATCTTTAAAACTTGAGCGGTGTGATCCGACATGTTAAGATCCACTATATTATGAGTACATTTTTGAATGAAGTTGTGCGCAAAATTGTCTATACACGTATTGCTTTGTAGCCTAGTGGGCTGATCAATTTGTAGTTCCAAATTATAGCTTAATAGATAATTAATAAACTCAAGAGATATGCTATTTTTCTTTAAAGTATTGATGTTAAAGTCACCACATACAACAACATTTTTGCGCGCTTTATAACAAATCCTAGGCAATAGAATATCTAATTTAGAGTAAAAGGTATCAAGATTTTTTAATTTAGGTATTCTGTAGATGCATACAATAATAATGTTGTGTTGTGTTAATTCGATTGCGCAGCACTCGAATGCTCCCTGAACTGAAAGTTTCCTGATGTCGTCCAGCTCTTTATATTGAAGGTCGTTTTTTATTAATATGCACGCTCCTCCTCTTCTTGTATCCCTCGAGAAGCTAGTTGCCAGTTTATAATTAGGTATAGTGAGAAAATCTTCATATCCAGCTTCCATGAAATGTTCAGTAACGCAAACCACGTCTATGCGGTTTTGAAATTCAATTAGATGCAAAAGTAATTGGTCTGCCTTATTTATTAGTCCTGCGATGTTTTGATGCATTATTGACAAATGATCATAGAAAAAATTGATTCGATATATCTTCAGATGCATCGACTGCGTTGGCGTTACTATTATTCTCCATCTGTATATCACAAATAGTCTGTTTAAGATTCGCAATTACGTTTTTCATGCCTGTGTCATTTAGGAGACCTCGACGACCGGAAAACATTGTACTATCATAACATAAGTCAGCGTTGGAGTCCAGCAAATAAGCATACTGATATGTTGTGTTATGGAGATATAAAAGATTATTGAACAGCTCAACCCGACAGTTGTATATTGTTGTGTTTTCTCCACATTGCCTGTAGGTTGGGAGACATATAATTATATTAGTGTGGCTTAGTTTCTCGATGGTATCTCTAATATTGTACACTGTATCGTGATAGTTTTCAGTTCTCAAGAAGTCTCTTTCTCCTATTAAGATGACACAATAATCTGTTTTACCAAAGTGTTTAACCTTCTCTTTTATGCCACTCAGGAGTTGATTAATACCACAATTTGGATATGAATAATGACAAAATTCATAAAAAGTTGGAAATAAATCTTCAATAACGTTATGTCTTATGACGTACGATGTACAGTTCATTTTTAAATGACAATAATATTGCGGGTTGGAGCCGTGATTGTTAGGCGTGCGGTGACCCTTTAGTCGGCGCCACGACACCCGCGGGAAAAGTTGTGGTGGTGATAAAGATAAATATGTTATACTCTGCTGTCAATACACGACTTATTTCTTTACTTTACTTATTTCAGGCAGATGGAGGTGTATACTCAGCGAGTGTGAACGCAGCGACGCTCGCGTTGATCGACGCTGGTATACCAATGAAGGCTTACCTCTGTAGTTGCACAGCTTCCATAGCGTGGAAGGACGGCAAGCCAGAGCCTTTGGTTGATGTCAGTCATGTTGAGGAGTCCGCCGGAGGTTCTGTACTGACAGTGTCCAGTTTGCCCAGTATAAGTAAGTGGAGTTGGAGTTCGTAGTAATTGGCGTTCCTTAGTCTCTTTGCCTACCCACCCCCATGGGAGACAGGCGTGAAGTTATGTATGTATGTGGAATTTTCATTGTTAAACCGTTTATAACATAACATCACGCCTTTTATCCCCGAAGAGGTAGGCCGAGGTGCACATTATACCACTGTACAATGTAACACCCAATTTTCACTATTTATGTCATGAGTCCCTTGTAATAGGGGGTGAGCCGTTTATATCCAACTAAAATGTAGGCACTCAAAATCTTTCTATGTGCTTAATCAGAAGTTCGTATCTTTTTTGTCAAGTTTTAAACAGTCAAACACCAAGCGGTCACCGGTGACCGCGACCTATTGTTCTTTAATTGTGTCTATAAAACCGGTACTCGACGAGTTAAATGTAATATAACACAATTTCAGCCAAAACGGTACACTCTTTGTTTCAATTCAATATGATTTTTCAAAATTTCAATCACTGAGTTTTCAAGCAGACTAATTAAAAAACTTCTACTACATTATTAATTTGATTTGTTATTTTCTCCAAATTATACTGGTATGTAGACTATGTAGTTTAGGAATAATATAACCAAAAGGATAGTTATTTAGTTCCAGATTTCACTGTTATTGGATCGGTTCTGTTCATTATAACCTTTTTTACAGATAGTGTAGCATGGGTAGACATGTCTCAGAGACTCCACGCGGATTATTTGAGTGTCGTCATGAAGCGGGCCATGCAGGGATGTAGAGATATTGAGGTAAATATTAACACTGACTGTGCAGCTATGACGAGCGAGGCTATCCCCATAAGTGTAAATGCAAATTGTTGATTACTGCGTGAGTTATAAAACTGATATTATTATAGTATTGTTTTTAATTTTTGTATACCTCCTTCGTATAAATATTTTTATTTATTGACTCACCTGTGGGTCATACACGTATGATCTCGTAAATGTAAGCCCCATCCGTGTGGCATGCACGTATAATCTCGTAAAGGCATGCCCCACCGATGGGTCATGCACGTACAATGAGCAACTCGATATGCCCCATCCGTGGGTCATGCACGGTGGACGTGTTAAACACCTTTGTCTTGATAAACTAAAAAGCAATCTTTCTTCACATTCTCCGTCTAATTGTAATGAATTATTTTCAGGTAATTTTGGACAAGGCAGTGAGAGAGCATTTAGGCGAAAGTTGGACCATGTCAGACGATGCAGTTGCGATATAAAATAAATGTTATTTATTTATACATTTAAGTTTTTTAATTGTATTGTACTGTGATACACACAACTCCCATCTTTGTCAAAAAAAGGGTAGGTAGGAATAACATGAAATCCCCTAGAAGTTTTTATAAAGAAAACAAGCAAATTAGACTTACATATTTATTAGAGATCTGAACAAAATAAGAAATTAAATTATATGTACAGTCTATGTTAAAACTAACTAAATTAGAGGTAAGTTAATAGGTACACACTTTTTCCATTACTTTGCTTATTGTATGGTGAACAAAAAAATCTTATTTATCGATACGTTCTATGGCAAACGAAAAAGTGACGTAAACTCAGCAAAAGAAATGTTACAGCAATATCCAGCATAACTAACGAAAAAAAAGAAAAACAAAAAAAAATAAACTTTTTTTAAATATCGGATGTAAATATCAGTCCATCCGCTCCTGTGATTGCACACACGAAATAAATAAAATGTATCTTTGAATAAATAAATAAAAAGTACTATATTGTACTCAAGTAGTCCTCATTGTACAAAATTACACAATATTGCACTCGCAAGGACCTAATCAAAATAAATACTGCTTCGTCTGAAGCCTTTGTTAAAACTGCTAATATTATTATTATTTAAAAATGTATAAAAGTTTTTTTTTCGTCTTTACCGCGTAACATAATTGCAATATTTTAAAATAACTCGACCGTATAAAATATGCGTATATGACATTGCGAACAACAATGTAAATGTAAGGCCAAAATATAATGGGATATATTTTATCTTATTACACTGAGTTGCTAAGGCACTCATCTACATTATCAACTATATATAGAAAAAATCTTTATGCGTAAGCAAAAGAGAAAAAAAAGTGGGCGTTGAAAAAAAATCTCGTCCATCGCGTTACATGCAAAACAATATATCTCTCAATTCCAAAGGAGACTTAAACCTAGTTGTATAATACGAATAAATGTTTTGTCACATCTCTATGGCTCCGATGTAGAGCTCCCGGGTTAGCGACGAGCGTTCCGACGCAGCCGACGCAGTGCCACGACCACGTTGGATACAATAGTAGATCTACTACACTGCGGCGACTCTATAAGAACACTAATACGACAATACATACAGTATCATCATCAAATATTATGCAATTCCTCTAATGTGTAAATAATTTGACAAAAAATTGCACAGTAGTTACTAAATTGCACATTCCATTTGCTGCTTTCCACTACCATTTTATAGGTAAGCTTATTAAAATTCATAAGAATTAATGCATCATTCATATTTCATATGTTATCTGTGACAGTGGAAAGCGAGCCTTATGCAGCAGCAAAGCTTGCAGCATCATTAAAATTTCATTTATATTGCAAACATGAATAAAATCACGGAATAAATTGTATGAGCATTAAAATGCTACTAAAAATAGTCTTATAGACGTTATACATTTCATTATATGTTCCGTGATTTGAGGCCACGTAACAAAGCTGACATCGGACTATTGACTACATGACAACACTTGATATTAAGGACATAGATTGCATTCTTCAATACAACATTTAAGATATCATAAGTACACCGATTATGACAATCTACAAGCACAGTAAGTTACAATATGGTTCTATATCTACGGTATATGCAGCTTTGGAACAAGGCCTGGTACAAAATGTAGAAAGAACGTTTAGTTCTTTGTCGTCGCTAATCCGAGAGCGGCTTACGACACTTAACGACAGCTATGGTAGAAAAGTCTAAGCTTTAATTGTGAAGATGTACGCCTTAGTTGGCCGCCACCGGTTCCGGCGCCGGCACTTTTTGACTAGAATCACCTGCCGCCACATCTGGAAACATGATACATGAACATTAGTAGGTACATCAGACAAATAATAAATATTTCAGAGATTTAAACTGTCAAACACCAAGCGGTCACCGGTGACCGCGACCTATTGTTCTTTAATTGTGTCTATAAAACCGGTACTCGACGAGTTAAAGAAGTTACAAATTCTTTTCCATCAAGTGAATTGGATGTGAAGTTGAACAGATAGCGGCCAGACGTCGGCCCATCAAATATAAAAAAGGATCAAGCCCAATGGTGAGCTATTCAATAATATTAATTGGTAGTGGATACAAACAGGTTACAATGATAAAATGGACAGTCTGACTATACCTAGTTGCAAAGATATTATTATCGGAACTGTATGTAGGTAGTATGACAAATAATACATACCATTATTAGTCTTGTTAGGTGAATTGTGTGGCGAGCTGTTCTGGGACTCACTGGTGCTGCCCTCTGCCTCACCAGTCTCGCCGGCTGACGATGTGGCCTGAAATATACACATGACATATACTAAAATGACTTACTGATTATAAACCTTATTTCCTCTACGAAAACATTTCATTTTAACATGTAACTTTAAATATTATAGGAATGAAAAGCTTACCCTATTCTTATTCCTTGGAATCCTTGGTTTAGGTCCCTTCGGCTCCTTAGCGGGGTCGAAGTGGCAGTCAAATATCTCAATCAGTTCTTTTATATCTTCCTCCTTTGCAGACAGAGTTAGGGACGACATTTGTTTCTCCAAGCCTGTAGTGGTTACAAATAATATTGTGATATTATCCGTTGAAGTGTGTTTGATAAAATGTATGAAAGGTAATTTCACTGTTAAAAGTATTTAAGAGTTGACTGTTTATGTAAAAAAACTGTGTGAATTATTTCAAGTTATGTTGGCAACAATTTCTCTCTTGATTAAACATGATAGAGAAGAAATAAAAATCACGTTGAAAAAATACTATGGATGTGTAGAAGAGATTACAACCAAAGAATAGATGTATAAATTGTATGAAAGATAGCGATTTGTGATAGCAACTAGTAAGTGCGGCGAAAAATCTATTGTACCAAACCCTGTATAACTGAGACGAAGATAAAAAACTAACACTCTTATCATGATGATAAATGATTACTCAAGCCCGCAATACACCCCAACTTCAGTATAAAATGTATATTATTTATCATGGAAATAGCAACTTACCATCAAGCTTATGTTCCTGCCAGGCCTCCTTGAGTTGGTCGTAAAGCAGGCCAGCGTCGGCCAGTATACGACGCAGCTGTGTCACTCGCTTGCGCTCCGGCCGAGCCGACCGGAGGAGGGGAGCGAATACCGGCCGGAACGTGTTCTGTCTGATAGAGTAAATAAATATTATGATTATTATTTAGCTCACAAGGTTCATGGTTTTAATTAAAATGTTGATGTTGAAATACTTAAGCAAATTTTAATAAAGAATATGACTACTCTGTATGTCAGGAGACATTATAGTGTGTAAAAACAAGAAATTTTATTCTATCACTCTCATTGACCGTGATTAGTAGGAAGCATACACCCAGTTGACAAGTTTAGGTTTCGGATTTATTATATCCAAAAGCACTTCCAAAGGCAACACACTTGTATGTTTTCAAGAGTCCATTGACGGTTCCGATCACTGACCATCAAGTAATTTGCTTGCTCGTTTGCCACGAATTTAAAAGTACTAATGTTATAGTAAACTTACCTCTCGAGCAACTTCTTAAGGCTGGCGAGTGCATCAAGCTCGGTGTGTACGGGGCGTGCCCAGGCGCGCGCTGTCTCCACCATGTCCTTGCTGGCCGACGCACCCTCGCCGCCCGCACCTACTTCCTGCTGTTCACCTGAGCACAAAGATAATAGTGTTTTTTAAGTAAGAGTGTTAAACATTTCTTATTGTAACTGGTTTCTGTACAAAGTAAATAATTATGCTGTCTTACTGAAATGTAAATAACGATTTGTATTTAAATCAAAGCGCAATTTTTTTAATTTCTTTGATGGATATCATACTTCATATAGCTATCAGTCGGAATGAGTTGGAGACATAAAACTTAAATTGATTCCAATAATATAAAGCGATCAAATCATTCATACAACACAAAAACCTTCTCATACTTCTCCCGATAAATATTAAATACTGCTTGGTATTTGTTACTTACTAAATTAACCTGTTGAAAATCATCCCCAAAATTTGTTTATACAAAAGTAGTCTTTATACCATGGAAATAAGGTCTATAATGTAGTTAGTGGAGAACGGTCACCGGTGACCGCTTGGGGATATATGCCAAGGGTTAAAGGTGGACCATTTATTTAAGACTAGCTTTACGTCTGCAAAATTTCAAAGCAATCGGTCTAGTAGTTACGGCGTGAAGGTGGAACAAGCAAACAAACAAACTCACTTTCCGATTTATAATATAAGTAAGGATGACACACTGTAAAACTTGTAAACCAATAGCAAAACAGCATTAACTGAAATACAAATAATTCTCTCACCCTGTGCAAGATGCTCAACAATCCTATACGCCGCGGTAGCTCTCTCCAGCGCGCTGTCGACGGCGAGCGAGTCAGCGTCCAACAAGACTCGCGCCAACACTCGCAGTGACACAGACTTCACTGTCGCCTTGCACTTGTCGGCGGCCAGCGCGTAGCTATCCGCGAACCCAGCTACTATAGATTTGAAGCGGTCCAGAAGCTTGTACCTGGGGAACAAAGGGTAGGTAAAGTATAAGGTATTGTCTGTGCAACGCCTAAAGGTTGACTAATGATAATGTCTGTAGCATATACTGAATAACAAGTGCATAAAGTTAAATAAATAAAATAGGAAAAGAATTAGTCTTTAGACTGCGTCGTTGGCAAAATGGTCGCAAGTGCGACTGCCGAGGGCTAGATTCCCGGGTCGGGCAAAATATTACTGGGTTTTTAATTCTCAGTAGTACCACAGAGTCTGGATTGTGTCCGGTATATAGCAAAAAGCTAACCCCCTATTACATGGGGCTCGTAACATAAATAGCGAAAAGTGGGTGTTACATTGTAGTGGCATAATGTGCACCTCTGCCTACCCCTTCGGGATAAAAAGGCGTGATGTTACGTAATTAGTCTTAATTATTTTCTTATGCTTCACATGTGTGGGTGTGGCCGTGTATTGTTACATCTAGACATCATCAAAATATTTAATGATGCTTTTATTCTACACTTGCTGTTGCTCGCTAACTCGCTACTTCATCACATAGAATATGAATTTTAGAACATAACTTTTTTGTTTCCATTGTCCAAAATAGAAGTAGCTATGTTACTCCTTAGAACATCAGCTACTTGCCAATAAAAGTCTTGCAAAATTAATCCAAATATTCCAGAGATTAGCAAGTGCAGACACAAAAAAATTGTAAAAAAATATATTTTGTTGGGTGTGTATCGTATGTATGTATATTCACACGCATGTAGCAAAAATGATTATTTTAATATACAAACAGACACACCAATCTTATTAATATACTGCATAGATGTCAAATTCTTCCAACTAAAATTAAAACAGTTTTGGAATATGACACACCCTATTCTACCTAAATTACTCTCAAGCCAATGAAACCTAAAAGATATTAAAAATAATACCTAATATTTCAAAGCAAAAAAAACGTTCAACAGGTTTCTTTTTTTCAAGCAATTTATATTATTTACGTTAATTACGCATGTTCAATACTATAATAGTTATGGGCGTTTTAAAATAAGAAAAATATTTCACGTTACATGTAAACATTTTATGATTTCCAATGAGAAGAACTTAAATAAACTGCTTACCTGAAACCGCGGGACGCGAGACAAACTAACAAAGATGTAATCTGGCCAAAACGTACACTTTCAATAGAATAATAAGAATCCTCATATACACGGAAATAGAAGAAAACAGTGAACTTGTATCTATGATAAACTTAATAATAAACAACGCAAAGATGACTCGAATTAAATACCTCATATCGTAAATCAATATTCAACTTAAATTTTTTATCACAAAGAAATCTGTGCGACGTTAACACCGGCGTAATTAAAGGGGTCCACGCGAGACGTCCAGTGCATCGCACTGCTATCTATCGATCGAATATGAACGAGACATAGGCTATACATATATCTACTTAGGTATCCTGGATTCTATCCCTTCACTCTCTCAATACGCCATCTACCTGCCCAAATCAGAATGTTTCGACTACATTAAAGGACCGGAACTAAGTACCGTTTTGATGTATGCGCGCTAGTGTTATTTATTGCTGCTACTAGATGTCGTTTTGATTAAGTATACAGATGAAAGGAATTTTATTAAAATTGTGTGGTAATAAATTCGTCATTGCATATGGAGATGGGTAGTGATATGACATATTGAATACATTCGCAAGAAAATGCAACCATAATTTAGTATAAACTACATTATGGAGAAAACAAAGACGTTACAACAGTTAAAAACGATCTTTCGACCAACAATCATAATTAGGCACATCTGTGTTACCGAGACCGCCTTAAAATTTTAAAGGTAAATATTGTGGTATATATTATAGCTTTTTAAGTTTCATCCACAACGTAAAATAGAGAACTTGACACCAAGGGCACTCTGAGTAAGATTTATGATGTCACATGGTGGTTATAAGTTTATGAAGTTACTTTTCTTGCAGCTTACAGAAAAAAAAAATAGAATAGTCATTGATTTTTTATGCAAACAAGCAGTCTGTTCACCTGAGGAGTCATCAGTGAATTATGCCTTTTAAGAGCTTCTTACCTAGTGAGGGCTTCCAACAGCATGGTAGGGCTAAGGCGACGAGGCTCGTGGTAAATAAGGATCACACTGCCATCTCCCTTCTCTTTCTCCAACCAGTCCAGGAAATCAGTTAAGGCGGATATCTCAGACTTTGTTTTCAATATCTGCAGGACAAAGAATACAACATTTATTCTAAAATATCAAGAACACAAGCCTCATGGCTGATGGGCCAACTAGTAACTCAACTGGTTTCAAGCTACTTGTGGGGCTCATAGTAATGAGTAGCTTTACGCAACCAATGACGTGGCGAGCGTCGCACAGTCAATTGAAGAAGGATTTGAGTAGAGAGGGAGCTTACCTTATGAGTATTAGTGTCTTTGAGCATGCGGTATCGTCCGACAGTGACGACGCGGACATTGTGACGGCGGCGGGCTCCTGGGTTCAGGTCCCCGTAAGGCATAATGTACTGGGAGTATGACTGTTTCGGAGTATATGCTGCTATCTGGCATATCTGCAACAAATGTGTAAAAGATTTAGTTTCTTCAACATCACTATGCTTATAATTATGGGTTAAAAGATCAAGACTAAACGTGGTGTGACTCACAATAATAATTTGCTCTAATGAATCATTATATCAATCTCATACAAAACTTTAGCCGCAGAGCATAACAACATTAAAATGGCGTATTCTTAACAAGAACATGTGCATTTTTCGCTGACAATTTACCACTAAAATAAACGAAAAAGCGTTAACAAAATGACTAAATATTAAATCTGTTTGGGGAGTCAAAGGATTAATTTTGAACTCTATTGATAGATTGGTTACAGCCAGACAACTCCATCTACCCATTAAAATAATTCCCTGTATACCTTTTACAAAAACAGGGCATACAGGTGTAGTCTAGTGCTCCTGCCATCTATAAACTGTGTGCGGAAACTGTACGAACTTTAAGCAAGTGCATGTGGGAGAGATAGATGTCTGGCTAGTACATTTTAATAAAAATTATGTAAATTACATTATTGTTGTAATATCCGTGTTATCATGTGATGAAAATGATCAGTTTTAGTTCCTAAATATTATTTGAAATTGTTAGTGCTTAAAATATGTCTAAAGGAGTACAATTTTAACGAGAACAATGATAGGATCTTTATGGCTACTAAACCCTAATAATAATATAAAAAATGTATGGAAAAATATTGAAAAAAATGATATAGGAACTTCAACTTCTAGAAATTACATTTTAGTGAATTATTCTTTTATGATAATGTAAGCAGACATAACATACATTTCGACGCTCGATTGATCGCAAACAACGTGATAAAAACATATGAAAAATAGAGTAATATGTGAAAAATATGTTTTGTTGAGGACAAAATCGATATTTTGCATATTTTGGCATAAAGTCGGCGGTAGGGCCAGAACTAGCCACCTAACGGTACCTTTAAACCCCTTAGGTAACCATTCAGCCACTCCGACTTTTATTAATGGCTGCAAAATTGCGATCCCTATCGAGTTCGACAGGTGAATTTTGCATTGAAATTAGTACTTGTGGCTATTTTTCAAGTGTTTAGTTTAGTAAACATCGTTATTTTCGAGGTAAAGAACACTTAGTGGAAGTATTGATAACAATTCGTTGTGATTATTTAATACAATGATTTGTGACTTATGAAAACATCAATTATGTTTACGATTTTTGCTGTTGATTGCAGGTACATTTGTGAAAAAAATACTGTTGTAAAAATTATTTTTCCATATGCAATTAAAATAAAAGAGGCCTGAATTACAATAACGATCCTTTATTAAATTAGAAAGTCATTCTTCATTTAATAAAAGCATCAATCTATGCTGTAGTCAAATTATCCAACTGAAGAGTCAACAAAAATTAAAAAAAACTAAATCAAAATCATTTATTTCAGTTCGGCCAGAAAGGCACTTTTTAACGTCAACAAAAAAAATTAAAAGTGAAGCTATTTGTTAATTTCAAGGTGTACATTCCTATGGAGAAAAACGAGCAAGAAACTCGATATTACTCTTTTTCAATTTATTTCAATTTCAACTAAAATCAAAGTTATCTCCGTAACATTTGCACTACTAAAATCTTAGAATGACTTCAATAGCAAAAACGATCAATGACAATCATATTTTAATTTTAGTCCTCCCACGTGGATAGACAAATCGATAAACTCGTCGAGCGACCAATCGCTCGATTCCTGCCAATTGACTGAGACGCGAGATGAATCTGCCAATGACCTATTATAGATACCGATATTGTAAACAATAGAAGAATTTCTGTTCGTCTGTCTAAACTGGCGTCAAAACAAAACACGTGGGTTTAAAAGTATTTCGGATTACATTTTTGACCCACAGGAGTTTATCATTCATACTGCTAAGAAAAGGCCTCCTCACGGTATAGAACTGTGCTGCACTGACAGTTCAATACTTAAATACCCAATAGCAAATTTTCTTTAATCCAATTGTCTTATGCTCAGCAGTCGTTGTTTTAAGTGTTGTGGGAGAGCCATGCTTCGTCACGAATGGGCCGGCTCGACCGGAGCAATACCACTACCTCACTGAAGACCGACGTGAAACAACGTTTGCGTTGTGCGAGTGAGGTGACCGGAGGCCCAATTACACTCCCCCTTACCCAATCCCTGATTTTCCAACAATCCTCAAAATCCTAATCCCAAAAGGTAGGTACCGCACTTGTAACCGATTGCTTAGCATCAGGTGATCTGTCTGCTTGTTTACCGAAAAAACTCGTACTTGCGAACACTCAAACAACAAAGCAGTCAGCTCCATACACTATACAACGTGGGTACGAGATGATCGTGGGTGTATTTACAAACACACCCACACATATACAACGCAAGCATAAATCCAACATAACTAGGTATGTCTATCTGAGGCCTAAGTAAGTTTGTTTACAAGTACGTTTACGCGTTCGGCGCTCTGATTGGCCGGCTCCCATGAACCAACCAATCAGGTCGCCGAAGTCCCGTTTCGAAAACTTTAATGGTAAAAGAAACTTGCACTAAGACCTCTGTGCGAGACACAAGTCGCGTGGGTACGCCTGCGTGGGATCCCCGAAATCATTACCCTTCTGACAAATATATCCCGAAAATAAACTGGGGATTAAAAGAATTCAGAATATCTATTCTATAGAGATAGAGTAATAGAAAATCAGGTATGAATACCCAATTAAATTTTTTATTTTTAATGCCTCATATACCACATACTCTTTAACCTATTAAAAGTCACTGTACTCGATTGTGTACAGCGTAATGAAGTAAAATAATAAGGTGTATCACTTAAAATTTACAAGATCTGTAATTTACACTTCGGGATAAGGCTGTACGCAATTGAGTACAGTTACCTCTGATGGGTTAATTAATGAACTGGAGGTCTACTCCGGTTCTCGAATGCGAAGTTTCGTTTGATTTGCGGCCGCAAACAAAGTTTTCGGAATCATAGACAATTTTCGTGAACGAATGAATTCTACAATGAACGAATGAAGTAAAGATAAATAAATAGGCAATAAAAAGGTTTAGATTCGAAATTAAAAATAAAATTTTATATTAAGTAATTATATAACTAAAATGATAATTCCATAGCTTAGCACACATAATCATCAAGAAAATCATGAATAAGCTTTTAATACTAATGTTTAAGATGGAAAATCTTAAACAGGATAAAAACCTCCTTTTAAAGATTTATTATACGATCAATTTAAAAAGTTTAAGAATGTTGGCTTTGTCATTTATTGACATTTATTTATAAAATAATGACAACCAAATTTATTCGTATTATATTAGTACAGTCAGTTAAAAAATTTAAATGTCTACATGAGAATTTTAAGACAATAAATTATATCATATTATGATGGTTAACAATATATTTTTGAAAGAATTTATCTTATCTATAAATGTCGCTACATTAATAGATGTGAAAGAATAGCGAAAATATGTACTAGCAATACTTAAGTTTATTTTTCTAGTGATATTATGAGTTTTAAAATAAAACATTATACATTAAACTTTTATGTACAAAACATAAGGTATTCAAATAAGTATTTGATTACCCTAAATGTTACTAACTCTCATAGACATGTAAAATTATATAGGTTCGTGTTAACAAACTATTTGAGCTGACTGTACATTGATTTTATATCGTCATTTAAATGGTTTCTTTGGTGACCTACGTGTTGCCCACACGAAGAAACCGTGATAAAACGAAGACTTGCAATTACTTTCATTGATTTTTTAATAAAATTGAACCCAAACGAAAATCAAACGATAACTATTTTGGTTTCGTCGAAATGACATTAAACGTCCGAAGAATAATCTGTCAAACTCGAATTTTCGTTCGTGCGGATTGTACAATTAGAGTAGGGTTCCGAAAATTTCGACGTCAAACAGTACATCTCATACAAATTTCTGGCTTGTTTCATTCTTTTTTCGTTCGTTTATATGTTATTGTGGTAGGTAATCTTTGAAGTTTCGTCCGAAACTTCGTTTTTCGTCGAATCAGAGTAGACCTCCTGACGCTGGAATTCTGGACCCTTCGGGACCATGGTAATGTTAACAAATAGACATTGATACCTACTTCGAAAACCCAGAAACAGTAAAATGTAGATGCACTCTGCTAAATACGTATTACAGAAAAAAAAAACATGTAGTTGTGCTCAGTAACCTTTAAAACCTTAAAACGTCATTGAAATCTAATAAATCAACCGCAATTTAACCTGCAAACATGATGTCCGATGTGCAATTGTTTTTGTAAACATAGAGGTTCTAGATTTAAGTCTACTGATCTGCATTCTTACCTCGTCAATCAGTCTGCGCCCAGTGGTATCCATGTCCCATCCGACAAGCGCGTACTTGCCGGGGGGCAAGCCCGCGGGCTTCTCTGCCAGCGCTGGGGGCAACTCGTTGGTTGCCTCCATCTCACCACCGTTCGCCTTCGCTTCGGACACCATTGCCATGTAAAACTACGGCGGGCTGGTGACAAAGAAACACATCATATTAAAATATTGCACGAAAACTGCATTACACAAATTAGCAGGATTAGGTTGAAAACTGGCGAAAAAAAATTACCTAGGTGTAGTTCAAGCTCTCTTCATAATTAAAAACCTAAGTTTAACGTCTGTATAGACATTTATTTTCTTTGAGAAAACTCCTAATGGTTAAAGTGGATGACTTTTATTGAAAAAGTAAACTGAAATTTCGAGATTCCCAAAAAGGGTATACAATATAATGTGCACGTTAATACATGAAGTGGTTATACAACTTAAAATTGACCGAGTCAGTCATCGATCGTTCATCATATACCGTCATCACTGATGACTCATCAGTCTTGCTTGATCCCAGATAAGTTTACGCAACCATCATACGGGAACAATGCGTGCCTAACTGAATAAGTTTCTTTTAAACTTTAAGTTGCACTAACTATTCCAAAAACTGACAAAAAGATTAAAACATCCATGTTCGAAATAGGACGACATATTATTTGTATATTTCTACAAAATCCTAGACCACTATCAACGATGGGGAAACCCCATGACCACTATCATCCAAAACGCATTTTTGGAGAGAAGGTTTGCACTCCGTGCCGGTTCGCGCCGCTGTGCCGGCGCGAGGTGGTACGCTTTATTTATAGCCGGCAGTTTATAAAGGAGCCCTCAGAACACAGCCCTCCCCTCCCCGTCCACGAATTTACAGTCCGCACTCCGTGCCGGCTTGCGCGTCTATGCCGGCGCAAGGGCGAAATTTGTATTTATAATGGTCCCCCTTCCACAGCGCGAGGGGTCGGCTGACCAGCCACCCTCACGCCACCCTAGCCGCTCGGTATCGAGCACATCACGGTATAGGGTGCAGTTTCCGCTGGCATAATATAACAGCACCTACACATAGGTAGTTCGCAATAATTTCGTGCAGACAAAAATTTACTTTATTTTAATTTCCAAAAGGGTGTTTAGTCACTTCCAAGTGTCAATGTTTAGTTCTGCAGCTACATAGGGTGGTAGATGAGTGTGTTGGAGTTGTATGCAGAATTACTGATGATTCTTCCATAATGACGTGCGTTTTGCAGTTTTTATTAAGACGAAATGAAATGTTTTCACTTAGACAGCTAAGTTCTCTCAAATATCTGTAGGTACTTAGAATAATGACCATGTAGTGTCGCTTAGTTTGATAATGTTGCAGCCGAGACTTATCCTTGTTGGATAAAACAGACAAGATTAGTCTGGATACTCGCAGACACCAAAGCTCCTTTAAGTTTTTGCATAGTTAACATGATGGTTCGCAAATACTTACCGATCCGGAAAAAATCTTTGAACAAGCTATGATATGATAGAAGCATTCATTGCCTATCAGCAAAATTTTGTAACTACCCCTAAAGAAGTAAAGTTTAAATCGCTAAATTACCGAGAGTGATCAAGCAATTACACGTCAATTAGCTTTAGTCTAACGCCTATACGTAAAATATTCGTATATGCAAAGTTCTCTTGCGAAAAAGGGATGGTCTGATGGGTCTTGTATAGGTCTACCTCGCTCTGGCAGTGAAACAAGTGTTAAAGCCAAGTTACAATGCACCACCTGTACCTTGTATTGGAGTTTTGCAGCAATTCTTAGGTCGATACGTAAGTAAAGGGGACCTATTGTCACCCTTTAAGACTAATAGCGTTTTCGCTTTCTGAAGAGAATATACGGGATTGTATGTTGCAATATTTGTATGAAACTGTGATAGTTTTACGTGGTTTACAGATTTTTGTTTTGATAACCAGTGGTATACCGGAATCTAGATATATTCTAGATAATTATATATTTTATAAAGCGGAAGAGTTTGTTTTTTGTTTGTTTGAACGCACTAATCTCCGTAACTACAAGTCTGATTTGAATAATTATTTTTGTATGGATAGCGCATTTATTGAGGATGGCTATAGCCTATAAAACATCAGGCTACGACCAAAAGGAGCTGAGCAGAGCGTGTGAAACCGCGCGGAAGTAGCTAGTGTATATATACGCGAGATCTCATGCAGATAAGAGGTTAAGTATTTTGGAGACAATTTTATGAGAGTTTAAAGTTTTTTTTGATGCATAATCAATCATATTAATGTGTCGAGTTCGATTCTGACACGGACCGTTTTTATTGTTCTGTACTTCTGTAAAATTGCTGTTCTGTGTCTGATGTGTATGTGAAATGTGGTTGTAAACGTGCCCGCATCGATGTGGCGATTGACATCGGAGTTTTTTACCTACTTCCCAAAACGGAGCGGTTCTCATTCGTTCTCTTTTGACCTACGTTTGAGATGTAAATATGCTGAAAACTAAATCGATTTTAGATGTTAGACCTCCTGCAAACTTGCCGCTTGCAATATATTGTACTGGCAGCTTATCAAAACTGTGACAAACCATTCAATATTTATTTGATCTCAAACTTTATTATTTAGTAATAATGTCGAAAGTCCATTGAAAAAACAGTATCGTAGCAAGACTTGTTGGTTTGTCCGAAATAAATCACGCTAATTTTATATTACAATAACATACGATTCGATTTGAGATAATGAAGAAGATGAAAGGAAGGTGTGATTAAGAATTTTATACTAAGTTATTATGAATTCTAGTTGCTATTCATATTCATACTTATTTTACCTTCGCATTTTGTTTATAACATATATCATGTATTTTCCATCAACCGTGACTTTAAGAATAATATTATATGAAAACATTATAGAGAAGGAACTTTTTAAACACCACTTAAAGTAAACTTAAGGAAAAATTATTTAAAAAATATTAGAATTATGTACTAGTCTAAAATAGATACTTCCTAATGATGATGTCAAAACCTAAGATACTTTCAATAAATAATGATCATCTGCAAACTGGGGATTCCCCGAGAATAGTAACAAGACACTATAGAAAACTACACCATTTTATAGTTAGGGGATTCCCACAATAACATTATGCATGGATAGCACACAAATACAAATGTATGTATTACTTAAAGGGGATTTCCCTAATATAATGCATACGATTAGCATGACTCAGGTCATTTGATTACATTAGATTATTAGGAAAACAACACAAAATATTTAAATTATATATTGACTGAATAATATTTATGAGGAGCAGAGAATCATTGAATGGAATTTGAAAATTATCTTTATTTAAAAACAAATAACAGTTCTCAGTTGGATTCAACGTTTCTTCAGACCAAAGTGAGATATATGAAATGAGAAACTTGTGTATAACTGAAGTATTTATTTTATAGCTGTCTATAATTAAATATTAATTATTCAATGCCACAGACTAGACTCTAGTCTAGTCTATCCCATAGGTTGCTCTAGTCACTAGAGCAACCTACGGGCAGTTGGAGTAATATAGAAAAATAAAAATTAAATTAATATCTTGTTGTTTTTCGTAATTTTTAAAATTAATTTATTCAGCATTTGATGATAATTGATAATGTTAGTGTTAGCCACCTACAGTTAAAAGTTTTGTTAGCCTGGCAAAATGTCTCATTGACCACCATGTGTCGCTAATTTCCTAACACCAGTTTCATGCATTGGCCAAACGTTGGCTCCAACATCACTCTAATTTGGATATATTAGATAACATTAAGACTGCTGTAAGATCCATAAACAATCAACTATCACTTGAATTAGTTATTAAAAATAAAATTTTGACACAATTTGTATAGCGCTATGTCAAAATTCCTCTAATCAAACTAGATGGGTTGTTTGAAACAGGCCGCTAGACTAGCATAAGTATATTCTATGCATGGTCATAAGTAAATAAACAAGTTGCCTCATAAAAATATAAGATCAAATCCAAATATAACCAACCCACAACCAATGAATATAGATTACTGAACAATTGTTAAAACCTAAATAACTCCAAAACAGTATTTGTAAATGCAAAATTAGTATTAGGTGCAACATCATAAACAACATAGTAATAAATTGTCATGTTCAACTGACATTATCTTTGGGCCCTTAAACTGTCAAACACCGCGAGGACACCGTAGTCCGCACACCTATTGTTCTTTAATTGTGTCTATAATGATGGTACTCAAAGGGTTAAACTGTCAAACATCACGAGGACACCGGTGTCCGCACACATACTGTTCTTTAATTGTGTCTATAATGACGGTACTCAAAGGGTTACGATGTAAACAACAATTAATAATAATAACCTTAATACAAGAAAAACCATAAGAATCGAGTTTATATGCACATTGCACATCCACACACTAAATACTATGAACAGGAAAAGACTCTTTAAAGTTTAACATTAGTCGAACTGTGAAAATAATAATAAGCTCTATTTATACTATGACAAACATTGAATCGAGTTTATATGCACATTGCACATCCACACACTAAATACTATGAACAGGAAAAGACTCTTTAAAGTTTAACATTAGTCCAACTGTGAAAATAATAATAAGCTCTATTTATACTATGACAAACATTGAATCATAGATAATATTGTAACAAGTAGCATACAAGTTTGCACTCATCTGTTGATGACACACCAGGATACGAGATAAGAATATCAAATTGCATATTTTTTTATATTTTCTAGATAATATTCTAGAGATTATAGAAGCATACAATAAGTTTTAATTATGGATAAAACAGAAATAAAAATGTATTCAAAGCCAATAAAAAAAGCCACATTTGTGGCCATGACCAAGATCATAATAAATCAACAAATAGAACTTGAAAGAAGTTCTATCTAAAAAGTTTATATAGCTAATTTTTGTATGTACCACTGTGTACCACGGGCATCACCAACTAACCAAAGTCCAAATATTTACTATTTAAACCTGTTATTTCAGTGTTATTTTGTTTTGAATAATCATAAATAAACTGTTATCGACTTATAATAAAATCTTAGTCTGGGTTTGTGCAATAAATAATAGCCATTATCTTATGCCTACCTACATTCCTACATACTGATAATTTTTTCGAGATTATAA